TATTCTTTTTGTGTTTTATGGAGGGGTCACTAAGGGCCTTAACCGTCCCGAGGCCTATTTTGGGCTATAACTATTTTTGTTTTCAACCGATTTGAGTAATTCTTTCACCTTTTGAAAGCGCTGGAAATGCTGATCATTTTTTCTAGCACGAGTGATCTGATCAGATTATTACCTGAAAAGTTATAGCGGGATAAGTGCTTGCAATCGTGATCTAGTAGTCCAAAATAAGCCTAAGAAGGAGGGCGGGTCCAAATTAGGTCTAAAATTATCATTCAAGTCCTCGCCCTACTTACAACATAATCAACAACAACATTCAAAACAACATCCATCTCCACATCCACAACATCGTTATTTAAATAATAATTCTGTGCCTTCAATACAAACACGTGCCCAATCACTTACTCCATCTTCTGTTCAATCCCTTCCTGTTGGGGGAGGAGGGGCATGTTCAGCAAATATTTTAATGAATCAACAACACAATTCCCTCCAAAGACCTAATTTTACTCCACCCATTGAACAGCATAACCAACAACAATTAATTGCCCATCAAATTGCTTGCCAGAGGCATGTATTTTACAGTAGAACCTCGTTTAAGTACCCCTTGGAGTGAAAAGTGTATCTTATAATGGAGATGTATCTTACAATTAGACAGGGGGTAAACAGGGGTTGCTTCCCACCCCCTGGGACACCCTTCGCTCTAACCTGTACATTTCACACAAGGACGATGTTCCTTACAGAGGGAATGTTCTCTTCATACTAGCAATACCCTTCACAAGGAGAATGTTCCTTACGAAAGAGGTGTTCTCTAAGTACTTAAAATATGTTCCCTTTGCATAGGGAGAATGTTCCTTTCAGAGATTTTTCTATTCCAAGGGTTATTTAAAAACGAGGTTCACCTGTATTTTTAAAATAAAAAACATTTTTAATTAAAGATATGGCAATTCTCGACTTATCAATAATTCAATTAACCTTCCAACCACTCCAAAACAACAACAACAACGTCCCCAAACCATTAGAACCGTTTCCTTCCAAAAAGGTCCTTCAGGCTTAGGAATTAGAGTAATCGGAGGAAACCAAGTTGGAATATTTATAAGTGCTGTCCAGGAACAATCACCTGCTGATCTACACGGAATTCGAGTCGGAGACAGGATTCATGCAGTTAATAGTGTTAGCATTGCTGGTTTAACAAGAGAAGAAGCTTTCGATATTCTCCTTTCTCTTGGTGAACAGTCAAGTTTGGCAGTTGAACATGCTCCGGAAGAGTTTGCTCAAGTTAAGGCTGGAAAATTTGGAGACAGTTTTTATGTCAGAAGCCATTTTACTTACAACCGCAGCACTTCAAGAGGAGCAGCCTCGCAACAACCAGGCACTCAGCAACCTATAGAACTTTCTATTAGAGCTGGCGATATTTTTCATGTGACGGATACGCTGTTTGGAGGATCTTTGGGGTATTGGCAGGCTACTAAGGTGAATTTTTGTTGTGTGTTCCTTATGCTCTAGTATGGATGTTCCCTTCGCACGGCATGTTCCATAGACAGGGCTAGTATGTTCCCCACGCACTATAAAAATGTTCCCTTCACAGGGGATGTTCCCTACGCACTAGTTAAATGTTCTTTTCACCCTACAAGGATGTTCCGTTTACAGGATGCTCCCTACGCACTAGTTAAATATCCCCTTCATACTAATCCATTTAAAACTTATAGATCTACAGTGCCGAACAACAAAATTCTTCATCCTCCTCAGAATCTACATCTTCATGCACACCAGCTACCACAAATACAGGCATTATCCCACATGCAAAGGCAGCCGAACAACTTTTTAAAGTTTATCGCCAAACTAATAATGCAACAAATAATGGGATTAATACAAGTGATCAAACAAGTAATGGAGGAACATTGGGCCGTTCACTATTTAGAAAAAAGGTAGTAAAGATGTCCTTTGGGAAAATGTTCCTTTCAGAGGGGGGGGGTGTTCCCTACACACTAGCAATATGTTCCCTTCACATAGAAAGGGATATTCCTTTACGAGGGGATACTCTCTTTACAGTGGATGATGTTCCCTTCACATTGGGAAATGTTCCCTTCGCATAGGGAAGGTTCCCTTCACATTATCAGTATGTTCCCTTCACACTCCAATATGTTCCCTTCGCACAAGGGAAATGTTCCCTTCACACTATAAATTGTATTCATTCCTACAGCTTTCCTTCTCTTCACGCAAATTGTTTGGAGGTTCTAGCAATAATGGAACAACTCCATCCGACAATTTAGACGAAGTGTTAAGCGGTGCTGGTAGTGCTACCAACAGTTTTACTGAGACAATCCCACCTGCTTACGAACGCGTTGCATTGAAACGACCAGCCTTTCATCGGCCAGTAGTACTTTATGGGCCTCTAGCTGATGTTGCGCGGCAACTATTACTGAGCCAGTCTTCGATGCGTTTTGGTAAAAAGAAAACAAAAATACACGAAAATACAATAAATTTTCATTTAAAGGTGCCCCACTGCCCTCAACCTCCTCCATCACTTCAGGCACAGGAGGTGTTGCTGATCCACTTGTTTCCTCCCTTTCTGTCTCCCCTACTCCAGAGCGTGGCTCCGCCAATATTCTGGGAGGTATTCGTCTCTCTGCCGTCGATACAGTAATGGCATCCCAAAAACACTGTGTGCTCTGTGTCAACCCTGCATCTGTTGAACGTCTCCAACTTGCACAATATGCCCCTATTGTTGTACTAATTGATGTTGAATCGAGATCCAGAGTGAGAGAGTTGAGAGCCAAAGCGGGGGTAACAACCGTATCAGCCCGTAAATTGGTTGAACAGGCTCAGAAGCTTAAACGTCAATACTCCCACTTGTTAACAGCTACGCTTGATGCCACAAAGGAGGACCAGTGGTTTGAAGCCCTGAGGGCGCTTATATTTCATTTACAGGTGGATAAAGGATAAATAGATTAGGCACAGTCGGACCTCATTATGAGATATGTAGTATGACATTGGGGTTGAATAAATCGTAGCTTATGAGTGGGTGTCGGTCGCTTAAATGGAGAGCTATCGCAAAAGCAACTCTCCCACCTAATGGACTACCAAATTTATAAGATGTCGGCTTCTCAATGAAGGCTTCTATTAGAAGCCATTCTTGCTAGAAGATATAACTCTAATCGAAGCCAATCTCTAATAGAGGCTCCTCTCTAATAGAAACCCATTTTTGTTAGAAGCTCGCTCAATAAGAACCATTGAAAATTAGAAGCTCAGGGCTTCTATTGAGACATTTACTGCGTTAACTTGAGTTGTATTGAGGTAACTTATAGTGAGGTTCATCTATCAACTTGAAGCTAGACAAACTATGAATTAAAAAATATTTTTAAATTGAAGGAACGCCGAGTTTGGATGCCAGAATTTCAACTAGACCAGCCTCTAGACGAAATGTTGCTCCTTCCAATGCAACCACCCGGGGACACACCAACTAGTGACGGGGACAAAAGTGAATTTTTATCCTTACAATTTTACATATTGTAAAAAAAAATTCAGGCGATTATGGAACTTATGACCCTCAACAACAACCACCATTAAATAATGGATCGTACTATAAAAATAATTCAGAAGCACCCTACGTGCTTCAGAATCCAGCTTATTCTCTTTCTGTTAAAGGCCAATTACAACAAAATCCGGCATTGCTAGAAAAACAATTGAAAGGGCAACAACAACAGGTTGTCCAAGATTTTTCCAAATATACACACTATTAGATTAGCCTCTTTAAAGGATACTTTTCTCAAATTTTGATAGGCCAGTGGTTTCGTAAGCTCCTCAAGCATTACCCTCTATCTAATAAACTCTCGATTTAAGGTGCATTTACCCTACATTTAATAAGCCCTCGATATAAGGTACATTTACCCTCTATTTGATAAACTCTCGATATAAGGTTCATTTAACCTCTTTTTAATTCACCCTCGATATAAGGTGCATTTTTAAGTCCCAAAGGGTTTATAAGAGTCCTTGTTGCTGCTGTTTGGTGGAGCTGCTAAAGCGTTGAACAGCCCCCGCTTGAGCTGCCCTCCTATTTAATATACCCTCATTATTGGGTCCATTTTTAAGCCCCAAAGTAGTATTTTTAACTGATATTTTTTAATAGATGTCTTCATCTTGTATCTCATCTGCTCAATCAACCCTGTTAGATTCTTCAATAACTTCAAATCACTCCAACCCAATCAACCCATCTAGAAATTCCCCCTTCCCTCAATCACAACCTTTAGCCCTCTACAATATTAATAACCAACAACAGACTAATGAAATGAATAATTCTATTAATTTGAGGCAATAAATAAGTTAATTAAATGTTTAAATTGTTTAATAATATACCGTTTTTATAAATAAAGCATTAAATCACTTAATGTGTTTAGCTTAGTGTTAAGGGAGCATTATTAGTGTTAAGGGAGCATCACACTAATGTGAAGGGAACATCCTTCTAGTCTTAAGGAACATATGCCTAATGTGTAGGGAACATCTTACTTGAAGGGAACATCCTCCTAGTGTGAAGGGAACATCTCACTAATGTGAAGGGAACATCACCCTAATCTAAAGGGAGTCTAACATGTAATGGTAAGGCGAGGAGCTGAGAATAGATACTCAGAATAATCCTTGTAAAAGATTTATCAGTTAATTGAAAGGAAAAATACAAATTGAGCCAAGAGATAGATTAAAAAAAGAATTAAAATAAATTATATATCAATTAATGTTAATCCCAATGTTACTTTTGTAATTTAGATATCGTTCCCAATTTTGTTAATCCCAAGATTGTTTTTGTTTTTAATTGAACCCATCACGTTATGTAACTTCTCTTTTCTTTTATAAAGTCCAGTTTACAGACGAACAATTTCTGATTCGGTTGTAGCCCCAGGTTGTTCTTCTGGTCCAGATGCGTATGGGTTTCGTGGAGGTTTTGTCTCAGGTTCAGGTCCAGTTGGGTATCGGTGACGTGGAGGTTGAGATGATGGAGCTGCCGGTCCTGATGGTGGCTTATGCGATGCTACTTGTCCTCCTGGCTGATGTGTAGAAGGTTCTGGTCCAGATTGGTATGGGTTTCGTGGAGGCTTTGTAGCAGGTTCTGGTCCAGTTGGGTATCGGTGTCGTGGAGGTTGAGATGATGGAGCTTCTGGCACTGATGGAGGCTTATGCGATGCTACTTGTCCTCCTGGCTGCTGTGTAGAAGGTTCTGGTCCAGATTGGTATGGGTTTCGTGGAGGCTTTGTAGCAGGTTCTGGTCCAGTTGGGTACCGGTGTCGTGGAGGTTGAGATGATGGAGCTTCTGGAACTGATGGAGGCTTATGCGATGCTACTTGTCCTCCTGGCTGCTGTGTAGAGGGTTCTGGTCCAGATTGGTATGGGTTTCGTGGAGGCTTTGTAGCAGGTTCTGGTCCAGTTGGGTATCGGTGTCGTGGAGGTTGAGATGATGGAGCTTCTGGAACTGATGGAGGCTTATGCGATGCTACTTGTCCTCCTGGCTGCTGTGTAGAGGGTTCTGGTCCAGATTGGTATGGGTTTCGTGGAGGCTTTGTAGCAGGTTCTGGTCCAGTTGGGTATCGGTGTCGTGGAGGTTGTGATGATGGAGCTTCTGGCACTGATGGAGGCTTATGCGATGCTACTTGTCCTCCTGGCTGCTGTGTAGAGGGTTCAGGTCCAGATTGGTATGGGTTTCGTGGAGGCTTTGTAGCAGGTTCTGGTCCAGTTGGGTATCGGTGTCGTGGAGGTTGAGTTGATGGAGCTTCTGGAACTGATGGAGGCTTATGCGATGCTACTTGTCCTCCTGGCTGCTGTGTAGAGGGTTCAGGTCCAGATTGGTATGGGTTTCGTGGAGGCTTTGTAGCAGGTTCTGGTCCAGTTGGGTATCGGTGTCGTGGAGGTTGAGTTGATGGAGCTTCTGGAACTGATGGAGGCTTATGCGATGCTACTTGTCCTCCTGGCTGCTGTGTAGAGGGTTCAGGTCCAGATTGGTATGGGTTTCGTGGAGGCTTTGTAGCAGGTTCTGGTCCAGTTGGGTATCGGTGTCGTGGAGGTTGTGATGATGGAGCTTCTGGCACTGATGGAGGCTTATGCGATGCTACTTGTCCTCCTGGCTGCTGTGTAGAGGGTTCTGGTCCAGATTGGTATGGGTTTCGTGGAGGCTTTGTAGACGCTTCAGGTTCAGATTGGCATGAGTGTTTTGGTTTTTTAGTTGTTTGTTCTTTCTGACATTCACACCCTGGCTCATCTGTCGTAGTAGATTGTGGTCTTTGGTTGAAATACCGATTGCAGACACGTCCACATTTCCTCAGGCTACATTCATCAGGTACTGGGCCTACAGTGCTGTTATAAACTACAATCTTTGACTCTCTTATAATTGCATTGCAACAGTTCATGACTTTTTGGTTCTTGTTAAGATTTGGGTCACTACAGAAAGGAGGAAGAGCTGACGATAAGTCATCTATTGGTACCTCTTCATATCCACTAGTTGAGGAATCTTAAATTAGGGAAATATTACTGTTAGAATAGGGTAATATTTTTATATACTAAGAAATTCTGTTTACAAATTTATTTCAGAAATTGTAAATTAATAATTCTGAAAGGTTTTAAAAATTGTAAAAGTTTTTATAAAAGTTTGTTTTGTGTTTTTAATTTGTAAAATATAAATTCTGATTTTTACAATTTGTAAAATGTTTTTATAAAATTTTCAGAATTTCTCCCAAATTATTTTCAGAATATTTTTTCAGAATTTTTTTTTCAGAATTATTTTTTCAGAATTATTTTCAGAATTTTTTTCAGAATTATTTTCAGAATTTTTTTCAGAATTTTATCAGAATTATTTTCAGAATATTTTTCAGAATTTTATCAGAATTATTTTTCAGAATATTTTTTCAGAATTATTTTCAGAATTATTTTCAGAATTATTTTTTCAGAATTATTTTCAGAATTATTTTCAGAATTATTTTTTCAGAATTATTTTTCAGAATTATTTTCAGAATTATTTTCAGAATTATTTTTCAGAATTATTTTTCAGAATTCTCTTTCATATTTTTACAAATTGTAAAACATTTTACAAATTCTGATAAACATTTTATTAATTTCTAACCTTCAGCCAATGAAAACTCAAACGCCACAAAGCCGATAAACACAGCTAATAAAAATTTCATTTAATTAAATTATAAATTTAATTCGGAGGATATTTAGGGGAATATTTTATTTGTGAGTGGGAGATTGTTGTTATTCTCCTGTTTGTCGCTATGCCTTTTAAAGCCAAAAATTTCTCCAAGCAAAAAAAAAATTTTTTTTATTTTCTAAAAAAATTTTCTAAAATTTATTTAAAAGCTGTTTAAATAATTTTTAAAAATTTTTATAAAAATTTTTTCTCTCTCTCATTTAATATTTAATTTAATATTAATTGGTATCCCCCAAAAGTTTCCATAAACGGCTCCAAAAGGGGTATAGTTTGAAACAAATAATAAATCGGCAAGATATTCACGTGTAAATTTTTAATTTTTCGTGCGTCAATGGCAAAATTTTGGCAAGAAAAAAAATTTTTTTTGGATTTTTTTTGGATTTTTCTATATTTTTATTTAATAGATTATTTAAAAAAAATTTATTTTTGGCAATTTTAAGCGTTGGAAATTTAATTTTATTTTTTTTTATTTTTGCCAACACATATCCCAGCTTAATTTTATTTTTGGTTTTGTAATGAATTATTAAATAATTATTAAATTTTGCTTCATGGTGAAACTCTCTTCGAATCTTTCTCTAAAATCCATACAACTAACCCCTACCTTTCCCAGAAACAATTTAATATACCGTAATCCTTGAATAACTGCTCTGGGCAATTATTGTTTCGACCTATCGCTGGAGGGGATAATTAATAAAATTTGAGGATATTTGAGAGAATACAGGTTGTACTGTCCTGTTATGTAGCCGTTCTGCCTGATTTTGATCTACGTCCCTCTATTTCTTCCTACATTCCGTTCTTACGTCAGCTCCTAGGTCCCCTCCTCACCCCTCTCTATATATCTCTTCCTGCTCCCCTTCAACCCCCCCCCCCCCCGCCCTATGCTTCTTCCTATATCTTCAGCCTCAAGTAATTATTGTATCGACATAATGGAGAGATCCACAATCACTTTGAATAATTCGAATTAATAATTTATTTATTTTATTTTTAAATATTTATTCCCAAATAAATTAATTAAATAACCCAAAAATTTTTAAAATCCCTTAAAATCGCAGATTTCAATTCTTAACTTCCTCCTCTTCGTTTTAATTAACAATATCAGGATTAAGAGGAACGTAAATCGGTGCTTCAGTCGTTGCTTCATTAACATTTTGCTTCAATTTCAGCATTTTATGAGGTGAATGCGTAGTGACAGTCTTTTCATCTTCCCCTTCACGGCCCTTCAAAACATTTCTTTTCGCCCTTATTTCAGTTCCCTGCTTCATTTTTGGCATTGCATGAGGTGGATGAGTTGGGGGTGGTTGGGTGCCCCTTTGTTTCTCAGCTGGCAACGGCTTACCGGTGGTCATATAATCAATACCGTGTTGGCATGTACGTCCACAATTAAGGCATTCATCGGGTAAATTATTGGAGGGACTCAGACCTTCAAAATTAAGTTTAAAAATTAATTTAAACATTTTAAGAAACTTCCATTCTTCTCACGAACAAGTTTACGCGGATAACGAAAATTCCCTCGATACAGGGCATAACAACAACTAAAAACTTGTTTTAGTTTATAAAATGAACAAAATTTAGGAAGTTTTTCTAATGGTAAAACAACAAGTATATTATGTTGTAAGGTTGTTGGAGTGTTTGTTGTGGTTGGTAGATGTTTGTTTTGTTGTTGTTCCATTGGGTTTTGATGTTGTTTATATGGAGCTGCATTTGTTGATGTTTTTGTTGGAGTGTTTGTTGTGTTTTGCACATGTTTGTTTGGTTGTTGTATTGGAATGAGGTTTTGTTCATTTGTTTGAATGGTACCTGTTTTGTTTTTATTTCAAAACAAACTTGTTTTGTTTGTCAACAACTTGTTTTGTTTGTCATTCTAAACAAACTTGTTTTGTTTGTCTTTTAAACAAACTTGTTTTGTTTGTTACTTTAAAAACTTGTTTTGTTTAAAACAAGTTTTTCTTTCCCTTTTAAACATGTTCGGCAACAATAAAACAAACCTTCAATTTTGCAAGTAAAACAACTAATTAATAAACAAAACATCGAAAAACTAATAAAATAATTCATTTTAATGTTTTAATTTTGTTCTGGTTTGAGTTTTGGATTTAGGCTTCATTTTAAAGGGCAAACTTGATATTCAAAAGTTTGAGGATTTTAATGCCTGTTTAAACAAAAACAATTTCTGAAAATAAAAATAATAAAAAGTTCAAAACATAAAAGTTTCGGCCTTCTTTAATGTTTAAGGGTGAATTCATGTGAATTCCCTCTATTTTTGCTTTAATTTTTATTTTTCAATAAATATGTGGATAAATATAGAAATTTATTCAAGGGATTTTATTTGTGTTTTTGGGTGTTTGAAAGCATTTTTATGCTTCCATACAGTTGCACTAGACGTTCCAGGCGATCTTTAGCCCAACACCAGGATTTTTGCAAAATTATTTTTCCATATATTTTTTTTCAATTTTTTGATTTTTTCTATTTTCTAATCAAAGATAAGTAACCAATTTTTAAATAAAAGATAAAAAAAATAAAAATGGTCCCATGACTATACTAATGATTTTTGACTGGAGGCGCCATTCACTCCTTCCACGCAACCAGCCGTGCAGCAACCATGAATAATAGCGTTTTTATTGATTCTTTGGGAATATGTACATATGAGAATAGAAATAGTTTTTTAGTCAGTTTAATTATTTAATTTAATTTTTTAGTAAAATAATCAGAAAATTAATTTTTTGTGGGTAGCGTGTTGCACCTTGCCGACGTTTATTTAAAATTCAACAACTTTTTGGGAATTTAAGTTGATCGATTAATTTTTTCAATATTTTGTAGCTAAGATTCTCCTCTATCTTTTAAGATAAAGATTAAATCTATAACTTTATTTTTTAAAAAGTTATGGAACAAAAATCACAAAAATGCTCATTAATGTTTCTGACCTGACTTGTTTAAAATTCCATAACTTTTTGAGTAGTGGGTTTAAAATTCTGATTTTTTGATATTTTATAGCCAAGAATCTCCTCTATCAGCTAATATAAAAATTAAATCTGTATCCTTACTTAATCAAAAGTTATAGATTAAAATCTCGAAATACTGCCTTTAAATTTTCTCTACAGCTTCACTCTTTTTTTACAACTTGTTTTTCAACTTGTTTTTCAACTTGTTTTCCAACTTGTTTTACAACTTATTTTTCAACTTATTTTTACAGCTTGTTTTTACAACTTGTTTTTCAACTTGTTTTACAATCAAGTTTTATTTTTAAAAAATAAACTTTAAATTAAAATGAACAACAATTCAACAACGTTGAAAGAAGTAAACAACGCTGGGACCTCAAATAATCAACCAAAAATACGCGAGGATTTAGTTAATGCAGCCAAACAATTTATTAATAATCCTCGTGTGAGAAATACTCCGATTGGGGAACAAAAAGCTTTTTTAATTAAAAAGGGATTAACAGAGATTGAAATTAATGAAGCGATGAAGGGGCGAAGTGGAGAACAGGTAAGGGGATTTTTGTGGAAAAATCAAAAATAATTTTTAAAAATTTTAAAATAAAAATCATTTAATAAATAAAATATTAATTAAACAAAAATTAAAATTATTCTCCAAAATTTCAGCAAATAATTTCACCTTATGGACAACCACCTCCAACGCTTGTCAAAAACAATAGCGCAGTGAGTTTTATTTTTGTTTTAAAGAATTTAATTGTTTTACAATTGTAAAATAAAATCAGAATTATTACAACTTAATTACAATTAAAATAAATATAAACTTGCAATTGTAAAAAGTTGTTATTCTGATAAGTTGAATTTTTATGCAAATAAAACTTTAAACTTGGAATTGTAAATAAGTTTGTAATTTGTGGAAAATACAAATCAGAATTACAACTTTTTTGAATTCTGATTTTTAATTCTGGTTTTAAATTCTGATTTTTTAATTCTGATTCTTGTTCTTTTAATTCTGATTCTGGTTTTAAATTCTGATTTTTTAATTATGACTTAAATTCTGATTTTTTTAATTCTGACTTAAATTCTGATTTATTAATTCTGATTTTTAATTGTTGTGAAATTCTGATTTTAAATTCTGTTTTTATAAAATTCTGAATGTTTTACAATTCTAAAATATGTTTTTACAAAAATACAAATCAGAATTACAACTTTTTTAATTCTGATTTTATTACAGATTTTAGAATGGGCAAAGGCCATAATAATAATCGGCTCAACAAGTTTTATTTTTTATCGTTTTGTTCGTTCATGGGTGCTTCCAAAATTATTGGGTATTCCCAACCCTGAAGATGAAAGATTACAAAGAGTTGAACAACAAATTGAATCTATTACAGAAACAAATAAAGCTATTGTAGAAAGTGTGAGACAAACAATTGGAACAATTTGTGAACAAAACGAACAAATAAACAGAACTTTGTTGATTATTCAGAGCCAAACAAGAAATAATAATGAAAATAAAGGTAGAAAAAATTTTTAAAAGTTTCAAGTTTTTAATGGAAAGGATTCTGATTTTTAAATTGAAAAAAAAGTTTATTTAATTCCAAGTTTAAAAGGTTGGGAATTTTTAAGTGAATTACTCGCAATTTTGGACTGGACGTCTACGCGTAGATTTTGGCCCATAACTTTTTTTTTAAATTAAGATTTTAATTAGATTTTTTGAGGATAGATAGAACAGACTTTTAGCTGTAAATTGGCCAAAAATAAAATTTCTAGCTCAATTTTTGTTTAAGTTATGAATTTCTAAAGTTGTCATAGTCGCAATTCTGGACTGGACGTCTACGCGTAGATTTTGGCCCATAACTTTTTTTTAAATTAAGATTTTAATTAGATTTTTTGAGGATAGATAGAACAGACTTTTAGCTGTAAATTGGCCAAAAATAAAATTTCTAGCTCAATTTTTATTTAAGTTATGAATTTTTGAAGTCGTCTAGTTCACAACTTTAGAGAGAAAAAGAAGGCAAATTTCCTTAAAAAAATTTTTTTTAATCTTTAAAAAATTTTTCAATTTTATTTTTATAAATTTTTCAGTTTCTTCAACAGATTCAAACCGTTTAATCTCAGAAATTGGAATTATCAAGTCTTTATTGCTCAGCCAAAACCAATTTCCACCGATTCCAGAACATTCACTAATTGCTCCCAAAACAACATTACCCAAACAAAATGGATTGGTGAATAATACAAAAAAATTGAAGGAAAATGGAGGAAATTTAGAAAATAATGAAGATGAACAAGAAGACGAAGAATATCAAGATTTAGATAAAAGTAGTGGTTCTCAAGTTTAAGAAGTTTTTAAGAGACATTTTGAAGCAGAAAAGTGCTTCAGAAAAATTTTAATGAAGCAAAATGTTTCAGAAACATTCTGATGCAGCAGAAATGTTTTAGAAACATTCTGTTGAAACACAATGCTTTAAAAACATTTTGATGAAGCAGAAATGCTTCAGAAAAATTTCCATGAAGCATGATATCCCATAACTATTTTTCTGAAGCAAGAATGTTCCAGAAACATTTTAGGAGCAAAATATTGTTTCTGAAGCAAAAATGTTTCAGAAACATAAAGTAAATGCTCTTTTGAAGCAAAATGCTTCAGAAACATTTTAGTAAAACAAGAGATCCAAGAATTACTTTTTTGAAGCAACAAGAAACAACATAAGCTTTATAAAACAGATTGCTTCACCTTTCTGTTTCAGAATTTTCCCCGTTTCTAAATATTTTTTAAAATAATTTTTAAATTAATTTTTACTGTTTATTGACATCTAAATAAATATTACTATTTATTTTTTAATCAACCCCCAAAAAATACAAATAACATCGTATTTTTAATAATAAACTACATTGCTTATCAGTTGGGTATTTTTATCAATAAAATTATTATCAATTAAAGAGTATTCCCTGGGTTCCCTCAATCATTTCCCCCTCAAACATTGCTTAAACAACTCCGATTTGTTCTAAAATGGCTTTGTATTCAAATCAACTTTCCTTGTCATCAGAAAATTTAGTAGCCAAAAAGAAGCCTAAAAAGCGATCTTTGCTTCGTATTATTTGGACAATTGTGCGCATTGTTCTCTTAGCTATTGTAATAGCGGTGATTGCACAGCTCACTTGGAGGTTTAAAAATATATATTTTTAAATGTTGTTGTATTGCTTCAACTTTATGTTTTGAAGCAGAAATACATCAGAAAATTTTTCAGAAGCAGAAATGTTTCAGAAAATTTTTCAGAAGCAGAAATGTTTCAAAATTTTCAAAAATCATTTTTCAGAAGCAAAATGCTTCTGAATAGTTTCTGAAGCAAAATGCTTCTAAAACATGAAGCAAATGTTTTTCTGAAACATGCTTCAGAAACGTTTTAATGAAGCAAGATAAGTATCCAAGGATTATTTTTATGAAGCAAAAAAATATTTCTATGAAGCAAAAACTGCTTCAACTTTATGTTTCACAATTTTCGATGCTTCCAATATTTTATTCCAAATATTTTAGTTTTGTAATATTCTCTGGTGTTTTCAATAATGCATTGTTCAAAATATATTCTGGCAATGGAGGATATTTCTATAAATTTGAAAAGGAGTATAATCGTGTCTGGAAGAATGATCGAGAACGCTTAGAGCGTTTGAAGGTTTTTGAAGAAAATTGCCGTAAAATTGAGGAATTAAATGAAGAAGCTGTTGAAAGGGGAAAGAATGTGACCTATGGAATTAATTCGATGACGGATATGACTGACCAAGAATTTAAAGAGGTGAGTGAAGCAAAGTGGGTATTAAGAAGCAAAATGCTTCTGATGAAGCAGAAATGTTTCAAAAAAATTTTGAAGCATGCTTCAAGAATTTATTAAGCAATGCTTCATATTTGGATAAGTGAAGCACAAGAAATGTTTCAAAATTAATTTAAGAAGCAAAATACCAAGGTGAAGCATTTTTTGCTTCTGCTTCAAAAATGAAGTATTGCTTCAGAAAGTTGCTTCAGAAGCTTAGTTAACTTGAATTTCTTAAGATGCTGCTTCCACTAGATGCATATAAACAGCTACATCGAGAAGACAGTTTTATACGCAAGATGACCCCAATTGAACGGAACAATATTAAAACAGAACATCCAAGTCATTTTGACTGGCGTCCAAAAGGAGTAGTTACGCCTGTTAAAGCACAAGGTGAAAATTAAAGGGGAAAAATTAAAGGAAAAATTTCTTAGGTAAATGTGGCTCCTGTTGGGCATTTGCTTCTGTTGCTACAACGGAATCTGCCTATGCTGTAGCACACGGAGTTTTGAGAAGTTTATCAGAGCAGGAATTATTGGACTGTAATTTGGAGAATTTTGCCTGTAATGGGGGTAATGTGGAAAGGGCATTTAGGTAAAAAAATTTCAAACTGTAAACTAACGGGAAAAATTTCAAAATGTCAAAAAACGAAAAATTTTTCAAAATGTCAAAAAATAGAAAAATTTCAAAATGTCAACTAACGAAAAAATTTTTCAAAATGTCAAAAACCCCAAAAAATTTCAAAATGTCAAAAAACCAAAATTTCGAAATGTCAACTAACGAAAAATTTCAAACTGTCAACTAATAATGCCCCATAATTTCCCCTAGTTTTATACACGATACGGGACTTGTCTCAGAAGGCGAATACCCTTATGTAGCACACCGACAGCCTGCCTGCCTGATGAATGAACACAGCAAAAATTTAACAAAAATAGAATCTGCCGTGTTTATCAATCCGGATGAGGATTCTATTATTGATTGGCTTTTAAATTTTGGGCCAGTTAATGTTGGTGGGTGGAAGAAAAATTTTTTTGAAAATTTTTGAAAAAATTTCTTAAAAAACGTCAAAATGCCAAAAAATGTCGAAATGTCAAAAAACGTGAAAAATGTCAAAAATTACCAAAATGTCAGTGACAAGTGTCAAAAAAAATTCTTGAAAAATTTTTTTTAATTTTTTTGAAAATTTCAAAATGTCAACTATCGAAAATTTTTTTAAAGCCATTTCTGTGCCTCCAGATATGAAGCCTTACAGAAGCGGAATTTATGCTCCTTCAGATTTTGACTGCAAATACAGGGTTTTTTTTTATTTTTAACCTCCAAAAAATTTTTTAACTCCACAAGGTGGTTGGCCTTCACTCACTTTTGGTTGTCGGCTACGGAATTACTGACAACGGACAAAAATATTGGATAGTAAAAAATAGTTGGGGGGATGATTGGGGGCAGGAAAACGGCTATGTTAATTTTATTAGAGGGGTAAATTCTTGTGGAATTGAGGATGAACCGATTGGACTGTTGGCTTGATTTTTGAATTAAAAATAAAATTTTCTTTATTTTGTGACCGAAAATTTTTTTAAATATTTAATAAAATTTAATTAAAAAAATAAAACAAAAAATATTTTTTTGGTAGGAAAATAAGGAGGGGAAATTTGTTTTCCCTTCCCAGGCTCCCCAAAAAATTCCCAAAATTTCAAAATCTATTTTAACCTCGTTTTAAGATACTCCCTCGGTGTATAGTGAAATCAAAATAAGTGATACCCATTTATAACCCCCCCCCCTCTCGAAATCCGACCCCTGGCTACGCCTTTGCCCTGAGGTTTGGAAAGTGTACCTTATAATGAATGTGCCTTATGACGAGGTGTACCTTAAATAGAGAGTATCGAGATAACAGATGATCAGCCAAATGAGGTGTCTCTTGTATTGGGGGTATCTTAAAGTGAGGGTATTAACGTATCTTATAGTGGGGGTTGATGTACCCAATATTGGGAGTATCTAAAAACGAGGTTTGCCTTATTTTAAAAAATTTAAACAAATAAAGACTTGAATAACTCGTCCCTCCGTTCATGTGACCAAGGAATCCGTTCAGGCACAGCAGGGAAAAAATTGACCAATTTTTCAATCTCCACATAACGAATTCTACGCCCCTTCGAAATTCGTCTTTCAATTTTGTTTTTGGTCTGCTTCCTCTGTTTTTGTTGTTGTACACTTTAAAAAATTTTTTTGAGAAGTTTATAGAATAATGAAAGCCTAGGAATGGGGATAGAATACAAATAGAAGGGAAATAAAAGTTTGGACCCGGAGCGGCATCGAACCTGCGACCCCTGGCCGGTACAATAAATTTAAGGTAAAATATTAAAAAACCTTTTAGACTCATCCAAGCTGCTAGCATTCTTGTAAAAATCCTCGTAGAAACAATTCAAAACGCTTTGCAAAATTAATTCATTTTCATTACAACTTCCAATAACATAAAAGAATAAATCGACATTTGAACGATAAACACAAATAAAGCCGTCAAAAAGAATTATTTCTGCTAAAAAAAGAAAAATTGAATATAAAAAATATATAATACCCTTAAAATTGAGAAAATAGGGGAAAATAAGCATAGAAATCAAAATAAAGGAAAATAAAAAATATTGAACCTCGAGCGGGGTCGAACCCACGACCCCCCAAAATACCCTCTAAATCGATTTCTACAATTTCCTAAAAAATTTTTTCTAATTTTCTTCCCAAAAAATAATATTTAAATAAAAATACAAACCGTTAGCCTTGTGTGTTTTTTGAAAAAGATTTTTTTCAAAAGCAGATTGCTCCTTTTCTGTGGCAAGTATTTGCTTGTCATAATATTTGCCCAAAATACGTTTTCCGTCTTGATCCAAAATTAATATAGCTTTTAAAACGTCTTGATAGAGTTGTTGCATCCTTAACTGAAATATTTGAAGAATTGAAAAAAATTTTTAAGAAATTTAATTTTTTTAATTTTAGTACGAGAGAGTGTGGGAAATTGAGAGAGACAGCAGAGAAAAATTAAATTGGGATCTTTTGTCATTTTTAGTTTTAAATGTCGTTTTGTCAACTTTTTTTGCCACGTCTAAATATTTTTCATTTTTTTATTCCTTAGGGTTCTGTTTTTAAAAATTTTTCGAATTTTCATATTCTGTGTGGGATTGTTTTTCATCTTCCTACTTCAAGCTCCAACAAGGTGCGCGACGTTTGCAAATAAACGACATTTGCGGAGCTAGGTAAAATTAATAATTAAAATTTAAAATAAATTTATTTTTGATATTTGACGACACGTAGACTTTAAAAACTTCATTTATGATTTTATTTAATACTTCTCCCTCTAAAATGTATTCTAATTGTAGGGCATAACCAAAGTTCGCCGCAAATGTCTTGTTGTCCAAATGTCGTGCCCTACACTGTTTGCTTAATTCGTCTTAATTTTATTTTTTTTTCAGATTTATTCCATTTTTAGCAGAAAATGGCCAATTTAGACGCTGATTCACTTTACAGCATTAAAGCTATATTAATTTTGGATCAAGATGGAAAACGTATTTTGGGCAAATATTATGACAAACAAATACTTGCCACAGAAAAGGAGCAATCTGCATTTGAAAAAAATCTTTTTCAAAAAACACACAAGGCTAACGGTTTGTATTTTTATTTAAATATTATTTTTTGGGAAGAAATTTTGGGGAAAAAATTTTTTGAAAATTATAGGCAACGATTTAGAGGGTATTTGGGGGGTCGTGGGTTCGACCCCGCTCGAGGAACTTATTTTTTATTTTATGGAATTTTATTTATTTTCTTGCCCTCTTTATTATTTTATTAATTTTGATTGTTTCATAAGTTGAACTTTATATTTTTCGACATCCTTGAGAATTTTAAAAATACAGGGTTAGGGGGTCGCGGGTTCGACCCCGCTCGAGGAATTTATTTTTTATTTTACGGAGTTTTATTTATTTTCTTGCCCTCTTTATTATTTTATTAATTTTGATTGTTTCATAAGTTGAACTTTATATTTTTCGACATCCTTGAGAATTTTAAAAATACAGGGTTAGGGGGTCGCGGGTTCGACCCCGCTCGAGGAATTTATTTTTTTATTTTCGTCCATTTTCATTTCTATGCTTATTTTCCCCTATTTTCTCAATTTTAAGGGTGTTATTTATTTTTTATATTCAATTTTTCTTCCTTTTTTAGCAGAAATAATTCTTTTTGACGGCTTTATTTGTGTTTATCGTTCAAATGTCGATTTATTTTTTTATGTTATTGGAAGTTGTAATGAAAATGAATTAATTTTGCAAAGCGTTTTAAATTGTTTTTATGAGGCTTTCTCTATTGTTTTACGCAAAAATGTTGAGAAGAAGGTTCTTTTTGATCATATTGATTTGGCTTTTCTTGTCTTGGATGAAATTTGTGATGACGGGTTTGTTTGTTTTTTTTAATTGTTTTAGAGGGGATCGGGTAGGGGTTTAAGATATTTAATTTTCCGATTCCTTTTTTGTTTGTTAATATGAATTTAACCCTTTTTCGACTTTTTATGTTTTTAAGTTTTTAAAAATTTAATTTTTCCCCAAATCTTGGGGTCATGGGTTCGACCCCACTCATGGAATTTATTTTTTTATTTTATAGAGTTTTATATATTTTCTTGTCCTCTTCATTACTTTATTGGTTTTGAGAGTTTATAAGTTGAAATTTATATTTTTGGACATTCTTGAGAAATTTAAAAATACAGGGTTTGGGGGGTCACGGGTTCGAACCCGCTCGAGGAATTTATTTTTTTATTTTTGTCTATTTTTATTTCAATGCTTTTTTACCCTATTTTATTTATTTTGAGAGTGTTATAAGTAGAAAATTTAATTTTTCTGCGATTAAAAAGACGAATGAATTTTACTGGGATTTCCCTTGTACTGGGGGCATTTTTCTCTCCTAAAAATTTCAATAAATAAAAAATTTTTTTTAAATTTTTTCAGAGTAATTCTAGAGACGGATGCTCAAGCTGTAGTTGCCCGTTGTGCTTTTAAACCTGATGAAATTGGTTTTGGAGAGCAAACAATCTCTCAAGTTGGAATGTCTCTTTTGGGGTCTGCAAAGGATCAATTTAAATGGTCATTGCTTAAATGATGTGGTGATTAGCGAAGAAATAAATTTTGTGTGTCAAATTCTGGGTTTGTGTAAAATTGTTGAAATATATTTAAAATATAAAGGTTTTTAATTTTTATTAAATTTTTATTAAATTTTAGGTCAAAAATAGGGTCGTGGGTTCGACCCCGCTCGGGGAAAATATTTTTTGTTTTTGTCTATTTTCATGGGTTTGCTTATTTTTCAATATTTTTTAAGTTATTTTAAATTAATTTTTGGTTTTATGGACCTTTTGAGGTCTTTTGCCAGTTTAGGCATTTTGTCGTTTTTTGACATTTGGGCGTTTTGTCGGCTGAATTTTTTTGAATATTTTGAATTCATTCTTTTTTAAGCCAAAAATAGAGTTCAGATTTCCATGGGAATTCCGGATCGGCACTGTAGCTTGACAAAATCCGGCCTGATTTTTCAACGTTTTTTAGGTCACCTCATAATTTTAGAGGAGTATCATGGGGGGTCGTGGGTTCGACCCCGCTTGGGGTAAATATTTTTTATTTTTGTTATATTTTTAATATATTTAATAAAAATGATTAATCAAATTAATTAAATTGAAAAATATTTAATTTTTAAATCAAAAAAGCAAAACAAAAACTGCCAAAATTCCACTAATCAAAATTTTATTTAATTCTTTCTCCCCTCTAATTGCCCAGTTGCAACTATCAGCATAACAGCAACAGTAGCTTTGGGTATTTGTAGTTGAATTGTAGCACCCTCCTGCTGAGTTAACCGTTCCGTTTAAGAACTGGAAAATTATTAGAATATGTAGGGTTTTAATTCTCTCCTACCCCAACTTTTTTCCATCTTACTTACACCACAACCTTCCCAGATATCCCAATCCCTTGTTAATCCATCTAGAAGTGATCCCAGTGTTTGGGATAAGATGGGGAGATTGACAGGGATATGTCGGAGCCAGGACTGAGCGGCAATGGCGTTTGGCGTCCATTTTTGGCCGATTTTTGGCGTTTTGCGTTTGGCGTGTTTTAAAAATTTGAAAAATTCAACGCGAAAATTTTTGCGCACAACCCTGGTCTGAGCCTCTGACCTCTTTATATAGAGAGCCTTACCGTGCAGTTGCTTGTCTGACATCCCCTCATTACAATTTGATTAACATAATCAACGGATTTTGTGCATGCAACGGTAGGGCTCATAGAACAAGCTGCAGAACTCCCTGACAACTGGGCATTTAAAGCAGTTTGTCCCTGATAACAATTTAGGGCAAAAATTGTTGAGGGGAGAGTTGTGAGTAAAATGAGGAATATGACGATAAACATTTTTTTTGGTTAAGTGGGAAAATTGTTTAATTTTTGTGGGAGATGGAGAATTAAAAATTAACTAATTGTCAACAAGGAGTGGGAATAATGGGAAAACTTTTATTTTTTATTTAAAGTTAAGAAAGTGACAATTAATAATAAAAAAATAAAAAAGGAATAGGTTGGAAGGGAACCTCTCCTAGGCAACAGAAAATGACAATAAAGATTTCTAAATTGAGAATAGAGGGAAACAGAATTAAAAATAAGATTAAGATATTTAAATGGATTATAAATCAGGAAACGGAATTGTTAAAGTTTTGATAAGGGATAGGACTGGGAGAGTCGTACGAGAGTCGAGATTGTTATTTAGAAAGTCTTTAGCTTGACAGCCTAGATTTTGTTCAAGAAACGCTTGGGCTGATCTTTAGTATTCCAACCCTTGGGATCACTTCTAGATGGATCAACAAGGGATTGAGATATCTGGGAAGGTTTTGGTATAGGTAAGAGATTTAAAAAGGTGGTGTAGGAGAGAATGCTTTAGTTTTATCAGTAGCTCTGTCTTGGAATAATTTTTTGTTTTAATATTTAAACTAATACCAATTTTCTACAAGATAATCCCGACGTTAACAGCCTTTGCCAAAAAATCCTTTAAGAGACAAAAAATGATGTTCAGTAGGCGGCGTTCGGTTATCTAGTGATCTTCGAATATCCAGAGTTGTCTCGATATTAAACCCGTGGAATTCCGTTTTTTGAGAATTTAAAAGTCATGATCCTAAAAACGTTGGGTCCCTGATCCGAGCGTATTGTTTTTTCTGTCTTCTATTTTTATTGTTTGATTGTTTTCCTTTTTTAATTCAAAAAAATAATTTTTTTCTACAAAAAACCGGAAACTTTTTTCCTCTAAATATTTCCTTCCCTATACACAAAATTCCCCAGGGCAACGTGTAATATGTATTTAATAATTATGTGTCCATTATAATAATAGGGAGGATAAAGAAGATTTTTACGTTTGAAAAGAGGTAATTAGTTGGATGGGGGAAAATTTCATTTTTAAAAAATTATTTGCCGTTAAAATTATTTGCCGTTAAATCCCCCCTTGGTAAATCACACAAAAAAATTTTTTTTATTAAAAAATGTTAAATTCCCCCTTCCAATTTTTTATTTTTATTTCGTTTTTGGTTAATTTAACATATCTAATTAATCTTGGATTAATAGAATCTGATTCGGATTTGGTTAATGTATGCCAGACGGCGTTGAATGAAGCTAGGGTAGCGGGGAAGTGTTCGAATGAGGAGATACAGTTGAGTGAAGGAATTAAATTTTTTTTTAATTTAAGGTAGTGGAAGGGTGGTGGAAGCAGACCTGGTCACGGGTACTGATTAGGGATGGGCGAAATAAAATATTCTTTTGGATATTCGACCAATTCCAATTTTTTATCCTTTAGCATTGGAAGGGCCGTGGAAAATCGACGAAAAATGTCAATTTTCCCTTTTCAAGGGTCATGGGTTCGAACCCGCTTGGGGTAAATATTTTTTGTTTTCGTCCACAACTCTTCCAAAGGACTCCCAAGGTCCCCATCGTATCCCCAGACTTTTTTGAATCTGCATATGGATATGCCAACCCCCATTCCTTCCCAGCCTAGGGGATAAAGCAAAAATCAAAACCGCCTGTCTTGGGTGGGTTGATTGAGAGAGGATAACCTTTGGCCAAAAGCCGAAATCAAAGCGCTTCTCTTGAAGAGCTAGGCCAATTTACTCTATAATCGAGGTCAATTTTTGTAGAAAATGTCTCATTGAATAATCCAAATTTGCTTAATATACAAAAATACATTTATTAAATTACTTAAAGAATATCAAATTTTTGACGATCGGTCTATATCGTTCAGTTTTATTCGATAATTTTTGGAACGGGGGTTTCCCGGGAACCCCTACACAAATTTTTAGAACGATAACCTCCTTTACAGAATTGTCAACGTCTCTTCTGGCTGCGGCACTCTATCAACATTTAGTTTCCTTAGCCAAAACCAAAATCAAAGCGCCTCCTTCGGCACAGCCAACGCTGCTTCTCTATACTTTCAAAATTCGATTCAAGCGATAATTTCGAGTAGATGTGCTGAAGAAAGTAAAGAAATTGGGAGGCTGGGCTATTTTTGGAAATTGCCAGTAATTAACAGGGTTGGGAGCTATTTAGAATTGTTTAGAAGAGAATTGTTTCCAGTGGTGACACATTTTACTGGTTTTAGTGTTGTTGCTATAGGTGAAACTGTTGCAAAGTTGATGCAGAGAATGAATCAAACACAGGTTTTTAGGCGTGTTCAGACATTTTGCCAAACACACATTTGGCCAATGAAGAGAAAAACCTACGTTTTGTCAACAAACTTGTTGGCAAAACGTGCAATTTTAGCCTTATTGGCCAAATATGTTTTGGCAGAATGTGTAAGAGCCGTTTTTGGCGAGATTTTTTTTTGAAATTTCCAAATTTATAGTTAATGCTAGTCGGCCCAAAAGCCGTGGACATTGAAAGACCACCCCTTTGGCCGAGCATTTCCACAATTCTGAAAGCCTCGGGATTGTCAGTGCAGACTGTGGAGGTGGATGAGTCTAACGGGCAGAGTGTAGACAATGCACATAATACATTACGGTCTCCGGTTAAAAGTTTGTGTATTTTTTGTGTTTTCCGGAAGGAAAATTTATTTCCAGTGATCGCCGTCGACACTTCATTCTCTCTACTTGACTCGATTCTAGACGATATAGGCTTAATTGACTTGGGTGGCTCTAATGCTTATATGGTTCTTCTAATTTGTGCGTACCCTTTGGAGGATTGTATAAAGGACCAAACACTTCGAAATTCAATAGCTTCGGGTGGTTTTGCTTTGATTACACCTTATTCGAGTGAATGGGCACAGATTAGACAAAATGTATATCCGAAAATGATGACTGGTCAGCAGTCTACGGTAATTTGAAAAAATTAATTTCAAAGTGTCAAAATGTCGAATTGGCCAAAATACTATCGACCAACTGTCATTTTGATCAAATGTCATTTTGACCAACTGTCATCAGGTGTCATTTTGACCAATTGTCACTGTGACCAAGTGTCGTTTAGGCCAATTGCCATTTTGACAAAAAAATTTGTCAAAATGTCAAAAATCATTTTGTCACAGAACCTTTTGAAAATTCAAATTTTCTTTTCAGGAATCATTTTTAGCTACCTTAGCTATTTACAATGCTTGTTATGGTTTCTGCCTTGGCTCTTCCCTTACCGGCACCGGCTCATTTGCTAGCGATCCAAATAATCCAGCTTTTGTAGCCAATTTGCGTGGAAAATCATTTCAAGGCATTTACCCTTTTATTTTTACCAAAACGACCTTTTCAATTTAAAGGCTCTTTCGGCCAAGTAAATTTAACTTCTTGGCCCGCCCCTTTACAAAATTTAGCAATTTACATTTTGCCTTCCAGCGGAGGGCAATATTCCTTAATTTACACGGCAATTTCAATCCCCTCCTCTTCCTGTGGAACTTTTGAGTGTTTTGATATTCAACTACAAACATCTCCAAATATTTCTGAGGACCTTTTATGGCAGAAACAACGCTCAAACACCATTCCCTCATGCATTTATTCTGGAGGGTGTTCAAGTTTGGCACCTTATATTTCTGCTGGGGCGGCTATTGTTTTGGTTGCAGCTGCCGCTGGAATTGTTTACACGATACAGAGAAAGTGAGTTTTGGGGATTTTTAAAAAAATGTCAAAGTGTCGAAAAAAAAATTTCGAAATGTCAAATTTCATAGTGTCAAGACGGAAAAATTCCGTCATATCACCCGGAAACCGATTCAGACAAATGATATGTCATTCGAAAGATCTCGCCGAGCTGAGTCGAACGACACCAAAATTAGCTTCGGGACTCACCTGTGGGCCGAGATATAGGTCCCCGAAAATCGAAAAACCAAAGGGGGGACCAAGCACTTTTTTGGGGTAAAAAATTCGAATATGCAAATTATACCTCATTCGAAAGAGCTCGTCGAGTTGAGTCGAATGACACCAAAATCAGCTCGAGATCTTTATTCTGAGTCGAGATAAAGAGGCTCAAAATGGTCACGTATACCTACGGGGCATTGGCGAGGCGCTTGTGCAAAACTCCGCGCTTCGCGCGGAGTTTTGCGGCACGCGCCTCGCGGGGAGTCAACGGGCGCTGGGTCTGGGCTCGTAACATAAACTTATGCCTATTTTAGCTGCGGTCGGCATGGTCTGGCTTCCTCCCCAGCAACAAAAACCTGCACGTAGACCAAAGGTAAGGAGCTAAAACTAATACTCATAACTTTGTCAAATCAAGTCGGATTTCGCTGATTTTGGTGTCATTCGACTCAGCTCGACGAGCTCTTTCGAATGAGGTATAATTTGCATATTCGAATTTTTTACCCCAAAAAAGTGCTTGGTCCCCCCTTTGGTTTTTCGATTTTCGGGGACCTATATCTCGGCCCACAGGTGAGTCCCGAAGCTAATTTTGGTGTCGTTCGACTCAGCTCGGCGAGATCTTTCGAATAACATATCATTTGTCTGAATCGGTTTCCGGGTGATATGACGGAATTTTACCGTCAAGACTTATAATGCCATTATTTCAAAATGGTAAATTTCATGATGTCAAAATTCAAAATGTCACTTTAAAAATGTCAAAATTTCAAAATGTCAAACATTCAAAATGGTCAAATTTTTTAATTTAAAGAAAACGCCTCGATGTCTTTCGAATGCACTGGAGAATTGGTCGACAACAATTCAAAGTTATCGAAAATAAACAGGCGAAAGGAAAAGCTACAGGAATAGGCCAAGAAGGTGCTTGGAGCAAACGTCGTCAACTTCACGCCTATGCTTTAATTGGTACAAACAAGGCAGAATTTATTGTCTTACGGCAAATGAAGAAGGTGAGGATACTTCAAGACCTTATTATTGGATACCCCAGAATTACATCTCTGTTTAAGATACCCTCATTATAAGAGACTCTCTATTTAAGATACACTCATTATAAGAGACTTTCTATTTAAGATACCCTCATTATAAGCGATTCTCTATTTAAGATACCCCTCATTATAGGGGACTCTCTATTTAAGATACACCTCATTATAAGCGATTCATCCTTAAATCTCATTATAAGATAGGGTAGCTTGTATAGGGTAACTTGTAGTGGTGTGTTTTCTTTTTGTATTTTTTGTGTTTTCTTTTTTAATTTTATTTCCTCCAAAACAGATTTATTGGGACAAAATTGAACTCCATTTTATTTTTGAACTCAAAAAATTAAATCATGATAATTTAACAACATTTATGGGTATATGTTACAATGATGGGGACAAGTAAATATTTTTTTTAATTTTTTTAAAATAATTTTTAAAGATTTTATGTGTGCCATTCACTTGTGGAAAGGGGAACTCTCGAAGATTATATACACGGTAAATTTGTGTTTTTGTTTGTGTGTTTTCTTTTTGTTTTCTGCTTTGTTTTTCTGATTTTTGTGTTTTTGTGTTTTGTTTGTATTTTTTGTTTTTCTGATTATTTGTTTCTGATTTTTTATTTGTTTTATTCTGATTTTTTATTTGTTTTATTCTGATTTTTGTGTTTTGTCTGTATTTTTTGTTTTTTTGATTATTTGTTTTTGCTTTGTTTTTCTGATTTTTGTGTTTTTGTGTTTTGTTTGTATTTTTTGTTTTTCTGATTATTTGTTTCTGATTTTTTATTTGTTTTATTCTGTTTGTGTTTTGTTTGTATTTTTTGTTTTTCTGATTATTTGTTTCTGATTTTTTATTTGTTTTATTCTGATTTTTGTTTTTTGTTTGTATTTTTTGTTTTTCTGATTATTTGTTTCTGATTTTTTATTTGTTTTATTCTGATTTTTGTGTTTTGTCTGTATTTTTTGTTTTTTTGATTATTTGTTTTTGCTTTGTTTTTCTGATTTTTGTGTTTTTGTGTTTTGTTTGTATTTTTTGTTTTTCTGATTATTTGTTTCTGATTTTTTATTTGTTTTATTCTGTTTGTGTTTTGTTTGTATTTTTTGTTTTTCTGATTATTTGTTTCTGATTTTTTATTTGTTTTATTCTGATTTTTGTGTTTTGTTTGTATTTTTTGTTTTTCTGATTATTTGTTTCTGATTTTTTATTTGTTTTATTCTGATTTTTGTGTTTTGTTTGTATTTTTTGTTTTTCTGATTATTTGTTTCTGATTTTTTATTTGTTTTATTCTGATTTTTGTGTTTTGTTTGTATTTTTTGTTTTTCTGATTATTTGTTTCTGATTTTTTATTTGTTTTATTCTGATTTTTGTGTTTTGTTTGTATTTTTTGTTTTTCTGATTATTTGTTTCTGATTTTTTATTTGTTTTATTCTGATTTTTGTGTTTTGTTTGTATTTTTTGTTTTTCTGATTATTTGTTTCTGATTTTTTATTTGTTTTATTCTGATTTTTTATTTGTTTTATTCTGATTTTTGTGTTTTGTCTGTATTTTTTGTTTTTTTGATTATTTGTTTTTGCTTTGTTTTTCTGATTTTTGTGTTTTTGTGTTTTGTTTGTATTTTTTGTTTTTCTGATTATTTGTTTCTGATTTTTTATTTGTTTTATTCTGTTTGTGTTTTGTTTGTATTTTTTGTTTTTCTGATTATTTGTTTCTGATTTTTTATTTGTTTTATTCTGATTTTTGTTTTTTGTTTGTATTTTTTGTTTTTCTGATTATTTGTTTCTGATTTTTTATTTGTTTTATTCTGATTTTTGTGTTTTGTCTGTATTTTTTGTTTTTTTGATTATTTGTTTTTGCTTTGTTTTTCTGATTTTTGTGTTTTTGTGTTTTGTTTGTATTTTTTGTTTTTCTGATTATTTGTTTCTGATTTTTTATTTGTTTTATTCTGTTTGTGTTTTGTTTGTATTTTTTGTTTTTCTGATTATTTGTTTCTGATTTTTTATTTGTTTTATTCTGATTTTTGTGTTTTGTTTGTATTTTTTGTTTTTCTGATTATTTGTTTCTGATTTTTTATTTGTTTTATTCTGATTTTTGTGTTTTGTTTGTATTTTTTGTTTTTCTGATTATTTGTTTCTGATTTTTTATTTGTTTTATTCTGATTTTTGTGTTTTGTTTGTATTTTTTGTTTTTCTGATTATTTGTTTCTGATTTTTTATTTGTTTTATTCTGATTTTTGTGTTTTGTTTGTATTTTTTGTTTTTCTGATTATTTGTTTCTGATTTTTTATTTGTTTTATTCTGATTTCTGTGTTTTGTTTGTATTTTTTGTTTTTCTGATTATTTGTTTCTGATTTTTTATTTGTTTTATTCTGATTTTTGTGTTTTGTTTGTATTTTTTGTTTTTCTGATTATTTGTTTCTGATTTTTTATTTGTTTTATTCTGATTTTTGTGTTTTGTTTGTATTTTTTGTTTTTCTGATTATTTGTTTCTGATTTTTTATTTGTTTTATTCTGATTTTTGTGTTTTGTTTGTATTTTTTGTTTTTCTGATTATTTGTTTCTGATTTTTTATTTGTTTTATTCTGTTTGTGTTTCTGCTTTGTTTTTCTGATTTGTATTTTTTAATGTTTTTATTTTATTCTGATTTTATTTGTTTTTGTATTTTCTTTGTATTTTTTCAGATCTCGATTTTCAATTAGACAACACTTTTCGTTCTGCCTTCCTTCGAGATATACTCAAAGGTGTCAAATATTTACACAAGTCGTCTATTGGATACCATGGAATGTTGAATTTACAAAATGTTTTGATCGATTCCAATTGGGTGTTGAAATTGACCAATTTTGGAATTGGAAATTTATTAAATAGGGCTATTAGGAGGGAACAATTACAATTAATTGAGCTGATTCCGTTAAATAGTAAGTTTGGAATTTTTAATTTTCGTGTTTCGGAGTAGGCATTGGGAACCAATTTCGAAATCTTGGCGTTTTGAAATTTGGGCGTTTTGACATTTGGGCATTTTTGATTGTGGCTTTTTGTCCTTTTGACACTTTGAAATTTTTGCGATTTTTAATTTTTTGAAATTTCTATTCGAAATATCGTTTATAGTTTTACGAAATTTCGTATTTCGTAATTCAAATGAACGTTCATGTAATTAATTTCAGGTACTCGGGGACATTTAACTGACTTGATAATTCACCTAATAATTTTTATTTTAAGCCTATTTAACGGTTGCACCAGAGAATTTAATAGATATATCCTATGGAAGAGAATACCCAAACGGAACAACAATAGGCGATATTTACAGTATGGGGATGGTTATGTACCACATTTTGTTTCGACTTGCCCCCTACGAAAGAACAACCCTAAGCCCAAAAGAAGTTATTGACCAAGTCAGACAACACAATTTAAAGCCTATTCTCGAAAATACTTTGCCTGAGGAAAAACCTGTAAGAGGGGATTTTTGAATTTTTTAAATAAAATTTGAATAGTTGGTGGATGCAATGGAACAATGCTGGCAGAAGAATTTGGATTTGCGCCCGAGATTGAGACAGCTAGCTCAAGTTGTTTCTACAGTGTTTCAGGCGTCGTAAGAAACTTATTTTAATTTAGAAAAATTATAAAGTCGTACCTCACTATTAGAGACCCCTTTAGAGCTGAGGTAGGTGTGCCTTATAACAAGGGGTAACTTAAATAGAGGGGTGTCTTATGAGTAGTGGTCAGTCGGAAATGACGAATGTGTCGGAAATCGAAATTCCGACCGACCCCTGTTTATGAGTAAATGTATCTTAATTAGGAGGTATCACCTGGACAGCTTTTCATATTTTTAAATCTTGACATTTTGCAGTTTGGGCATTTTGTAATTTTGACATTTTTTAATTTGGGCGTTTTGGCCTTTTGACATTTTTTAATTTGGGCGTTTTGTAATTTTGACATTTTTTAATTTGGGCGTTTTGTAATTTTGACATTTTTTAATTTGGGCGTTTTGTAATTTTGACATTTTTTAATTTGGGCATTTTGGCCTTTTGCCGTTTTTAAATATTTTTTTGAATTTTCATATTTCCCTCACACCCAGTGGCCAACCAAATTTTATAAAACTTATCTTAAATGAGGTCTGATTATATTTTTAAAAATACAGGCAAGGCAACTTAATCGACCAAATGCGAAGAATGAACGAAAAACACGCCTTAAATCTCGAAAAATTGGTAACCCAACGAAACGCCGAATTGGCACAAGCTCGAGAACAAACAGAACGTTTACTAAACGAAATGTTGCCCCCAAGTATTGCTGCACAATTAAAAGAACATAAATCGGTTGAACCTCGCTCTTATGATTCTGCTACAGTTTTGTTCTGTCAATTGGTTGATTTTTCTACTGTTTTGAGTAAATTCCCGCCGGATCAAGTTATTGACTTTCTTAATCAAGTTTTCTCTACGTTCGATACAATTATACGAAATCATGATGCTTATAAGGTTGAAACTACTGGGGAGGTATAGTTTTATGATTTTTGACATTTTTGAATTTGGAAAATTTCACGAAATTTCGAAATCTTTCGAAATTTCGAGATCATTACGAAATTTCGAAATAAGCACGAAATTTCGAAATCATCACGAAATTTCGTAAATATTTCGAATTAATTTCGTCTTATTTTAGACATATATGGTGGCGTCTGGAGTCCCTAACGAGAATGAAAATAGACATGTTTTTGAAATATCAGAAGTTGCTATGGAATTTAGAGAGGTTTTTTTAATTTTTTTTAAATTTATTGATTTTTCGAAGGTTTCCTACACTTATAAATCAATAAATTTCCCTGATTGGAAATTACAATTAAGAATTGGCTATCATTGTGGGCCTATTGCTGCTGGGGTTATTGGAATTAAAGCACCTCGATATTGCCTTTTTGGAGATACTGTATGTCGAAATGGAAAAAATTTCAAAATGCCGAAATTTTAAAATGTCCAATTTTCAGGTCAACTTTGCTTCTCGAATGCAGAGCAATGCGGCACCCAACCAAATCCAAATGAGCGAATCTACTGCGCTTTTGTTAATGGGAGTGTCAAAGTATAAGTTGACGAAACGAGGCATTGTCAAAGTGAAGGGGAAAGGAGAGGTATTTTATTTGGGTAGTTGACGTTTTGAAGCTATTTGACATTATGACATTTTTGTGGTTGTTGACATTTTGTATTTTTGTCATTTTGAAATCTGACCCTTTTGCAATTGACCATTTTGAAATTTTTTTTCTTTTCAAGGTAAATACTTATTGGCTCAATGAATGGCGTTCAAATGAAGGACAAAACCCTGTGGACGGAAGTGGAGGAGGCCGATTATTGCAAGAACCTTTAATCCCTCCAAGGACAAGTCAATTACGCAGTCCAATCCCGACCAGAGAAAGTAGTGCAATGCTTGGATTGGAATTATTAAATGATGCTATAATTACAACAACAACACAGGCAGGTTTTTAATTTAAAAATAAATTTTTTCAATTTGAAAAAAAATTTTAGAGCACCGGGCTAAGGAATAGGCAAGCATCAATGAGTAGTAGCAAAAATCGAGGGGGAGTTGATGAAAACGATGAAAAATTGTAAATATTAAATTGGAGAGGTAACGGTTATTTTTTGATACGAAAAAATTTTTTAGTTGACATTTTGAAAGTTACCATTTTGAAAAAAAATTTAGTTGGCATTTTGTCGGTTGGCATTTGGCAAAAATTTTTGAAATATTTTTTGGCATAATGTCACTTACAAAATTTATTTTTTAAATTTTTTTAACTCTGTTTCTGCCATTTCCTCCTTTTCCTCATGTTTTTATAATAACTTTTAAGTGGTTTCCTTTTAGTTGGTATATAAAATCAATTTTGTGACACTCTCTTTTACTAACTTTTTTCTCTTTTCTGTGTTAAAAATAATTTTTTTCTTTGCTGATTTTTAATATAATTTATAGACTTATCTTTTTTTGTATTTTGTGATTAAATAATTAATTTTTCTTTTGATTTCTTTTAGTTTGTTTCTTATCAGTTGAACAATTTTTATCATTATTTTTGATATTTTAATCATAAAAATATTTTTTAAAGCTATAATAATGACGTTTTTAGAGGTTTTATTATTTAAATAAAAATATAAAAGCCTTGGGCGCTAGATGGATTCGAACCCACGACCTAAAAATGACCAAACCAAAAGCGATCCCACTTAACCAAAATATAAAAAATTTTTAAAAAATTTGTTTTCAGCCTCAGAATGACTACTTATATTTTATTTTTATTCATTTTTATTTTCTCAATTTTTGATGGATCATTTGGAGCAAATATATTAATATCTCCTAGCTGGTTGAGCCCTGTACACAGATTTACAATGAGGGAATTGGCAGCGGAATTGTTAAAACGTAATCATTCGGTTACTTGGTTAGAATATGGACTTAGACCAGTTAGTTTTTTGTTTTTAATTAGTCCGCAACTTTTGCGGAAAGTCCGCATATTTTTGTTCGCAAGTTTTTTTGCGGACAAAAAATTTTTTGCGGATCTTTGGAGGGTACTCTTGTTTTTTAACTTGCAGATAAAAAAGTTGTGGACTTTCCCTGTATAACTAAAAATTTTTAAATATCCCTTTAATTTAGCACGACTCAATTTTACTGCCCAAAGGCGTTGAAGAAATTTTTCTGCGAATAGAAAATGCCCCAAGAGTCACAGCACTTTTAAATCCGAAAGGCAAAATTCAACTAACAAGTAATTCACAACTTTGGCAAGAAAATTTTTGGGTGCCAGTGGAAAAAACAAATGGTTGGTTGGCATCTTTGGATTTATGCCGGGCTGTTCTGAAGGAACACAAAAATGCTTTTGATAAACTTGTTCAAAGAGAGTTTGCTGCTGTTGTGGTATATTTATTTTTTTATTAAGGATTCTTGGCCAAGGTTTATGCCCTCCCTCCGCAGGATCAATCTTTAAGGGGTTGCCAGTTTCGCCTTTTTTGACGTTTCGCCGAATTTCGCCTTTTGGTGTTTCGTCTTTCTCTTTTTCGAATTAGTTTCGGCACACCCCAACACCCAATCCAGGGCCCAACCTACCCTCTATATGCTCGATCTTGTGGGTTGACTAAAATAAAATTTTAGATAGATGATTTATACAATCCTTGTGCCCTTCTCCATGTCGGACTTCAAAAATCACTTTTTGTTTATTGGTCAATGACTGGATTGAGAACAGAGTCTGCCTGGGCAAATCAAAGTCCTAGCCCTCCATCTTACATTCCTGTGCCTGGAACTGGGTATAAATTATTTCTTTTTAATTATTTATGTTAGCCTAAAAGTCCGCAAGTCTTATCTTGCGGACTTTTTTTTAACTTGCGGAAAGAATTGCGGACTTTTGGCTAGATAATTAGAAGGAAACATGATTTATATTTTTTTATTTTTTAACAGATTAACGGATGAATTAGGCTTCTGGTCAAGAATTTACAATTTATTTGCTTATTTAAGAGAATTATATATTCACCAACATTTAATTCTTCGTCGGATGGATAAATTATTTGAGGTTTATTTTTTAATTAAAAAATTTTTTAAATAAATTTTAGAAACACTATCCAAATAAAGTACCAGAATCATTTGCGATTGAGAGAAATGCTAGCATTAATTTTGTGAATAATCCGCCGATTTTTGACTTTGCTAGGCCTTATAGTTTGTCTTTTTAATTAGTTTTTAAAATGCCCCCGAAAAGCTAGGGGTTAAAAATGACGGGTTTGAAGTGTCAATTTTTTGATTTTTCTAAAAAAGTCAAAAAAATTTATTTAAAAGTCACGAGTTCAAAATATCAAATTTTTAAAATGACAAGGTCTCGAAATGTCAATTTTCCGAAAATCCAAGGGCTCTAAGGCTCGAAATGTTAATTTTTCCAAAATGTCATTGACTTGAATTATCACTTTTTGAATCATTTTTAGCCAAAATTTCAAAATATTTAATTAAGTAAAACTTAACTTTTTAGTGCCTCGAGTAAATTTTGTTGGAGGTCTTCATTGTCGAAATCAAAGTAAAAATAAATGGGCGGACACGGTTGACATTTAAATTAATTTAAAAAATATTTTTTTAAAGAAATTAGAGCAATTTATAAACAATTCAAATGAAGAGCGTGGATTTATTTTAATTACTGGAGGATTTACAATTCAATGGGCAAATGCTCCAAAGGATGTTATTGTGAGTTTTTAATACTTGGAAATTTTTAGGAGAATTTTTAATTAAGGAAAATCTTCTTGGGGCAATTCGAGAAATGAATGATACGTGGGTTTTTTAATTAATTTTTAAAATTGGGAATGATTTCAAATTGGAAAATTTTCAAAATGTCAAGGACTCAAAACGCCCAATTTTTCATTAATTTTCTTTTCTCTAATATACCAATTCTTTCAATAATTTAGACGATTTGTTTGGCAATACAACGGCCCAGCGCTTCAAAATCCTCCCTCAAATCTTTTCACATTAGAGTGGTTGCCACAACAACAATTACTTGGTTTTTAGAATTTTTTAAAAATATTTTTTCATTTTTTAGCTCATTCAAAATGCAGAGGACATCTTTCACATGGAGGTTTGTTTGTTGTTTTTTTATTTATTAGAAATCCTTAGCTTTTTTCGATATGTCCTTATATTTCTTGGAAGGGAGATTCACAAACTGAGTCAGAATTTTTTATTTTTTGGTACCAATCGATAGAGCATCATCGATTTGCTCTAGAAAATTTTCGGCGTTTTTGGCTGACAATGAGAATATGAAACTAAAAAGTTCAGGGCTTCAAAGTTTGCCAAAAATGGTGGATAAACTATTGCAAACTTTGAAGCTTCATAACTTTTTAGTTTTCATATTCCTAGCCAAAAAAGGCGAAAATTTTCTAGAGTAAATCGATGATGCTCTATTCGAAAGGTTCCCTTGTTAGAATTTTTTAGATTTCTTTTGATATCTCCTTAAATTTCTTAGAATTCTCCTTATTTTTTATTTAAAGGCCTAAACAGTGTAATAGAAAGTGTCTGGCATGGAACCCCAATAATTGGCTGGCCATTAACCGCAACTGCCAAAGATAACCTCCTTCGGGTTACTGCACGTCAAGCCGGTTTAATGATTGACCAAAAACGTCCAACAGAAAAACAATTTTTGTCAGCATTTAAAAGAATTTATATAAAATTTTATAAAGAAGAAATGCTTGTATTTCAGGTTTTTTTTGAAATTTTAGACAAATAAGTTGAGGGAGGGGTAGGATTAGATTTGGGGGGGGAGGGCATGTTCCTGACTTCTAGGTTTGATTAATTGACCTGGGCCGGATCTTGGGCCTTCCAGGGTCCAGGAAAAACCCAGGAAGGTCAAAAATGCCTTTGCCTGTACTCTGGGTACAGGAAAAACCCAGACCTTGGTCCAGACCCAGCTCGATCTTCACAAAATGTTTGTGACTTTTTGGGGAAATTAATTTTAAAAAATTATTTTTAAAGGATATGTTAATAGATGTTCCCTATACAGAATTAAACCACTCAGCATTTTGGGTAGAATTTATTGTTAGACATCAAGAAGTGCCTCATGCACGTTCTGGTGCTGATGATTTGAATATATTTCAGGTTTTTTAAATTAAATTAGTGGATAATTTTAGGGGATTATTCTGAATTGAATAAGGGAAATAATTTTGGGTTTTGTTCTGTAGGCGTTGGTGGTGTAATGGTTAGTGGTGGGGACTACAGGGGTCACCAATGTACGTTCGATTTCTCTCATCGGAAATATGTATTTTTCGAGGCTTTTTTGGACTAAAAAATATTTTTTATTTTTTTCCGTTATAAAAAATTTCTGAAAATTTTTTAATTTTGGGAAATAGAGGGAAACCGAACCCTAATAAAAAAAATATTTTTTTAAGTATTTCTTGGTTGATGTAACATTATTTTTAATTGGCTGTACTCTCTTATCAATCTGGTTGTTATTAAACTTGCTTAAATTAACTGTTCGTTTACTTTGTTGGACAATTATATATTTAAAATGTTGTGTAATTCCAAATAAAAGCAAAAAATCTGTGATTGAAAAGAAGGATCCAATAGCTAAGAAGAAGGATTGAAAGGAGGAAAATTTAGGTTAAAAAAGTTTAATTTTTTTTAATATTTTTTTAAATATATAATTATTTTGCTCATTTTTGATTTTAAAAACTCGAAAAATTTTTGAAAATTTTCAAAAAAAAATTTTTTTTGCAAAAATTTTTTTATTAGGGTATTTGTGGTGTAGTGGTTTAGTGTTGAGGACTACCCATATTTTCAATGAAGGTTCGATTCCTTTTAGGGTAAAATATTTTCTTTTTTTCTTTTTTCATTTTTTGAGAGTTAAAAACAATATTTATAGTCACCACAAATATCCCTAATATCAAAAAAATTTTTTCGAGATTTTTTGAAAATTTAAAAAAAATTTTCACATTTTTTTTAGATTTTTTTTTCATCGAATAAAGGATTTTTAAAATTATAAAAATTTTTTGTTTATTTTTTAGTTTAATATTCTAACATTATATCGTTTAAAAATTAAAAAAATGAACCTTTGATATTTGGGGATGTTAGCTTTTAGGATAGATTAATAGAGAGAGAGTGTGTAAAAGAAGGAGAGACGGTTAGAGAAAAAGAAGAAAAATGGCTGTTAGCTTTTGTTTGTAAGTCAATTTGTGATGATGGCTTTGTATGCTTTAAATAGAGAGATAAATTGGCTGGTTTGGTTGAAAGGATGTAGAAAAATAGTTAGGTTTGTGACCTCCCCCCCTTACCCCCTATTTTAAAATTTTCAAAAATTTTTCAAAAAAATTCTTGGAAATTTTTTTTGTTTTTCAGGACGAGAATTAATATGAATTGTTAATTTATTATTATTTTGTGTTTATTTTATGGCCAAAATTCAAGAAATGTCATCAACATCTTCAAGCAACGAACCCCCCTCACCCACAAACTCCACCGGATTAAATGGACAGAATGGACCCGTAACGTTTTTTGTGCCGGCAAATCAAAGAAACACTTCGAAAATATCGGCAGCTACACATGCTGCGAGTAAGTTGATGGAAGGAGGTTTTTTAAAAAAATTTTTGAAAATTCTCGATTTTTGGGGGTAGTCGGATCCCTGGGCTAAGCAATCTAAAAATATGGAAATTTTTGTGGAAAAGAAGGCAGACTATCTGGCGCTTATTAAGAAGGAGGTTTGCTATTTAAAAAGGGCGAAGGCACATCGTTCTGGTAACTCATTGTCGGTAGAGTTCTGTTCGTGGTGAGCGAGAGCCTTTTGGCAATTTCTGCTAGAGGGTTGCAGTTTGATGCCTGCTTGGGGCTAAACTTTTACCTCTCTTTTTGTTTCTTTTGTTTAAGGAATCCGGTCGATAGAGAGAGGGAACTTTATCGATTTTTAAGAAACACAAATTTGAGACATTTGCTCCCTTAGAATTCAAGACTCCAAATAAAAATGCCGGCAAGTCACGATTTTCTATTCTTAATAAAAATGGTCGAAAATTCACGAATCCAGGGTTCTGAGACTTCAGTAATTTTTTGTAAATTTTTTTCTTTTCTAGCAATGATGGTCAACAGCCTCCCAGCAGGATTAGCAGCTCCTCAACAAATCCCCCAAACGTCAACGCATGCAATTGTTGCCGCGGTTATTAACCCTGCTGGGCAGGGAATTCTTCCACTTGGATCTGCTAGTTCTGAACTTTTATCAGCTTTTGAATGTCCAGTTTGTTTAGGTTTGTTTTTGAATTTTTAAAAGGATTTGGGGTGAATATCCCCCCTTCGGTACTTTTCTGTTTTGCCACACCCCACCCATATATTCGCAGGATATATTTTTTATTTTTCTTTTATTCGTACAGAAAGGTCAGTTTTCTTTCTTCCACAATTTCACTTAATTTGCTCTGTGGACTCAATCTTCCGTGTTCACTCGATTTTCCCAAATGCTGATTTCAATTTTGATGACATTGGAAAGAAAAATTAATCTTCTCTTTTTTGGTGTCTCTCATTGAACATGCCAGAGGGAAAATTGAGGAAGAAAGAAAATTGACCTTTCTGTACGAATAAAGGAAAAATAAAAAATATATCCTGCGAATATATGGGTGGGGTGTGGCAAAGCAGAAAAGTACCTTCTTCTCCCTCAGGTTTAACCCTTCTTCTCCCTCAGGTTTAATTTTAAGATTAATTTTTTATTAAAGTTTTTGACGGTTATGAGTCCAATGAACCTTTATGAGTTGTTTGGAACAGGGATAGACTGGGCAGAGAAAAATGTCGAATAGGATTACGCTTAGCGCGTCGTTATGTCAAAAATCCCTTATGGCAAAAAATCACCAAAAGCTGCCGAAATGGCAAACGGCTTCATACCGGATTTCGAATCGGGTCTTCTAAGTTCTCGGATAGGATGTCGGATTTAGAAAGCCGCTACAGTTATAAAAAATCTCAGCCTCTTGCGGCAAGAGAGATAAAGGGAAAAGAGAAGAAAGATTTTGACATCAGACGATTTTGCGCACGATTTAGGGTCGTTTTTTATGTTGTAAAGATGAGTAAAGCGACTTTTATGGGTAGCATTAGGACCAGTTTTTAGGCTTTAAAAATTTATTTCTCCATATTTTTAAATTATATTCTAGATTATATGCTACCTCCATATTTACAATGCCAGGCAGGCCATTTAGTTTGTGGAAATTGTCGTCCAAAAGTCTCGGCGTGCCCTACTTGTAGAGGTTTTTTTTGAGTTTTTAAATTAAAAAAATGTTTAAATTTAAAGGCCCAGTCCCGCACATTAGAAATTTGGGAATGGAAAAAATTGCAACAAATCTTCAATTTCCTTGTAAATTTGCACATTCTGGTTGTAATCAATTCTTTTTCCATCAAGAAAAAGTTGAACATGAAGAAATTTGTGAATTTCGGTTAATTTAAATTTTCGGGGTTTTATTGGATATTTGGGCAGACTTTGTTGTAAGATACTCCTTTAGGGATGGGAAAGGTATTTCAAATAGATGGGTAAATTTGACATTGTGACAGTTATAGTAGTACCATCTTTAAAAAAGTCCGCAAGTTCTATCTTGCTCATCAGGCCCGTAACTAAGATTTTTTTCGAGGGGGGGGGCTCTTGGTTACGGGCCTGTTGCTCATAAAACTTGTGGTCTTAAAGATTGCTGAAGCAACTCCTCACATTCTGGCTGACATATAAGTGGATTTCTTTAAAATGAATCTTATCTGGTATTGGGATTATAAGGGTCCAATGCTTTGTTTTACTATCACGAAAATTTTTTTGAACTATTAATTTTTTCGTTTTATTCCAGTCCATATCAATGCCCATGCCCTGGTGCTTCTTGTAAATGGCAGGGAGGATTGAACGATGTTATGGGACATTTAATGAAATTGCATAAATCTATTACTACACTTCAAGGAGAGGATATTGTTTTTCTTGCAACTGATATTAATTTGCCTGGAGCTGTTGACTGGGTTTGTTATTTTAAATAGAGGGATGACATTTGATCCCAAAATAAATTTTTAGAGGGATTCGGCTAAAAAAAAATTTTGCTTAATTTTTCAATAGGTTTGGGACTTAAAAGAATATTTTTTTATATTTCCCTTTTAATCAAAAATTGTTTGGGCACCAAACGGGTTCGAACCCACGACCTCAATAAATGATGACATTTGGTACCAAAAATAAATTTTTTTGTCAATTTTCGAGTGAAAATTAATTTTCTAGATTTTTTAATATCTCTGCTACTAAAAGGAATATTGTTTTCGATAATTTCCTTGAATTAAAAATTGTTTGACCCCCAAGCGGGGTCGAACCCACGACCTCTTAAATGAATAAATTAGTTGTCAAAAAGCCATTTATTTTTTAATTTTTTTCCAGGTTATGATGCAGTCTTGTTACAATGCCTATTTTATGTTAGTTTTGGAAAAGCAGGACAAACAAGAGTAAAAAAATTTTTTCTTATTTTAAAAATCATTTATGTTTATAGACAAGGAGGAACAAGTTATCAAATGTTTTATGCTGTAGTACAATTAATTGGAACTAAAAAAGAAGCTGAAAATTTTGTTTACAAGTTTGTTGAAATTTTGAGGGGTTAAAAAAATTTTATTTTTTTAAAGGTTAGAACTTTCAAATAATAGAAGGCGTTTATTTTGGGAGGCCAGTCCAAGAAGTATTCATGAAGGAGTTGCAGCAGCTATTGCCCAATCAGATTGTTTAGCTTTTGATACAAGCCATGCAAATTTTTTTGCAGAAAATGGAAATTTGGGAATTAATGTTTGTTTCCTCTTTTTTTTTTATTTTGATAGGATGTCCTCACAATTGGAGACCCCTGGGGCTGAAAAAATAATCTTATAGGGAGGTGTGCCTTAAATAGAGGGGATTTTATAATAAAGTGTGCTCTAAATCGAGGGTATCGCTTAATAGCTCCTTCGCCAAGTGGTTAAAACATAAAATTAAAATTTTACCCCGAGCGGGTTCGAACCTGCGACCTCACTCCCATTGAACACAAAGATTTCCCACTTAACCAAATTGCAAAATTCTTTATTAAGAGGTTGAGGGCGCCCTCACCCAAATTAGCCAATCAAATTAAAAACTGCGCATTTTATAATTAGGTGTACCTTAAATAGAAGAGGTATATTGTATAGAGGGTATCGCTTATAAGGAGATGTATCTAACTCTGGGGATAAATTTTTTATTTTTTAAAGGTAACAATTCAACGAGTTGATGGTGGAATGAGCCTGAATCGTTGAAATTTATTTATATCCTTACATTTTTTAGAAAAGGTTAATTTTAAAAAAATTAAATGAGCAAAAATTTGGCAACTTTTTTGACAAAGTAAAAATTGTATAATTTAAATTTTATGTGCATATTCACCTCAATAAAAAAAATTTTTATATGAATTTTAAGTAGGTTAGTCAATAGGAAGAATATATTTTATAATTTTTTGAGTTAAAAAATGTTTGACCACCAAACGGGTTCGAACCCACGCCCTAAGGGGATGACATTTGGTCCCAAAATTAATTTTTTTTGACCATTTTCGATTGAAAACGAATTTACCCGAATTTTTCAGAATGTTTTTTTTGAATCAAAAAAAATTTAAACACCAAACTGATTCGAACCCACAACCTTTCCCCTTACAATTTTAAAAATTATCCACTTAACCAAAGGTTTGCTTGGTGGGTTTTTTACTTAAAAATCAGCATGTTTGGTATATATAGTAAGAGGAATGAATAGGTATATTTATTTAAAAAATCATTTTTAATTACTACAATTTTCTTTGAAATTGAGGCAAATTCAAGTTACTTTTTAATTAAAATTTTTACAATGAAAGGGTGTGAGGTTTTTTAGGTTTTTTAAAAGAAAACTTGAATGAGCCATCAATTTCAGACATTTTTATTTAAAAAAAGTGAATACTAATGTATTTATATTCTATTTTTATCTCTCCAATTTTCCCTGGAATTTTTCTCTTTATTTAAGGTCATCAGGGTTGATTAGACCACGTGCTCGATTCAGTATACTATCCTTTAAAAAATTTTTTTTTTAAAGGAAAGAAAAATTTTTTTCGAAAAACCTTAGAAGCATCATACGGCATTTCCTTCGATGGAATTTCCAAAACTGTAGGAATGCTAGCAATGTGTTGATCAACTTGGTAACGAATCATTTCGGCAATGTGTTGATTTATTAGAATAATTGCAATATCTGAGAAAATTTTAAGAGAAAAATAAAAAAGAAAATTTTGGGATCTAATGTCTCAACTCTTTTTTGACCCTAATTTAAAAATTTTTAGAAATAAAAAAGGTTTTCCCAGGATGGGGTTCGAACCTTTGACCTTTGGGCAGTACAAACTAAAAATTTTCCAACTTAACCATGGGGGCAAAAATTAGAAAAAGTATAATAAGCACATACCGTCACGAGAACAAAAACTTCGAAATGCTTCCTCAATTTCTGAAACGTGTGTATTTTTATCCACAATAAGAAAATTTGATTTGCGGGCCTTGTTTATTTGTCCAATTCCCCCAAGCAAAAAACCAACAACGGTGTCTTCATCACCAATTACTGCCATTAATTTTCCTTTTTGTGCGAACGCCATTTTTCTGATTCTAAAACAAAAATATTATATTTTAGTAAAATGTTTGGTAAAATATGTTAATATTTTTGTCATTTAATAACAATGGAAAGCCTTGATCTTCAGTCCGGATTTGTCGGAAGAATGCTGGGTCATAGATTTTAATTTACCAAAAAGACTGTATAAAGTTGAGAGAGTGGTTAGAGAGTAAAAAAAAATAAGGTAAAACAAAAGTGTAAACAAGGACTGAAAATTTCATAATATCAACAGTTCTCTTTTGGGGGCAGACACAAATTTTCAATAAAGAGTATGTAAAAATGAGAGACTGGTTAGAGAAAGAAAGAAATTACTAGGAAAAATGTAAAATGACGTGCAGTTTCAAAACACCAACTTTCAATTCGTCCATTTCCAATTTTTTGGCCATTTCTTCCTTTATTTGTTTTTTTCTTTAACTTCTCCTTGTTTTTGCTTATCTCTCTCAAGTTTTGCTTTTTTTCAGAATTTCATTTTAACTTGGTGATGGGTTTTTTTTCGGAATTTTTTATATTTTTTAGCTTGTTCCTGCTTAGTAAACGTTTATTTTCTTAGATTATATACATCTTAATATAAGAAGCTTGGAGAAATCGTCAAGATGGGCAAGGGATTCCAAAATTTTATGTCAAAGAAGGATTTCCATCCTAGTGCATGGTGGAACCTTAAACGAGTAAGAATTAATGATTTTTCTCGATATTAGATAAATTTTCTCAATTTTTCTAGAAATGGGAAGCAGAACAAAAGGACGAAATGGAGAAAAAGCGTCAAGAAGAGCTTCGTGTTCAATACCAAAAGGAACAGGAAATATTCCAAAACAAAGCACTTTTGGGTGATGAAAAGGCAAAACTTGGACTTTCATTTATGTATGAAGCTCCTGCTGGAATAAATAAAAAGAAGGAAGAAGGGCCTGAACCAAAATTTGAATGGCAAAGGAAGTACAATGCTCCGAGGGAGGATTGGGCTAAAAATAATGAATTGATACAGGACCAACCTTTTGGAATTCAGGTTTCTTTGGAACCTTTTTGAGAGTAATACTTGCTAGTTTTCAGGTACGAAATGTTCGCTGTGTCAAATGCAAAGCTTGGGGTCACTTGAACACTGACAGGGAATGCCCTCTTTATGGAATGAGTGGAAACGCTGACGATCATGGATGTGGGTCTTTTTAAATTAAAATATGTTTTTAAGAAAATTGGGGGTCCTTGTATTTCAAATTATGTTTATTTCGTCTAGAAAAGTGTTTAACAACCTATTGGGGTCGAACCTTTGACCCTCTTTCCTGAGGACCTACAATTAACCCACTTAACCAACAAAATTTTTTTGACTAATTTTTGGCGGAAAATTTTCTTAAAATTTTTCTATTTTAAAAAACCAAAAAAAAATTTTTTAGATGCAAACAATCCATCAGATTTAATAAAAGAATTGCGTCGAGAAAAGATAGCAAATGGAGAAGGACCTTCATCATCCTCAAGTTTTGTGGTTCCCAAGAAAGAAGAAAAAGATGAAGAATCAAAATATAAAATTGACAAAGATAAAGAAGAAAAAATTCGTTCAAAAACTAGAAGTGAAAGAAAAGAAGAAAAAATGAAGAAAAGACAATCTGAAATTGAAGCGAAAATGGAGGAAGATGATGAGGTTGATGAAGAAGAGGAGAAGAAAAGAGAGCCGATAGCTCAGGAAAAGTTGTTTGAAGATATGAAAGAGGAACACAATTTGAAATTTAAAAATGGAATTTTGAGCACTTTGAGAGCTGACGAAAATATAAAGGTCTTTTATTCTCTTTACCCATTCTATGCTAGGAATGTCGGGACAAACCAAACTGGGTACTTTTGGGATAAAGTTTGAGTCACTCAAGTTTGAGTCACAGTGTTCTTCAATATGTGTATAGTGGTCAGACTTCCTTGTACTTCCGAGACCAAACTAAAGGGAGAGGGTGGATAGTGGGGTATCCACAAAAGACTTTGAACTGAAAAGTTGGAGTCTATTTCTCGGTTTAGGTTAACCGAAGGTGTCGTTTCGTTTTTCGGCTAGGTTTTAGTTACCTGAAGAATTTGGCGAAACTGACAACTCTATATCCTAAATATTTTTAGAAGCTAACAACATCAGTTGCTGGTACTGGAGACAACGCGCAATTTCATTCATTCCTCATGGGATTAAGTGAAAAGAGGCGAAACAAAATTATGAGGTTTTTTTAAAGATTATCTGTTTTTTTTTTCAATATATTATTTCAGGAAAATTTTCAAATCGGGAAACTCCGATGATGAAGAGGATAAAAAGAAGAGCAAACACAAAGACAAAAAATCAAAGAAGAGAAAGGAGGAGAAGAAGCACAAAAGGCACAGATCAAAAGATAGATACAACAAGGATAGCCGACATAATTCAAGGCGTTAATTACTTAGGGGAGTTTTATGCGGTCGAACTTCGTTTCTTGGATGTACCTAATACGAGGATTAAGTCATATTAGGTTAGGATACTTGGAATTTTGTTGGCAACTGGCTGGAGGGTCTGACTAACTAGGCGATATCTCTAGTTTAGAGGGAACTTCTTATATAAGATACGGTTTTTAATTTTGTTGGTATCTTTGGATCAGGAGGAACGACTAATGTAAGAGATAGCCTCAATTAGAGGGATCTCTCCTATAAGGTACTTTCCAAGGCATATCCAGGCCTCCCGCCGCCCCCTCTGAAACAGACCAGACCCCTGGATACGCCTTCGATACTTTCTCAACTTTAAAGCTTTGTCTAAAAATCGAGGTTCGACTTTATTTTGTCAGTCAACTAAATCTACACATTTCTTTTATAAATAAATAAAACTTTCGATTAAACAGTTTATTAACTGCTTTTTTTAAATGTTGCTTGCATATCTATATATTTTTTAAGGCTTATTTTAAATTTTTTTTTTAAATTTTAGAAAAAAATGAGTTTAAAAATAGTTGAGACATTGGAGAATTTAATTAAAACAATTCCTGAAGTTCATTCAATTTTAATTTTGGATTCTGATGGAGTTCCTATAGTTAGTGCTGGAGAAGAAATACGAAATAGAAGTCAATATTCTGCTTCATACAATACTTTGGTGGAGCAGTCAAGGAAGCTTGGGATGGGGACACAAAAATATTGGATTTTTCGTTATGAAATGAGCCAGGTTTTTTGTTTTTAATGTTTGATAATTAGCTGATTAGGGATTGGTTTTTAGGGGAGGTCTTCTTTCATAATTACGATCGATTGCGGTTCAACTGCTCTCTTAACTATTCTGCTCTTTCCTTTTTTCCTTAATCCGTAATTTATTCTAGACGGGTTAGAAGGTCACGAGTTCGAGCCCGTTTGTGAGGGGTAAAAGGAATGATGGATGAGATTAGGAAGAATGGTCTCTTCCAGTTTATATCCAATGTCAGTCATTTTTTTTTGATTCAATTACTGACATATGTGGGAATCCTTTTTTTTATTTTAAAATTAAACCCTTTTAAGTAACTCTTGGAAACCTTTAAACTTTAGCTTTATTTTTAAAGGTTGTTCTTCTAAGTATTGACCAATTTGCCGTTTTTGTTATGGCTTCTTCAAATGCAAATACTGGAATTTTGTGTGCTTTACCTACACAATTAAAATCTGTATTGGATGAATGTTCACAAATTGTAAAGGAAGTAGCAAATGGACAAATTGCACAAATTGTTGGACAGAGCCCTCGACGTTAAAATAAGAAGAAAAAGTTTCTATTTATTTTTAAATATTTAAAGCCAAATTAACAGAATCGTGTATAACACGTTTTGGTGTAGTGGGAAAATTCTGAGTTTTTCCTTAAGAGGTCTCAGGTTCGAATCCTACTGGTGGTAAAGAATTTTTATATTCGCTAAATTCGATCTATTTTCTTATTTAATTTATTGCAAAAAATTTTTAAGCTTTATTTAAATTTAAATTGGCTTCGTTTTTATGTTTATCTTTTTGAATAGATTTATTTTACAAATGTGAAGATGTTATCTTGTTTTTTTAAATCAATAATTACTTTTTCTTTGTTTCTTTTAATTAATCTTTTTAATGTTTAAAGAATCCAAAGCTTATGGAAGAATCAAATTTGCCCGTTAAACGAGAACGTCAAGAAGAGGATAATGAACATGGTGAAGTTTGAAGAAGAAGAGAACCTGCTTTGGCTGTTGAAACGAGTTTGTTTAAAATTTTTTCTGGGGCATTTTGAAGGGCTTTTTGGTTAGTTGACGATTTTAACGGCTGAGAGACTAAGGATATTAAGGTTACACTTTGAAATACTGGGTTTACATTTGAAGTCAACCAATTATATTGATTTTTCTATGTACCTTTGTGGCTTTGAAACCCTTCAAAATGCCCTTGAAATAATTTATTCTCTTGGTCAGTTATTTTAATTTATTTTCTAGTTTCTTCTACAACCTCTTCCAATGGTGCATTGGCATTGGCAAGTTTTATTGGCTTCTGTTCAGGTTTTGGGGTTGGCTCTTTGGGGTTTCTTTGGGTGAGTGTCCCTTTGGGTTTTCTTTGGTTGAGATATCTCGACGGTCAGTGCCTGTGAGTTTCTTGTAGGTCAGTGTCGTTGAGTTATCTTGGTGGTCAGTGCCTGTGAGTTTCTTGTAGGTCAGTGCCGTTGAGTTATCTTGATGGTCAGTGCCTGTGAGTTTCTTGTAGGTCAGTGCCGTTGAGTTATCTTGATGGTCAGTGCCTGTGAGTTTCTTGTAGGTCAGTGCCGTTGAGTTATCTTGATGGTCAGTGCCTGTGAGTTTCTTGTAGGTCAGTGCCGTTGAGTTATCTTCATGGTCAGTGCCTGTGAGTTTCTTGTAGGTCAGTGCCGTTGAGTTATCTTCATGGTCAGTGCCTGTGAGTTTCTTGTAGGTCAGTGCCGTTGAGTTATCTTGATGGTCAGTGCCTGTGAGTTTCTTGTAGGTCAGTGCCGTTGAGTTATCTTGATGGTCAGTGCCTGTGAGTTTCTTGTAGGTCAGTGCCGTTGAGTTATCTTCATGGTCAGTGCCTGTGAGTTTCTTGTAGGTCAGTGCCGTTGAGTTATCTTGATGGTCAGTGCCTGTGAGTTTCTTGTAGGTCAGTGCCGTTGATCTGCAATTTGGATGGGGGTCTAAAAAATTAAGATATTGTATTTTTTTGATAATAGGTAAATGTTTTTTGATACTTTGTTTGAGTTTTACAATGAGAATTTAAAAATTAGTTATCGGTCGGTCGATTATATTTTTACTATTTTTTGAATAAATTTATTTTACAATTTTATAACATCTTTTTGTTTTCAAAAATCAGTAATTATTTTTTGTTTCTTTTATCTTAATTATTTTAGTCAAATTTTAAAAAATCCAAAGCTTATGGAGGAATCAAATTTGCCCGTTAAACGAGAACGTCAAGAAGAGGATAATGGAAATGATGAAGTTAGAGAAGATGCAGAACCTGCTGTAGCTGATGCAACTAGTTTGTTTTTAAACTTGATTTTTTCTTGGGGGTTGTGTATAGGAATATTTTGTCTGCCCTCAGGTCCCTTTGTTGTCTTCACATTTTTGGCTCCCACGTATTCGATTATCTTTCATTCTATTTTTATATCAGGGTCGGAACCAAGAATAGGTTTTTACCCAAATTTAAACGATAGGTGTTTTTGTCCGCAAAATTTGTCCGCAATTTTTTAATCTGAATTTCCACACAGATTCGTCTCCTACCGCTGTTCTTAAAAATAAATTGGACATGTTAAGGCAAGAAGAAGGTGCTCTCCTTTCGTTGTTGTCACGACTCCGTTCGCATCAACGGACTTTACAATTGGAACAAAACAAATTGAATGAAATTTATGAGAACAAAATTAAGGAAAGGGAGAACAGTGAATCGTAGAATTTTAAAGTATTTGTTTAGGTTTTTTGTTTATATGTATTTTAAATTTATAAATAGACTTATTTTGGTGATGGTTATATTTTTAGGGTGATATCTTTGAAGTTTTTAAAAATATTCCCTGAGGCGGTTTAAGTTGTCCTTCCTATCGGTGATCTTTTGGGTGTAACCTGGGATGCCCCGAGGCGTCTCATTTAATTCAAAATATGTCCCGAGGCGTTTAAAGGCGTCATTCTCCTGGGTGGTCTTTTGGAATAATGAACTCGATAACCCAAAAGATCACCTAAAAAAGATCAACAAAGCAGGCATCGCAAAAGATCACCTATCAAAATAACAAGTAAAAAACACTTTTATTAAGAAAAAAACGAAGACATTATTTACAAAATAAAAATTACAAAGCAAAAAACTGACACATTTACTTCCTCTCCTCTCCATTCTGACAACCACAACCTTCATTAGGCATTGCAACAGTTAGTAAAATTGGGAGAAAAACAATTCCATGAAGCAGCGAAAAAATAATTACAAGGAAAACGGTTTTGAAGAAGATTAAAATAATCACAGCATCTACTAGTGTTAAAACCATAATTCCTACAACTGTGGAGAAAGCACCCTTTAAAATGAAAAAATTTTTTTTTTAATTTTGAATTTAACCGAACCAAAAAGACAGGCCAACCAAGTGTTTCCAGCGCTGCAATAGCTCGTTCATTTGACGATAATCCTTCTGGAGCCTTTACAAAAGCATAGGTTATGTGTGCAGAAAGATCAACAGAAAAACCGATGGACATTATCTGATTGTTAATTTTTAAATTTTGACATTTTTAAATTTGAGATTTTGAAAATTTAAAGTGAAAATATTTCAAAATGTCGACTTTAGATATTCTGAAATATTTTAGCCGAGTTGGTATTTCGAAAGTTGATGAAGGAAATTTTTCAAAATATCTAATTTAGACATTTTGAAAAATTTAAGAATAGTCGACATTTTGAAATAACTGAGGGGGAATACTTCAAAATATCAAAAATCGAAAAAACATTTTTTTAATAAAATTTGTCTCATTTTTTGGCCATAACTTTCTTATTTTTCGGCCGTTTCAAATAATTTTTTCACCGATCGATACCCTAAATCTGTAGATCCTTTTTACTTACAGGATCAATATTATAAGACTATCCTCTTAAAAGTTATAGACGTGAAACTCAAAAAATCACGATTGTCTGGACTTAATGGCTTACAACTTTTTAGGGAATGAACTAATCTAAACAGTCACTTTATAAAAAAGAATCAGCACATTCAGAGCTATCGATTGGTAAAAAAATTATTTGAAAATACCGAAAAATAAAAGAGTTATGAATTTTTAAAAATTGGAAAACTCACGATTGTAATCATTGAAACGCCTTAAAAATTGTTAAAAAATTATTTTTAAAAAATTTAAAAAAAAACTGCTTACTTTCAAGATTCACTCCCCATAAAGACATATAACCAATAACACCAATATCAATAGAAACAATAGCTGCAATAATGAAAAAAGCTGCTGGCCAACTTGGAATCATTAATAAAGCAATAAAACCCATACACAAAACTGCTATTAAACAATTGCGGTATAAAGCAGGTTTGAGTTCAATATACTGAAATTAAAAATGTTAAAAATTAATGCATAATATTAAAAATTTTAAAAATAAAAGGAAAACATTTTTTGACATGATCAAAACTGTTTTACACCATTGGGATTCGAACCTTAGCCCTATATAGGGGAAAACTCAGCGCTATCCAGTTAAACCAAACTGACACCTAATAAACCTTTTAAAACTTCAGAAAAATGTAGAAATACTTATTTGTTAAAAAAATAAGTATAATTTTCAGCAGTGGGATTCGAACCCTAGACCTGCATAGGAAAAAACCCTAACCCTAACCGATTAAACCAAACTAACACATTATGGGTGTCTCATAAAATGTATATAGAAGACATACAAAAATCCACTTAAAATCCGAAAATAATCCAAATTTAATTTTAATCAAAAAATTTAAAAAAAATTTCAAAAACCTGATCAGAAAAAGGATAATATTCATGAAATGTTGTTACATTAAATTCAGGAAAAGAGTCAGCTATTGAACGCATTAAACGACATCCTTTTTTAAAAAAATTTTAAAATTTCTCCTTCAAAAAATTTAAAAAACCGTTTGTATGTTCTGTAGGAGTTCTATAATTTCTCAATCCAATTTGAAATCTAAATGCAACTAGGAATCCTTCAATCCAGTGCATATCCAATTCCCATAGACGACGACCTCCAGCTGATAAGAGCCATTCAAGACAGCGTTGATGCCATTCTGAGAGTCTTTAAAGAAAAGATTTTTTTGAGAGAGGAAGGGGGGACGGCAGGGATGTGAGCCAGAATTTTCGTGTGGCACGCCAAAACGTTAATGGAAGGGATTTTATATTTTTATGGATTAATGGATGGATTTTAAGAGAAAAATTTTTGTTATTTTTGTCAAAAATTGTAAGGTTTCAAGGAAAATCTAACGACGAAGACGGAAAAATTTTTTTAATTTAAGGAAATTGAAAAATTCTTCCCACAGGTATTTGACCAAAAAACAAAATGAAAACCCAAAAATCGAACTTCAAAAAAATCAGAATAATCCAAAAACCAAGGAGACAAATTCAAAAATCCCCTGGACCGTGAACTACCCCCTCCCTCCAAATATAAAAAATTAAATTTAAAAAATTAAAAAAAATAAACGTTTTCGGCTCGGAAATATTCCTCTCCATCAAATCCTCTTTTATTTTAGCATCAAAAGCGTTTAACCAAAACATTGTAGCATTGTGTTTCATTGTAAATTCTGTATCCTCAAATGATGACACTAATTGATTGAGCCTTTGACGTTGAGTAAAATTGACAAAATTTGGAGGATTGTTGACAACAACTTGTAATTGAAGGCCTGAAAAAAATTTAAAAATTTGTAAAAAATTCTATAATTAAAAGAGATACGAGTTGAATAATTTTTATAAAAAGAAAAATGATCTACCGCCAAAGGGACTCGAACCCACAAACCAAAATAGGGAAAACTTGGCACTCTAGCTAGCTACATCAAATTGACTTATAGTAAGAATAAGGTAATTAAGAAGGAAATTTTTGAAAATAAAAAATACAAAAAAATCATAAGCCCTGACACTCGAACCCACACTAGACAATAGGGGGACAAAGCACTTTCCAGCTAATCTAAACTGCCTTATTAAAGATTTTTAAAACAAATCTAATAATTATCCAAAATTAAACCCTATCACTCTTAAAAATTAAGAAAAAAAAATTACAAAATTCCAAACCTTCCCTCCAAAAAGTTTCATCAATTAAAACATAAAAATCAGTCAAATAAAAAGAAGATTTAACCAATTCTTTTGGATGAAGTCCTTCTTCCATGTGTGAAACACCCAATAAAGCAAACAATAAATATAGAGAATAACACAAAAATATATACAATTTTGTTTTTTTGTTAAGTAGAAAAGGGCCATAAACTTCTCGGAAAAGGCGATTGACAAAAGTTTGTTTTGTTGTAGGATTAGTATTTGTTGTTAAATCCTTAAATTGTTTATAAAGGGGGTTTTTTAAATTAAAAAAAATAAAAAGGTGTCCGAAATAGAGATAGGATTAGACGGGTAGCAAACGGGAAGGGAAGGTACAAGACAATCAAGGAATCGAGATCGATATCTCAAAAAATTTCGATAACCTAGATTTATGGGCTCTCGTCTCGGGCGTTTTCAAGTTTAGAATTTCTTGGACAACAGAAGGGAGCAAAAGAAAAAGAAACACAACAGAAGCTCAAGACAAGAGCCCATAAAACTATCGGAATTTTTCATGATATCGATCGATAAATTTAAGTAAAATTTAAATCTGTGTCTTGATGACACAGAAGGAATTTTTTAAATTAAAAAACCTTTTCTTCCTCCATCGTATCAATTTTCTCCATTTTCTTCTCTTCATTCCAACATTTTTTAAATTCGACCAGCCAACTATTATCAACTTGTTTCTCTTCTTTTTCACATTCACTACGTGGAGGAGATCCAACAATTGTTAATTTTTCAAAATTTGTTTTAGCTTTATCCAATTCAATAGTTTTACAAAAAGGGAAAATTGAATGTTGCCCAAATTCTTCCATTTTTCCAGCAAAAGCCATTGCAGCAGCAAAATAGGTAATTTGATAAATATAAGTAAAAGTAATTCCAGCAAATGTGTACATACAAAATAAACGGACTCCTGGTAATGTTGTGAAGCAGCCAATGCCAAAAGTTAACTTGAAAAATGATAAAGATTTTAGGTATGAAAAAATAATTATTAAAGGATTAAGAGAGAGGAGGTTTGTAGCAAGAAAGGATATCCTTTTAAATTCCCTTTGATCTCAAAAAACTAAACTAATTGCTACAAACCCCCTGATAGTCCCTATATCACTTCAGATACTCTAATATCCCTTCTAATCCTCTGACATAACTGTAAATCCATTATATCCCCACAAATCCCACGATATCCCCAAATCCTTCTGTAAACACTTCAAAGCTCCCAATGTTCCTTAAATCCAATGATTAGCCCAATGTCCTCCAAATCTACCAAAATCACTCCCTAAGCCTCCTATTTAAACTAAACTGAGGCAACTACTAGAGAGTAGGGGTGTCGGTTCCTGGAAATTCTTCGGATATCCGAAAGAACCGAGGAACCGAATCAAAAAATCCACAGTTCGTTCGGTCCATAACAGACAACCCTACTAGAAAGGATTAACCGTGTGCAAATTTAACAAACCATATCAGTAAAAGAAGTAATAGAAATAGCTACAGCAGCTTCTGCTAAAGCCTCAGCCAGTCTTTTCGAAGTTTTTAATTCAGGACAAGTTCTATGCCAAGCTGCCGTCATTAAAAAAGCGTCATCAATTCCAATACCTTTCAGAAAAAATTTTTTTAGAAAAATTTTAAAAAGAAAAAACAAACTTAGACAAATAAAAGGGCTAACATTAACAATAGCATTGTATAAACAACCAAACCAAAGCAATAAACCAAAAGCGCTTAAAGTAGCAAGTAATGGACACAAAAGAGCAGCTAATCCAAGTAAAGGTTTACTTCGAGTCCAGTCAATACCTACAATTGTTTGTTTTCCAGAAGGTAAAGTGTCGCTTAAAAAAATAATTTTATGGAAGAAAATTAACAAAAAAGGAAAGGTTTTTAGTTAAAAAATGTTTAAAAAATTTTTTTGAAGCAAAATTTGCTTTGAAACAAAATTTTGCTTCAGAAGCAAGTTTTTGCTTCAGATTTTGCTTCATAAGCAAATTTTGCTTCTGATTTTTTTGAAGAAAATGTTATTTTAACAACATTTTCCTGTTTTTCAGAAACTTTCAAAGCCTTTTTCAGTAACAAAATTTACTTCAAGAGCAAGTTTGCTAAAAATTTTTGCAGCAAAATGCTTCAGAAGCAAAATTTTGTTTAAGAAGCAAGCTTTTTGCTTCAAATTTTTTCCAAACAAAATTTGCTTGAAAAATTTTTTGAAACAAAAATTTAAGTAACTAATATTACTAACAAACCTAAGCAAAACAATACTGCAACCCATGCAAAATAAAAAAAGAACAAATATACAACCACCAAATTTAGGCATTAAAGTATCTGCTACATCCTTTAAAAAAAGTTTTTTTTTAATTACTGAAAAATAAACTTGAAGTCCTTCAGGTAAGCTCATATTATGATAAAGACCAAATTCAAGCAAATCTTTAAATTTAAAAATTAAAAAAAATTTTTTAATAAATTATACCACTGGCAGGTTCCTTTTTGTCAGTCAAATACTTAAAATTAAAAAAAATTAAAGAAGAAAATTTATTTTCAATTAAAAAAAATTTTAAGGGTCATTTCTCAGTCATGAATTAACCAAAATTAACAATATTTAAATTTATTTTATTAAAAAAATTCGGGACATAGGTTCGAACCCACGACCCCCTAAATTTTTTAAAATTTCCAAAAAATTTCAAGAAAATTTATTTTCAATTTTTAAAAATTGTTAAGGCTAGTTTTTCAGTCATAAATTAACCACAATTAACAATATGCAAATTTATTTTATTAAAAAAAATTCGGGACCTGAGCGGGTTCAAACCCACGACCCCACGAAAATTTTTTTTCAAAATTTCAAAAAAACCTCAGCCAATTTCTTCCTCCACCTTTCACTAACTTGATCAATTAAATTTCCATCTCGAACATTATAAGTTAAACGAATAGCACTAGCATAATTAAAATGTCCTTCAGAATCGGTTAAATGTACACCTCCAACAAGTGCTCCAAAATATAAAGGTTCGGTACCTCTCCAACCTATTGGGTAAGTTATTTTGACCTTTAAAAAAAGAGAAAAGAGAGTAAAAAATTAAAAAAAAATTTTTCTTAAAAATAAATTTTTTTGTCTAACACAATACTTACAGCCTGACATTCGTGGCTACACCATGTCGAAGAAAAATTTTTTTAATTTAATTATAGTCTTTAGCAAGCTCATATTTGTATAACGGGAAAAATTTTGTTTCAAAAAAGGTTCCAAAAAAGTTTTTTTTTAACTATACTGACTTCTGAAACAAAATTTTGGTCCAATAAAGTCAAGTAGTTCACAAAATATTTTTCTAACTTTTCAAAAAAAATTTTTTTTAATATTTTCTTTGGTGTATGTTTCCAAATGTCTCATATCCAAAAATATTTTTACAACAAATTTTAGAAAAAACAACAAACCTCTTTTTCAATAATATCTTTAGCCAATTCAACAATTTCAGCTTTTAAAAACCCCCCACTTCCAGTCCAATGTCCTTTAGGTTGTAACATTGTAATATGCTCATTTTCATAACATTTCCAGGCATACGTCATACACAAATCGGTAAAGGAAATTTGTAAAGTTTGATTGTTGTTGGGTAATTGAAGTGGCACCGTCAAATTGTGAATAATATACTAAAAGAAAGAAAGAAATATTTTTAAAAAAAATTTCGAAAGCAGCAAAAGTTTAGGAATACGAGGCTACAAAAATATTAAAAAATCTTTTTTGAAACGAAAGAATTAAAAACCCTTTATTAAAGCAAAGCTCGGTACTTCCTTCTACAGGGCTCCATCAATGACTCTGTGTCAAGCGTTGCCTCCTTCAACAATGTTCCGTGTTTTGTTAAGGGCAACACGCATTTATTGTGAAGGTAGCTTTGTACTAGAGACCGGACCGAAACAAGATCCCGATCGAAAATCGTGGTTATCGAGACAGCGAATTTTTCAAGATCTCGATCCTCCCACTACAATCTCTACTTTATACTCTCACAAGTTTGCAAGTCTGCAGGGGTTTTATACGAGAATAATAAGATTCATTTTATTACAAAATAGCTAAACTTGCAGACAAAACTTGCAAACTTCTGAGAGCATAAAGGAACGAGACTCCCCCAAAATTAAAATTTAAAAACCTCATTTATCCTTTCCAATTCATTCAAATATCCACTCAGCAAAATATTTGGTCTAGCCACTCCTTCCGGATCAAAATTAGATTTTCTTCTTCTACCAGCAGCAATAACATCCACATAACCGTTGTAATCATAAGATTTTCCAGGCCAAAAATGTTGTTCATCCAAAGGCCAATGTTGAGTTAAAACAGCTCTTTCATACCTCCAACGGGCATTTTCTGGTGAAAAAACAAAAAGTGGGTCCCTTGTAGTCTAAAAAATTTTTTCTTAAGAAAGAAAGTTGAAAATTGAAGAGCGATTGGAAAGGAAGATCGGAACCTCAGGCACGCAGCCAAAAATTTTTAGTGCAGGAGGAGGGTTCCCTGACTACGTGCCCGTTTAAACAGGAGCTTGTTGGGAACAAAAGAAACCAAAAAGCTTTATAAAAGCAAAGCTACTACCAGCTAATTCTCTAACCAAGGTCACATCAGGGATGTATGGGTTACCCGAAAGACAATTCTTCAATTAAAATCCGATATAGGATCCGAGAAATTTTTGAAAATCCGATCCAAAATCCAAGTCTAAACCCGTGACACTCAACAGGTTTACCGAGTTATTAGGACGGATGACCTTTTCTGTAACCTAATCCCTCCCAGGTCTATCGAGTTATTAAGACGGACGACACTTTTTTGTCACATAAACTCCAAATCCCTTCACCACTCCGCCTAACATAAACTGGACCCCTTATATAATTAATAAAAAAACCTGTTCTTCAATCCAAACAAATCCAATACTTAAAATTCCAGTCAACAAAAAAGGTAATAACAATAATGGCCATCTTAAGCAATAAACCAACAATCCCCAACGCCAAAAAGCTTTAATAAAGTATTCATCAAAAGCAAAAATATTTGGTTTTGGTAAGGAAGATTTTAAAAATTGAAGCATTTTTCATTTAGAAATTATTCTCCTTCTTTTGGTCATCCATTCTTTTCCTTCTTTCCCATTAAAAATCTGACCGGCTGGTCAGATTTACACGTCATCCACTCTTTCCTTCTTTTTTTCCCAAAAATCTGACCGGCTGGTCAGTTTCGCACGCAACAAATCAATAAATTGAAGAGAAGGGGAAGAGGTTTCCCGCTAAAAAAATAAAAAAATATCAAAAATGGGATTAAAACAAACTTGTTTTTTCGCAAAGAGATCGTCTTCCTAGTCATTTCCTGGTTGATTTTTAAGTGATTATTCCCACATTGATTTTTGATATTAAAAGGGCTAGAAATAGAAAAGTAACATAAAAATAAAGTTACTAACCTTGAATAAACTTCAAGTCTTCTCCAAACGTGTTGGACTTGAAACATGGTAGCTGATTGAACGAATTTCCGTCACCGTCAAAAACGGAAAAGTCGAAGGCTAATCAACAGCTCTTCACGACATTTTTTCTTTGCGCTCTCATTTTTCAAAATAATCTCTTAAAAATAATTCAATGGTATATTCTGCAAAACCATATTTTGCCAATAAGGCTAAAATCCCGCATTTTGTCACCATTTTGTTGGCAAAACGTGTAATTTTAGACTTATTGGCTAAATGTGTTTTGGCAAAATGTCGCCCAACATTAATAATCTGAAAATAGTATGCAAACTAGAGAAAAATAGTCTTTTTACAAGACGGACGTTTTGGTTCGGGCTGGCCAGTTGAACTCAACCATTATTGCTCGCGCCAGTTAGTTCCTTTATCTGCCTAGTACACAATGCAAAAATGGTGCCTTTAAATTATTCTTCCGGCCGTCTTTTTTGTAAATTTTCGATTCTTCTTTTGTCAATATTTCTTCTTTTTTGGATATTTCTTGAAAAGCAACAATTGTCGGTTAAAACAGAAGATTTGCAAGTTCAGCTACGTTTTGCTAATGAACATATTAGCTCGTTGAGTGCTCAAATCAATGGTTTTTTTAAATTTTCTGTTTAATTTTTAAGAGGGGAAAGCTGCGGGAAAGGTTCTTATTCCCTTCCCTCCCCAGTCCGTTTCCTTTAATTATAAGAAATGTTATTTGAAGCTTCTGATATGAGCGTCCATGGTGTAGTGGTTAGCATTGCTGCCTTCCAAGCAGTAGGCACGGGTTCGATTCCCGTTGGACGCACAAACTTTTTTTGGATTTTTTAAAATTTTCTAAACAAAAATTTCAATTTAAACTCTTAAAAAATTATTTTTTTTTCAATTTTCTAGTAATCTCCAAACACAAGGACAGAATTGAAGCTTTGTTTGCTAAAGAAAAGGAACGTTGTAATGAATCTATAAATCAACAGTCCAAACGTATTAGTCTTTTGCAAATTGAAAATGTTAGATTAAACGATCTTATGGAGAATATTAGTCAACAAAAGGTTTCTTTTATTTTTGTTTTACTGACCCGACCTCATACACCTCATTATAAGTGACATTTTCCCAACCTCCCTTTTCAAACTTTCAACCCCCCTCTCCCTTTAAAAAATTTTCTGGCTATCGATGCTAGGTACACCTTACATTAGTTTAAGAACTTAATAAGACACTGGATGTTAGAGCTATATAAACGACCCTTAACGTATTGTGTCACTTAACCCTATATAAGAGACACCTCATTATAACGGACGAATTTTCCAGATCTCAGGGTAGCTCATGACGAGATATCGTATTTTTGAAAAGCCTGTTCCTGGGTTTGATTTATTGACCTGGGCCGGATCATGGGAAAAAACCCAGGTCCGGAAAAATCCCAGGAAGGTCAAAAAATGCCTGGGCCTAGATCTTCTTTTAACCATCATTTTCTAAAAATTTTCCCCTCAAAATTAAGTTACTCGAAAAACAAACTTCTTCAAACAACACCACCTTTCTCCTACCAAAAATGGATTCTCCACCTTTGGAAACCAAAAACAATTTGGTAGAAGATCCATTTGACAAAAAAGAAGAGGAAGAAGAAAATATTCCCGCTATTCCAGCACAAATTAAAAAACCTCCAAACATTAACAATTTGGAAGAAAATCAATTAAAATTGAATAACAAAAAATCTTCTCTTTCGCGTATAACAAAAAAAGAGCAGCCTAATGGAGGGGAAAAACATTTTGAAGAAGATTATAATATTTTTAGAAGAAAAAATAAACTTCGAGAAGATTTGGTTTTTAAACGAGGGGAGGGAGAAGGAAATGAAGGAGAAGAAAATAAACAAAAATTATCTCCTGAAGAAATTAAAAATGTAAAGGAAGAAGAAAAAGAGGAGGAAGAATATGTTGGAAAGGAATAAAAGGTTTTTAATTTAAGTCTTTAACAAGCCCAAATTCTTGTCCTTAAAAATTTTTTTCTTAACACTTCACCTATATATAACTAGAGCCCGGATTTTTATGCATTAAAAAATGCAAAATATGCACTATAATATGCATAAAAAATTGCCAAAATATGCACAAAAATATGCAAGTAAACCAAAATATACACGCATATATGCATGAAAAATACCATTTATACCTAGAAATTTTACATATTTTTAGTCAAAATGATTTAAAATACATTTTTTTATTAAGATTTCTGCTATTTTAAATGTATAGTTCGACAAATTGAGCATTTTTACGGTGTTGGGCATTTTGAAATGAAGCATTTTGGTGGTGGGACATCTTGGGGTGCGACGTTTTGGGGCTGAGACATTATGGGGGTGAGCCATTTTCTGGCGAAACCAATAAACGCAAAAAATTTTTTTACAAAATTTGTAATTTTTACAAATTTTTTCCTAAATTTTTACTAAATTTTCACTTTTTGGCAGGATTTTAGGCAATTTTCGCAATATTTTCCCCAAAAACATCAAAATATGCAGTAAAATATGCATTATGCAACAAAGTCCGGAATATGCAAAAATATGCATTATATGCAAATAGAAACCCCCTCTAAAGTTTTCAAAACTTGCGGAAACAGTGTTTTTTGTGCATAACACATCATGAAAAGTTTGCAAAAAAAATATGCATTTGCATAAAAATCCGGGCTCTATATATAACCTTTGTATTTATAGGCCGGGGATAGGTCGGGTTACCCATAAAACTCGGTCCTTTTTTTGATTAGAGAAACTCGATCCAAAAAATTTTTGGAAATTCGATCCATAAACCCGACCAGTACTGCTGGTATTGGGGGCATTTTGTTGACTCTGTCTCACTCAGACCTTTTTCAAACCTTGGCCCAGCTCTGGGGTTTTAAAATCTTACATTGACTTCGAGTCATACCCAGTATTTGACCCAACCCAATTTTTTACTTCTCATCAACCCGACCCATCCCTAATATTCAGGCCTATAGCCACAAGTTTTTTTTTATTCTCTGAGGGTAAAGCAATCCCTCATGCATGGTGCTTCTTAAAATTTTTATTTAATAGGTAGCTAAAAAACATTCCCTCCTTAAAAATTATATTTGTGTCTATAATTTTTTCTCTACTCAATATTATATTTAACAACCAAACGCATTTTATATAATCTCTTTAATTATTTAAATCTCTTTCGTCAATAATTTTTTTGCCATTTAATATTTAAATAATAAAAAAATTTTTTTAAACTTCTTTTTTGTTTCTAAATAATTTAAGGCCAACAGATTTAAAGTCCCCGACTCCTCACCCCGACGATGTTTTTAGGCCATTCTCATACCCCATTCTTACATCAACATTCTATTTCCTGACATCTCCCCTTTCCCCCGCAAAAGTTCTTTTCGACGGGACCAGCCCTAGATAAAAGACCCTGTATAGGTATCTCTTTTCTCAATTATCTTCAACCTAACAATTGGTAGAAGAGTGAAGAGTTTTCCAACCCCAATTAAATTTTAAAAAATTATTTTCTAAATTAATTTTTTTATTAACTTCATTTTTAATTTAAAAATATATTTTTTGTAGAAAAAATATCTGTTTCGTTATTTTTTTAAAGTGATAGAATTCTTTACCTCTATTTTTTGAACTATAAAAAATATGGCACAGAGGCAGTTTTTGTTGACAACACATTTTTTGTAAAAAAAATTTTTTTTCAATTTAAAGAGCAAGTGAGTTACGTTTCTTTCCAAGTTCAAAAACTTCTTCAACACCCTAAAATTAAAAAAAATTTATTCTGAAATTTCGGGGGTAGGCCCACCTTACAAGGATAGATTTAGACTCATCTAAAAAACTTTTTTCAACTCCAAGAGATTCCCGGCCACGCGAGAGTGAAAAGAAGTTTCTTAATGTTCCCCTATACCCCATGAATTTTAAAAGAAGTTTACGGCCTCGTGACACGGAGGAGACTGGTAGTATATGCTCCCTTACACCGCGGAATCAAATCCCAGAGATTCAGCGGCCCGCCGAGAGTGGAGAGAGACTCCTTGCTTTTCTCCTATACCAAAATGAATTTTAAAAGAAGTCTACGGCTCGTAACACATAAGACTGTTAGTATAGTCCCTTACACCTCGGGAATTTTTTTAAACAAAGTTATAAAGCCCTTTGAAAGAGTGAAGGTTCATGGAGGAACAGGTAAGTATGCTCACTTATACCCCAGGAAATTTTCTTCCTTAAAAAATCTCAAGCCCCTCATTTTCCCTCCAAAAAAAAATAAAAAAAAACCTGTCTAAAAACATTAAAATTAAAATCAATCAATCCTTGTTTTTCAAAATTATCTTCTTTAATAACAGCAACCAAAGCCAAATAAACATTAATTTGTCGCAAAAAAATAACTTGTCTAGTTCGTAACATAATCATTGCTGAGGTATCTTGATCAAAACCAATTGGACGATTTTGGTGTTGTTGTTTATTGTTATTAGTATTTTGTTGGTCAACTTTGTGTCCATAAATTGAAGATATGTCTATTGTAACGTCTATCATATCACAACAAAGTTCATAAGTGGCCTGTGGAAAAAAAGAAAAGAAAATTTTAATAAGAGTCGAGGGCGTACGAGGGAGGAGGGGGCTATCCAGAGGAAATCTTACCCATGATTACGTCCTTGAGAAATACACCCAATACTAGAGACGCTTCAAGATACGTTTTGAAAATTTTGGCATGAGTCACCTGCTAACCGAAAGACGCGAACTCATTCCTGGACGCGAACTCATTCCTGGAAAAATCCAAAGGTTCACATTGTGGGGGACCAGGTTCGGACCCGTTTAGGATTTTTTGACTTTGAGTGGAGGAGGGAGCTTCCTAAACGTTTACCTTCGATTTAAGGTACACCCCCATTATAAGGTACGATTTTTTTAACCCCTAGGGGTATCTTATATGAAGGTTGCCCTATTAGAATTTAAAAAAAAATTTTTATTATTAACCATGTCAACAAGTGAAGAATCAGTAGCAATATATATTTTACTTGCAACATCAAATAAAAATGATTTTTCAACATTTGAACCCTTAAAAAATAAATTTAAAAAATTTTATTTAAATGAAACCTGATTAAAAATATCCAATAAAGATTCCAAAACTGACAATTGTTTAATCAATTTTTGAATAACTTTAGAAAATGCTTCGAATATTGAATGATCATAAATTCTGAGATTGAAAAAAAATTTTATTTTTCGGACAAATTTTTCGCACAAAAAAATTCAGAAAAAATATTTACGATGTCATGTGATAATTAATTCGAATATGATCCATTCCTTGATCGGCAAGATCATCCTGGACAGTTTGAAATATTTTTCGATGTGTTTCCATTTTGGTTTCATCACTTAAACCATCAACTTTGTGAACGAACACCTTTTTATTAAAAAAAAGTGGTAAAAATTTTACGTACAAACTAGAATAATAACCAAAGGTATTCAGATACGTATTCCCCTTCATATAGGTATACTTAAAAGTCAGGTGCCCAACTTTGCTGAATATTCGAGTTGTTCCCCGTAAAGGACCTCGGGGAAATTTTTCAAGGATAAAGCGCCTTGGAATAGGATTCTTTAAGGTCTCAAATTCCACGACTTAAAGAATCAAGAAGCAACTCTACTGAATCTGTCTTTAAAAAACTAAACAAACTAACCTCAAATTTAATATTTTTGTTTATCGAATATGATCTAATTATTGCTGGAACCATCTTCTTCAAAGCATCGTCATAATCCGCTTGGGCATCAATTACAAAAAGAAGAGCTCCGCAACGAGAAAATATCGAATTTGGATCAAATGACGCTTCAAAAGGATCGACTTGGCCAGGAAATTCAATTGTTTCAAAATTTATGAAGGAATCACTGACATCTGAAAAAGAAAAGAGAATATTAAAGGAAATTCGTTGGGAAGGTGAAACTAATGTTTTTCTCAGCACGATGAGAAAATTACAAAATATGGATTTTCACATTTTTGGTTAAGTGGGAAAAATTTTAAGTTTAACCGGTCCGGGTCTGAACCTGTTTTAAGTAAAATATTTTAATTTTCTTTGAAATCCTTAAAAATTTCGAAAAAGTTACAAACAAGACCTTTCTTGGTTAAGTGGGAAAAATCCAAAATTTTTTCCTTAGGGGTCCAGGTTCGAACCCGCTTGGGGTAAAACATTTTTAATTTCTCCCAAAATCTTTACACAAACTCCTAGCGCCAAGATCACCTTGATTAAGTTTTAAAAATAAAAAACCAAACTCACATTCATTAGTAACTCTCGCTGTGCTCTCTACAAAAAGCGTCTCGTTCGGGCTCATCTTTTGGAATACCACTTTTCTTATTGACGTCTTTCCGCTTCGTTTAAGTCCCATTATGACCCAAAAAAATTTTTTTAGAAAAAAAATTTATAATTAAAAAAATACTATTGTAGGTCTATATCCAACAGAGTAGACCGAATCAGTTTCATCGTCCTTTAACCCATATTCGTATTCCTCGTCTTGACGACAAAAGGCTCTGTTTGCCATAAGAATTAATCGAAAAATAAGAAAAAATCTATTAAAAATAAGATTATTAGACGTTATAAAATTAAAAAAAATATTTAATTGAAAGACAGAAAATTGAAGAATCCTCCCTTAAAATGTCCAGCTTAAAAAAAAATTTTTTTTTGATTTCTGGACATTTTTGAAGGGAGAATTCAATATTCTGCTTCAACAATAAAATTTAAAAAAGAAAAATAAAAACACAAAAGTTTTTATTTCAGTAAAATAATATCAGCAAAAAATACAGAAAAACGTTAAACTCCTAAAAATTGAATCCATCCAAAAAATTTCGGAATTTTATAATTTGTAACGTCCACCAGTTGCTACTTGTCTTGTTAAACCTTGTGCAGCCTAAGAAATAAATAAATTTTAATTAAAAATTTTTCCTGTAAATATAGTTGGACCTCGCTATAAACCCATGTGGGCGAGGCAGCTCACAGGAAACTGCCTATTTTAAGATAAGCATTTTAAATTTTTGGACAGCCATAGGGAGAGTTAACTAACAATAAGCTATATTCCCCTATATTTATTAATATAGCCCCAACTATAGCTATCTAAACTATACCCCCCTCCCTATTTAGTCTTCCTAAAATATTATAGTGTGAAGTCCGCCCGTAAAATATTAAAAAAACTCCCATACCATCATTCTAAGCGTTTCCCTCATAATTCTAACAACTTCTTCTTTTGCTCTTCTTAATGATAATTCATCTCTAGCTTCAATAAATAAATAAAGTTTTCTGTCTTGTCCAGGTTTTGGCTCTTTTCCTAATGGATAATGAGTTCCTTTAACTGATATTCCAACATCAACAAATTCTTGTATTTGGGCAATAACTTCCTTTAAAATTTTTAAAATTTATTTAAAAAAAATATTTTCCCCAAAAGGGTTCGAACCTATGACCCCAAAAAATGATTTATCCCACTTAACCAAAAATACAAAAATTTTTAAAAATTTAAAAATCAATAAAAAATTGTTTTCTTACTCTTGAACAAACTCTAAAACGCAACATTTGTGGGAAATCATTAATTTCTAATTCTTCTTCAAAATATTGAATTTGTTGTTCAGCTTCTTTTTCTTTAAAATCAGAAGGTAAATAATCAAGTTTTTCGTTCAATTCCATTGCCTTTTGTTTAGCAAGCGAAATCCCCTTTAAAAATTTTAAAATAAATAGCAAATTTTAAAAAATAAAAATATTTTTCCCTGAAGGGGGTCGAACCCATGACCCCTAAAAGAAACGTAAACCACTTAGCTAAAGATAAATTTTTGGCTAGTGAATTTTTAATGACGTGGGTTCAACCTGATCTCAGAAAAATATTTTTATCTGTTAAAATTTACTATTTATTATTATAATTAAATATAAAAAATTCATATGCAAACCGTCAAATTCACTGGTTGTGCTTCTGTTCCTTTCATTATAGCTTCAGCTGTTAAATGCGTTGCATCTTTTTCCATAGAAGCTTGTCCCAATTTTGCAGCAATTTGTTCAGCCATTGCTCTTGCTGCTTCAACCTTCTTTTCTGTTGAAGGATCAGGCTTTCCTCTCCATCCAGCACCTGCTCGACGAGTTGTAACTCTTTTACTGCTTTTCATCATTCCAATCTTTAGAAAATATATGAAAATTAAATGTTAAAAAAAGAAAAAAACTGTAGAAATTCTTTAAAGTGGGAAAATTCTATCAAAAATATTTTTTATTGAAAAATAAAATATTTTTCCCAAAGGGGGTTCGAACCCACGACCCCAAAAATGAGATGTAAACCACTTAACCAAATGTGAGAACAAACAAGTAATGGTCAAAAAGATGAGCTAAAGTCTTTTATTAGAGATATTAAAGCTCTCCTAAATTTCGGAAAAATGAAGAAAGACAACCCACCAATCTAAACCCCAATCCCCAATAACTCAAACCCTATACCACTTAACCAAAAAAATATAAAAAACAAAAACCAATTGATCATCAATATTTTCAGATTCATCATCCATTCCACTTTCTATTCCATGCATTAATTTAGTTAATTTTCTTTTATTCATTTCACTTTCATCCTCAATCTCATCATAACGAAAACCTGAACCAGAATATCCTCCCCCACCCATATGTATCTCTTTTCCTTCTTCAGCCATTTTTGTTTTATATTCTTCCCATAATTTCTTCAAATCTTCGGGGGGTTCAATCCCAGCTGTTTCAAAAGCTCGAACAACTTCTCCAGCAATTTTTTCTTGTCCAGTTGCCAAAACAAATGTATAAGCATAACCTTTATTTCCTGCACGCCCAGTTCTTCCGACTCTATGAACATAATCTTCATAATGATTAGGGGCATCATAATTTACTACCAAAATTAATTTTTTGACATCGAGACCACGAGCAGCGACAGATGTTGCGACCTAGAATTTTTTAAATTAAAAAAGTCAAAACGCTATAAAAGAGACCCCAAAAATAAATACCCTTCTATTTGTTGAATTATTTGGTTAAGTGGTTTAAATTTATCTCTGGGGGTCATGGGTTCGAACCATTTCAGGGGAAATATTTTTTTTTAATTTGAGTTAAAAGAACCCAAAAATAAATACCCTCCTATTTGTTGAATTTTTTAGTTAAGTGGTTTAAATTTATTTTTAAGGGTCGTGGGTTCGAACCCTCTCAGGGAAAAATATTTTTTTATTTTATAAAATTTAGGTGGAAAGCGTTTCCAAAACCATACCCTCCATCTAAAACACCCCAATTATAAAATACACCCTTTTTAGTCACCGGGGGTCCCCTAACTGTAGTATAAATTAAAATTAAAAATACCATTAATTTCAATCTCCCAGTTTTAAAATCAAAAATAGTAAAATCTCTATCATCCTGATCTATTCCTCCATGAAGTGGAGCACAATTATAACCAGCAAGCATTAATTGCGAAACCAAATCATCAGCCTTTTCTTGTTTCTCAACAAAAACTAAAACATTTCCATGCTCCCAATATTGTCCAAGTAATTCAAGCAATTTTAAAAATTTTTGGTGTTCTTCCAAAACTAAAGCGTGTTGCTCAACATCTTTACAAACAACACTGCGACCGCCCACCTTTAAAAATTAAAAAAAAATTAATTAAAAATTAGAGAATACAGTCGAACCTCACTTATAAACACACCCTCGGTACGGAAAAAATGTACCTTATAATGAGGTGTGTGTTTCTTAAATAGAGGGTATCTCTTAAACGCTTCTCCACCCAGTGGCAATTCAAATTCACAAAAACGTATTCTAAATAGAGCTGTATCTTATATTAGGGGTATCTTATAGAGCATGTATTGAATGGTTAAGTGGTTTACATTAAATTTTGGAGGTCGTGGGTTCGAACCCCTTCATGGATAATTATTTTTTAATTTCTTGAAATTTGAGTGAATTCCTCACCCAGTAACCAACCAAATTAAAAAAACATCTTAAATTGAGGTGTATCTACTAGTGAAGGTCCCCGACTGTATTCATTAAATATATACTTACAACAATTTCCACAGGTCTTTCCAAAACTTTCCTTGCCAAAGCCTCCATTGTTTTAGGAAAAGTAGCTGAGAAAAGAACTGTTTGTCTATCTGGGCGTACATTATTTACCATTTTCATTACTTGTGGTTCAAATCCCATGTCAAACATACGATCAGCTTCGTCCATAACTAGATAAGTAACACGACGAAGATTGGTGACTTTACCTAGAAAATTTATTTTTGAGAAATTATAAGGAGCAAAATGGTCAAAAAATTAATTAACTTAGGCCCTCGGTCGTTACACTTCCCAGAAATTAATTATTTTTTAAAATTGTGAAATTTGGTTAAGTGGGAAAGCTGTGTGTTCATAAAGGAAAAGGTCGCAGGTTCGAACCCGCTTAGGGCAAAAATTTAATTTTATAAAGTTTAACTGATTTATAGAGGTATAATTAACAAATTCCTTCAAAAAATAAAAAAAACCATTATTAGCAGCAAGCATATCAATCATCCTTCCAGGTGTACACACCACCACTTCAGCTCCCTTTTTTAATTCCGCAATTTGTTCAGATATAGCAACACCTCCATAAACACAAACAACACGTATACCCAAATTTCTAGCAAATTTATTTGCTTCTTTCCATGTTTGTAAAGCAAGTTCTCTTGTTGGGGACATTATTAAAGCTTCAAAAAAAGAGATTTTTTAACCAAAAAATTAAAAAACCGATAGGTCCATCCATATCTTCCAATGGTGGCTGATCCAAAATATGTCTAAACATTGGAATAAGAAAAGCCAAAGTTTTTCCACTTCCAGTTTTTGCAATTCCAATAACATCCCTTCCACTCATTATTGCAGGAATTGCTTGGGCTTGGATTGGTGTAGGTTTTTGGTAATTGTGACTGAAAAATTTAATAAATTTTTTTGAGGGTAATGTCATGAATGGGGAGGACATGGGCCAGAATCCTCTACAAAAAAAACATTCAATTTTATTAATAAAATTTTAAAAAATTTCACCATTCAAAGTGACTTTCGTCTTCCCATTATTCCGTTAAAGAACCTCATAAAATTTGGTTAAGTGGGTAAACTTTATGTTTATGGGGGTGAGGTCAAAGGTTCGAACCCGCTTGAGGAAAAGATTTTTTAAATAAGAAAAATTCAATTAAAAACCAAAAAACACTAAAAACTTACACTTTTAAAACATTCATAACTTTAATATCAACTCCACATTGTGACCAATTCTTTATTGGTTTAGGAACATTCTTTCCTCTAACATGAATTTCATCTAATTCTTCACGATAATCTTCAACCTCCTTTTTTGTCATCTTAGCAATTTCAGGGACTTCAATATAAAACTGAAAGATGAACATTATTTATTGAAATACTTGATTAAAATATTATATTTTTAAAAATTATTTGATTCGGTAAATCCTTGTTAATAAAAATGAGGTCATGGGTTCGAACCCGCTCGAGGTAAAACTTTATTTTAAAGTGGAATTAAAATACTAGTAAATTCTAAGGGATATTTAAAAATAGAAAATGCCTAAAAAAATTTTTTCCCTTATTCAAAAGACAAAAATTATAGGGAAACACGAAGATCGTTGCGTTTATATGTAGAGATGAGGTCGTGGGTTCGAACCCGCTCGGGGTAAAACTTTATTTTAAAGTGGAATTAAAATACTAGTAAATTCTAAGGGATATTTAAAAATAAAAAACGCCTAAAAAATTTTTTCCTTTATTCAAAAGACAAAAAATTTTAAAGAAACCCAAGATCGTTGTGTTCGTGATGAGGTCGTAAGTTCGAACCCGCTCCTGGTAAAACTTTATTTTTATAACGAATTTTTTTGTGTTAATAGATTCCTAGGATTATTTAAAAACTTAACTTGTTAAAAAAAATTTTCATCACTCAAAAAGCTACAAATTTTGAAAAAGACCGAACTCTAACCTTCCCCATCTAAAAAATAAAATTAAATAACCTCTTTCCGAAAAGGCCTATAATACACTTTTGTGTGATCCGTTTGTGCCAACATTCTTCCTTTTACCAATAAACTTGATGCAGTTTGTTCAACATCAAGTTCATCTTGTGCCTGTTCCTTTTCATCTTCAGGTTCGACAATATCTCCCTTATTTGGGGCACTTTTAGAAACAGCTCCAATCACAACAACACGGGCTTTCTTGTTCTAAAAGAGCAAAAAAACTTATAAAATACTCCAAAAAATTAAAAATAAACCTCAGCTCCAGCTCTCGCTTTTTGTGAAATTTCTGCCATGTAAGCATCCAAAGGATCTTCATCTGCTGATTCATTGCTGGGGGTATTAGTTGAGGCTGTGTCCATTCTATATTTAAAGTAAGTCGAATATAAGGATGGTATGAGTGATGTTGAAGGGAAAGATGAAAAGAAACAGGATTAAATGGGAGATGGAAATCTTGGGATGAGCCTAAACCGAAGACAACCAATTCCCCCCTCCCTACCCGTCATTTGTGTTGCAAGACGGGCACAATAGTAAATGTGCATAAAACAGTCAAAATTTTGGGACTGTTCAATAATTTAGAATTATGAGGAACCGGAACCGCGTTATGTCGAAAATGGAATAGCAATGGTCTTCTGATATCAGGAATCGAACCGAACAACAGAGCTGAAAGCCCCTACTTGCAGCCACAAAAAAATTTTCCCCCCAAAAAAATTTTTTTAAATTTAAAGAACAACAAACCTTTCATCACTCAAACTATTTCCATTTGTTGTTTCATTCTGTGCCACCACCCCATTACCCACCACTTCCCCCATATTTTCATCTTTAACAGTTCCATTCCCATTTTCAATTACATTGTCTTCATCATCATCTTCTCCTTCCAAAGTCCACGAAGATGAAGGTTTAGCTTCTTCAGGTAATGGAGGGGGAAGTGTTCCTTCTGCAGTCTTTTTTTCTTGAAGTTTTTTCTGTTGTTCTCTCCATTTTTCAACTTTTTCACGTCTTTTTTGAATTTCTTGGTCTAATTTTTCTGTTATTTTGTCCTATAAATGAGGGGGTTCTTTCTATTAATACTCACTTTTTTACGCTTTTGAAGGGAGGCCTCTACCCAGTTTAAACCAGCAATCTTTGTAATCTTGATGGGAAGTCCATTTCTAAAAGTCAAACACTGACTTAAACCCCCAAAAGTCAAATTGACCTCATCCACTTATTAGAACCGGGTAGAGGCTTCCGCCTTAAAATTGGCTTCCCCCTATTAATTATTAGAGACTTCCAAGACCGAAAGTTTCCAAGACTCAAGACTAGACACAAGACTGACTGAAAAAACCCCAAAAAGTCCTGAGTCAAGACCAAGAGTCTTGGACGACTCTCCTACTTATCCTTCCTAAAAATAAGTCCGGCGTAACCCACCCTGCCAAAAAATAGAAATATAAGGGGAAATTAAGGTTGGACATAACCAATTAACCGCCCGCTTAATTTTTCCCTGTGACGGGGCAAAAAGAGAAGAGATAAAAAAGACCCGCCACGGGGAAAAATTAACCGGGCGGTTAACCGGTTATGTCCAATCCCAGGGAAAATGTCAACAATCCCAAAAATCCCCCACTTAAAAAATTTTTTTTTTAAAATCAACCAAACCTTGTCAGCAGAATTAACAATTTCCCCAATATCAATTTCTCCTTTTTTCTTTTTTGTCGAAGATTCCTTTTCTTTTTCATTTTTTTCTCGAATTTTTCTCCCAACATTTTCATCCCTTTCTCGTGGAGATCTAGAACGACTTCTACTTCTTTTAGAGCCTCTTTCCCTTCTTTTTTCTTCCTTTTTTGAACGTGATTCTTCTCTTTCCCTGTCAGAATCTCGAGAATAAAATTTTGAAATTGTTGGCATTTTTTAAAAAATATTTTTCTAAAAATTAATTTAAAAACGAATAAATTGAAAAAATATTTGTGTACAGAAACTATAACTTTAGAAAAAATAGAAAAAACTTTAAAAAATCAATGTTTATCAAAATGCCAAATTAAAGCAAAATTTTCTGACTTTTCCGTTATACGCCCACAAATTCTTTTGGCTGTAGTTCAACTAATGACCGGTTCCGTCTTTAGATTTATATACCATTCGACTCATTGTCAGCTCAACGGTGTAGGATGATCGCGAATGCCTGCGGACCGAGATATAGACCCTTGAAAACTGAAAAACCAAAAGAGGGCAATGCTTAAATTTCGAGGTCGAAAATCGATAAGCTCCTTCGAACGAGCTGATTGTGAGTCGAATGACACCAAAATCAGCTCGATTCTATATTTCTAAAAAAAATTACGAAAAAATTTTTTCAGGGCGTATAACGGAAAAGTACTCAAAAAATTTTTAATAAATGGAAAAATAAATTAAATTACCACAAACCTAGCAATAAGTCTACAAACAAAATTATCTCAATCAATTCTTTTAATTATAGCCTCACGTGTTAACACACGATTACCACCTTCCACATGAGCAGACTGGTCTTCATCTTCTTTAATTGACACAGAAAATTTAATTTTTGAATTGTGTTTATTGACAAGTTGAAAGGTTGTAAATTTCAGTTTTTCATTAATTTCGACTTTAATATTTTCTGCTCTTTCACTTGAAATTCGCGGTCCAGAGATATTTTGCAATTCAATTTCTTTCACCATTTTTGTAATTTCTTGCGACGTTTCTATATGCTAAAATTAAAATTAAATTGGTTTTTTAATCAAATTTTTCTAATTTTCTTATCAAAAATTCATTCCCGATTAAGAATCTTGAGCCTTACAATATTTATACATATTAAGCAAAAAAGCTCAAAATGGTCAGGAAAAAAGATGAAGTAAACCTTGAGCCCTGACTTAAGAATTTTTATTAAAAAAATTTTACCCAGAGCCAAAAACGATGTTTACAAACCTTTATAATAAAATTGTAAAGAGTAGAGTGAAGTTGATAAAAAGTAATATTCAAAAATTTATTTCCTCCTTCTGTCAAAATTTTGCATAAAATGTCCATACTTCTTTCTTCATTAATGAAATTAATATAAACACCACAATAATTAGAAACTAGAAAATTCCACATAAAATATAAAGAAGTATGGCAACGAAGAGTAAGTTCTGCCCCTTGTAAATGTATTTGTAAAGGAAAATTTGTTGTTTCATTATCATAGTCAAACAATAAGTCAATCATTTGTGGATTAATTCGAATCATATCATGATTTTCATAATATTCGAAAGCACAATTAAAAATTAGTTTGAATAAATAACGAGCAATAGCCATTTCCTCTAGATTTTTTGGAAGCTTTGGCAATTTTATATAATATAATCCTGGAGAGAAAATTTTTCAAATGATTAAAAAATAATTTTTTTTAGTTTTTTGAAGTAAAGAACGGACTGGGAGGATCGTAAAAGGCATCTCGAAAAATCTTGAATATCAAAAAAATTTTCGGGATTTACAATTCTTATTAAAATTTAATTTATAATTATAGGTAAGACAGGTCCGTAACCAATAAAAATTTCGATGAGGAAAGATGTCAAATGAAAACTATTTTACAAAAAACTTATTCTCACTCGATTTTTAGGTAGAGACAAAAAATTTCCTTATTTTTTTTAAAATTGGATTATAAACTCAAATAATAAATTAACCTCTGTTCCACCCGTAAGTATCTTCTTTCAATTCACAAACAACTGTGTCTATGTTTCCATATCCATACTCAACTGATGTTAAAAACGTTGAAATTCCATTTTCTATTCCACGTATCCACTAAATTTTTGAGTTTATTTAAAATGTTAAAATTAAAAAAACCTTTTGTTCAAGTCTTTTACTTAATTTAAAATCATAAAGATGAGGAGGTATTTCAACAAAATTATTTTCCCCCCATTTAAGGTCAGAAATACTACACTAAAAAATTATAATTATTAAAATAAATTCAAAACATTACAAATCCAAGCCACTTAAATTTCTTCCTAGCCAATTCCTTTCCATATTTATCAACAATATTTTTGAAATAAAAACTTGTTTGTTGGAAAGACAATAATTGATCAAAATCAAGAAATTTGAACACATCAAGCAGATTCTCTTGTGGAAGGTTTACTTTTACAGACTTCCTATTGTTGATGTCAGCAGGCACATTGCCGCTTCTAATTGAAGTTAATTGATACGATTGACCTTCCTAAATTATTATTTTTTAATTTAAAAATAAATTATAAAAAAACCTCCAAACAATATTTAATCCCCTCAATAATTTTTCGAACCTCGCTCATTCTTGTAAAATAATTTTTCTAAAATATAAATTAGAAAAGTTGGCCTGTAAAATATATGAAATTAATTGAAAATAGATACATTTAATATTACTTAAAATAATTTTAAAAAACATTAAGTATGTATATAGAAATCATAACTTTAAAAAAAGAGAAAAATTTAAAAAATCAATATTTATCAAAAAAAAGTCAAATTAAAGCAAAATTTTTAAATAAAATAAATAGAAAAATGGCACTTAATCGTTATCCCTTACTCCCGTTTTCTTCAAAGGAAAATAAAAGAAAATGAGGGGATAAGTACCAAGGTTGTCACGGGTTACTCAAAACCTAGCCTCTTTTTCGACCCGATACCCGACCCGACTATTTTTCTCAACCCGTGACATCCCTGATAAGTACAAAAAAATAAATAAATTACTAAATTAACCTCTTAATCAATTCTCTTAATTACAGCGTCAAAATACGGCAGACGAGTACCTTGCAAATTAATATATTTGTCTTCATTTTCGTCAATTAATACAGAAAATTTAATTTTTGGATTGTAATTATTGACAAGTTGAAAGTCTGTAAATTTCAATTTTTTATAAGCTTGAATTTTAACATTTTCTGCTCCTTCGCTTGAATTTCTAAGTCCACACATATGTTCAAATTTAATTTCTTTCACCATTTGTGTAATTTTTTGTGATGTTTCTAAATGCTAAAATGAAAATTAAATTGTTTTTAGACGATGAACGAGATGAATAAAAGAATGTGTCTAACAAATATATAAAGTATGTACACTAGAGATCGAGCCGGGTCTTAACCGAGGCCTTGGTTTTTTCTGTACCCAGTCCAGGCTTTTCAAAAAATCTCGATCTCTAAAAAAGATCGAAATGGTCAGGGAAACATAAAAAAGTGGAGGGGATGAACAGAAAGAGTTTGCAAAAGTTTAGCCACCGGGCAGGATTCGAACCTGCGACCACCTGCTAGTTGTTGCTAGGCGCTTTCGCTCACTATATGCAGGAGCTCTACCTCTGAGCTACCGGGGCATCGACTAATGCTTTCTCTTTTTCCTTTTTAGATCGTTTATCCCCCGCCTAAGCGTTTTAAATGCTGCTAGGTGAATCATCCTTACATCTCCATCCCTACATCAGACCGGTCCCTCGGTCAAGCGCCATGACCGTGGATCGGCTGGTTCACCCAGCAGCAAGTGGGGATCCCTGTTAGCGGCACCAGAAAGAGTTTGCAAAAGTTTAGCCACCGGGCAGGATTCGAACCTGCGACCACCTGCTAGTTGTTGCTAGGCGCTTTCGCTCACTATATGCAGGAGCTCTACCTCTGAGCTACCGGGGCATCGACTAATGCTTTCTCTTTTTCCTTTTTAGATCGTTTATCCCCCGCCTAAGCGTTTTAAATGCTGCTAGGTGAATCATCCTTACAGAACTAAAATACTACTTTGAGCCCTTTAAACTCTAATTGAAAATAAACTAGGGCCCAGAATCGACATGTCCCAACCCCAGTTTATATCTATAGTAGAAATGTACAAACCTTTATGATAAGATTGTAAAGTCTAGAGTCGAGATGTGTACAAGTAATATTTAAAAATTTGTTTCCCCCTTCAGTCAACATTTTGTACAAACCAAACACAAAAGTTCTAAATCTCGAGGTAGGGCCTTGAGTTAAGTCATTAAATATATCAATGTCTTGGACGTTGTCATTAAACAGATATTCTGTATCATATGCATGCATATCAACTCTAAGTCGATTAGAAACCAAATGATTCCAAACAAAGCAAGGATCGTTATTCCAAAGAAAAGGTAGCTTTGTGTTTTGAGAATGAACTTGTAAAGGAAAATTTGTTGTTTCATTTTCAACATCAAACAATAAGTCAATCATTTGTGGATTAAATAAAACCCGATGAATTTCAAAATATTCAAAAACACAATTAAAAAGTAGTTTGAATAAATAACGAGCAATTGCCATTTGTTCTAGATTTTTTGGAAATTTTGGCAGTTTTATAAGATATAATACTGAAAAAAATTTTTTTTAATGATTAAAAAAATTTTTTTAGCTAACAAGAGACCGGACTGGAAGGGGAAAAATTATGAACCTCGAAGATCCTTTAGATAAAGAAATCAAGGAAAGACTTATTAATTTTGAAAAATCTTGTTAAATTTTTATAAGCCTAAATAATAAATAAACCTTCTTTCCCATTGTAATTTTGTTCCAATTCACAAATGACCGTGTCTATGTCTCTATACTGAAATGATGTTAAAAACGTTGGCATTTGCTCTTCAATTCCACGTATCCACTAAAATTTTTCGAGGTTATTTAAAAAAAACATCAATTTAAAAAAACCTTTTGTTCAAGTTGTCTACTCAGTTCAAAATCATAAAGATAAGGTTGTATTTCAACAAAATTAGGTTTAACAAAACGCTAAAAATAACAATTATTATTAAAATCAATTTAAGGGACAATATAGTACGTGGGAATATATAATCATTTTTTCTAGAAGACAAAGATTCGCAAAGATACAGACTCTTAAAACTGAAAAATCATAGGGGAAGCATTATGGGAAAAAACTCGGTTATGTTTTGCGGGGCACGCGTCGAACAAGAATCAACGGCTTAATCTAAGTTGGTGCGCCCATATACTATAGACACCCTTAATTGTCTGAAACCTTTTCCTTAAGTTGTTTTTCAAATTTATGAAGATGAGGTTCTACTTCAAATTTACATTCAGCGAAGTTAAAGTCATTAAAAGGAAGCTAAAAAATAATTATTAAAATTAATTTAAAAATAAAAATACAAATCTAAGCGTAGAAAATTTCTTCCTCGCCAATTCCTTTCCATATTTGTCAATAATATTTTTGAAATAAAAACTTGTTTGTTGGAAAGACAATAATTGATTGAAGTCGAGAAATTTGAACACATCCAGTAGATTTTCTTGAGGAAGGCTTATTTGAATACACTTTTTAAGTTTTTTGATGTCAACAGGCACTTTAACTCTTCCAATTGGAACCAATTTATACAATTGATCTTCCTAAAATATTTTTTTAAATCTAAACATAAAAGTATAAAAAACCTCCAAATTAAAAAATAATTAAATATGTATACAGAATTAAAACTTTAAAAGAAAGAAATTAAAATTAAAAAAATGTTTATCAAAAAAAGTCAAATCAAAGCAAAAAAATTTTTAACAAAATGAAGAAAAAATAAATTAAACTACATGCGTGAGGTAAAGAATGATTGGCAGTAAAAAAGGAAAATTATTCCGAGACTCAAATAAAGAGGGAGGGCCGGATATTAAAAAAGTATACCCTAAGCTATATACCAGGGATCCTGCCGTCCCGATTCCAGAAAATCGCGAATTCCCGAAGTTTTTTGGGTCGGGATCCCGATTTCCCGAAATCGGGAATTTTGTTTTTTTATCGGCTAGATCTCTGATATACACTAGAGATCAGCACGGGACGGGATCCCGCACGAGATTTTACGAGATCCCGTCTCGGAATCCCGGATTTTGAGCGAAAAACGGGGTTACCGGGATTTACGAGATTAATCCCTCGCAACCCGTCCCGTACAAAATGTTGAAAAAAATCTCGTTTACAGGATTCCAGGAATGCGTCTCCGATATACACCTAACAATTAAGTCTAGATAAATAAGTTTATATCAATCAATTCTTTTAATCAAAATGTTAAATGATGGCATAAGATTACCTTCAATATTAGTGATTTTTACTTTCCTTTCTTTAATTCTTACGGAAAATTTGATTTCTGGATTGTGTTTATTGGAAAGTTGAAAAGTTGTAAATTTGAAGTCATTGTAAATTTCGATTTTAGTATTTTCCGCTTTTTTACTTGAATTTAGAGGCCCATGCATAACATAAAATATAATTTTCTTTCCCATTTCAGAAATGAATTGTGACGTTTCTATATGCTAAAATCAAAGTAAATTTTAGGTTTTCGTTGATTAATTTCAGTGGCTTTCGATTGGCCTCACTTCAAACGAAATAAATTTAAAAATTCCCAGAACAAAAAATGGACCATTTTGAGTCCAATAACGCTTAAACCTATAATTTACTATAAATATATGTCGCAGCCTAACTTAATAAGAATGTACAAACCTCTATCATAGAATCATAAAATATAGCTGATATTACGTGCATAAGAAATAACGGAAAATCTATTTCCTCCATTTGCCAAAATTTTAAATAAAGGATTGAAATTTTTTGATAAATCGATAGGTCTATCAATCTCAACGTCAAGCTGATTTGAAATCAGATGATTCGAAATAAACTTTATAGCATTGTCTTCAAAAACAAGTATTCTTGCACATTGAGAATGCATTTGTAAAGGAAAATCTGTTGTTGTTTCATCAAACAATAATTCAATCATTTGTGGGTTAATTATAAAATGAAAACTTCCAAACAATTCGAAAGCACAATTAAAAAGTAGTTTTAAGAAATATCGAGCAATTGCCATTTGCTCTAGATTTTTTGGAATCCTTGACAATTTTATATGATATAATTCCCCTAAAAAGATTCTTTGGGTCAAACTCGAAATTTTATTTTCCGAATAGAGCTTATTAATATTTAACCTCTTTTCCCTTTGTAATTATGTTCTTTCAATTCACAAACAATTGTGTTTATGTTTCCATACCGAGACGATATTAAAAACATTGGAACTTGCTCTTCTATTCCACGTATCCGCTGAAATTTTTGAGGTTACTTAAAATGTTAAAATTAAAAAAAAAACCTTTTGTTCAAGTTGTTTAGTCAATTCAAAGTAATAAAGATGAGGAGGTATTTCAACAAAATTTTGTTCGCCCAATTTAAAGTCAGAAATAGGACCCTAAAAATAATAATAATTATTATTAAAATCATTTGGTGCTATGCGTTTATACTCTCCTTTTTATCTCCCTGCTTCTGCTTTTTCAAATACATTACAAAATGGTCAAAGTCAAATAAAGTAAGGCTTAAATATCTGTACCATCTCTAATAAGATGACCAGACATTTTTCAATCATTACAATCCCGTTAAAATGGGTCATCCAAGTGGAGAGAGCCATTCTAAACTTTATTTATACCCCATATGATATTCTATTGAGGAAGGCATTCAAATTAAGGGTGCCATTCTATTTGAAACAATACGGCAATTTAATCCAACCTTTATTTCCCTTCAAAAATTTTGTATAAATCTTTGAGAAAGGAGACTACGAGAAGAAAAGGAAAAGATAAACGCATAGTACCAAAAAAAATTATAAATCAATACAAATTTAAGCTTTTCAAATTTCTTCCTCGCCAATTCCTTTCCATATTTGTCAACAATATTTTTGAAATAAAAACTTGTTTGTTGGAAAGACAATAATTGATTGAAGTCGAGAAATTTGAACACATCCAGCAGATTCTCTTGAAGAAGGCTTATTTGAATGCCCTTTTTGGTTTTAATACCAGCAGGCACCTTGTCGTTTCTAATTGGAGTCATCTGATACCATTGACCTTCCTAGAAAAATTTATGTTAACGTCTGATAGTTTTGTTGTGACGTCTGATAGTTTTGTGAACTCTTCTTTCCCCATATGAAAAAGGGAAGGAAGAAAAAATTTGCTGACAAAAATTTGCGACAAGCTGGGAGAGTAGTACTAGTACTGTTCTGTTTATTTAAAAATAAAATTATAAAAAACCTCTAAATAATATTTAATTCCTTCGTATTCAATAATTGTTTGATCCTCGCTCATTCTTGTAAAATAATTTAACTAAAATATAAATTTGAAAATTTGACCTAAAAATTGAAAGAAATTAAAATAATTAAAAAATATGTATACAGAAATCACAACTTTTAACAAAAAAAATTTTTTTAAATAAATTTATCAAAAAAACGTCAAATTAAAGCAGAAATTTTGGTAAGTCTCGGGTTTATATGTCTCCTCCCCCTTTCTTTAATCCCTTCTAAATTTCTTCTAGTTTGCTACATGATTCAAGGTAACTAAATGATCCCATGTTGTTAACGCAAAGCCGGATATAAAAGGTACGCGGACATATCGGTACGGACATATCGGGGTACTTCAATGTACGAACAGTTATTCTACTGATTTTGAGACTACGCGTCACTGGGTCTTGGATAGTATATTGTCCTAATAAAGAATAACCATATAAAAACTGAAATTAAAAAAAGGGGGCATACAAACCCGACTTTTACCCAAAATCTTTAAAAATTAAAAAAAAAATAAATTAAATTGACCTAACAATTAAGTCTATATTCAGTTAATTCTTTTAATTGTTGCATTAAATGCTACCTCAACATTTTTATACTTAACATCTTCACCATTAAATTCGTCGTTTTCAGGTTCTTTAGCAGTTACAGAAAATTTAATTTTTGGATTGTGTTTATTGAAAATTTGAAATTTTGTAGTTTTACCATCAATTTTAATATTTTCAACTGTCTCACTTGGAATTTTAGGTCCAAATATACATTCAAATTTAATTTGCTTTACCATTTCAGAAATGAATTGTGATGCTTCAATGTGCTAAAATAAATTATCTAAAATTTTTTTTCAAAAATCCTTATTCGATTATAATGTAAAGACTGACAATTCCGTACAAAAAGCGGACAGGGGGACGGCCAATAAAGTACCAATAAAATATCCGAAAATCACGGGAAACAAAAAATTTACCATTTTGAACCATAACAATTTTTATAGAAAACAGATCGCGCCCCAGAACCAAAAGGGGTATCCAAAGGAGTCGATTTCAAAAGGGTAAAATGGGATGTGCGCCAAATTTTTGGTGTTCGGCACAGTTATGTCCGAGGGTTGTACGAAGGAAGACGTGCAAAAAATTAACAGTTTATCCAAAGATCTATGTACAATGTGTAGGCGAAGGGATTTGGCTGGGACAGACGAAGGAGATCAGTGACTAGCCGGGCTAGTATGATCCAATTAGACTGACGCTTACAGTGGCTTCTATAGTAGTGTCACCAATACACAACAGGGACGCTAATTTTTTGTACATATATTCCTGCTCGTTTACCAAAAAATAAAAAAATGTGCAAACCTTTATAATAGGATTGTAAAGTTTACCGGCAACGCATAAATAAGTAATATTCAAAAATTTATTTCCTCCTTGTGTCAAAATTTTCAATAAAACGTCCATATTTTCGTCCTCGTAAAGGATACAATTAACAATTCTAACTTGATTACAAATCAAATGATTCCAAATAAAATTAAAAGAAAAATGATCCCGCGTATAAAAGTTTGCCTTTTGAGAATGTATTTGTAAAGGAAAATTTGTTGTAGTTTCATCAAACAATAATTGAATCATTTGTGGATTAATTATAGTCCGACTAATTTCAAAATATTCAAAAGCACAATTAAAAATTAATTTGAATAAATATCGAGCAATAGCCATTTCCTCTAGATTTTGTGGAAATTTTGACAATTTTATATGATATACTGCTGAATAAAAAAAATTTTAGATTAAAAAATTTTTTTATAGTTAAGGTTTGAATTTCCTCAAATACATTGAATTTCCGGTAATTTTTTACCAAAAATCTTTTTCAAAAATTTTTTGTCAAAAAAATTTTTGAATTTTGGCATATTTTTACTAAAATAGTAGAGACCGGCAAAATTGTATTTGCGGGATCCCGCATGCGGAAGTCCTTAAAAAGAGTGCGGAACTCATCCGAAAATATTCCCGCAAAATTCCGCACTCCCGTACCGCGCCGGTCTATAATAAGCTCAAATAATAAATTATAACCTTTTTTCCCTTTGTTATTTTGTTCCAATTCACAAACAACAGTGTCTACATCTTTATAACCAGAACGTATTAAAAACATTGGAATTGACTCTTCTATTCCACGTATCCACTAAAATTAAAATTTATTTTTAAATTAAAATTAAAAAAAAAACCTTTTTCTTAAGCTGTTTACTTAATTCAAAATCATAAAGATGAGGCTCTTCTATTTTAACAAATTCACCATTTTCACATTTGGAAAGCTAAAAAATAATAGTTATTAAAATTAATTTTAAAAAATCAAAAATACAAATTCAAGCCTTGCAAATTTCTTCCTAGCCAATTCCTTTCCATATTTATCAACAATATTTTTGAAATAAAAACTTGTTTGTTGGAAAGACAATAATTGATCAAAGTCGAGAAATTTGAATACATCCAATAAATTTTCTGATGGAAGGTTTATTTGTATACCCTTTTTAGTTTTGATGTCAGCAGACAACTTGTCGTTTTCAAGTGGAGTCATTTGATACCATTGACCGTCCTAAAAATTTATGTTACTATGGTAGTACCTCCCCGCATGTATGCTATTGTCTTGTCCGCAAATTTTCGTCTTTTCCGTCGCATTGTCAGAACCGAGTTTTACTAGGTCGTTTCATAAAAAGTCGCTTTTTATCAAAACAATATTTGGAGTGATGTCTGGTAGTTTTGTGAACTTTTCTTCCCTATATGAGAGAAAAAGGAAAGGCAGGAAAAAAATTTGCGGACACACACTTGCGGACACGCTGGGAGATAATCAACAGCTTATATTTTATAAAAAAACATAAAATTATAAAAAACCTCCAAATAATATTTAATCCCCTCATATTCAATAATTTTTTGATCCTCGCTCATTCTTATAAAATAATTTGACTAAAATATAAATTAGAAAAATTTGGCCTAAAAATTGGAAGAAATAATTAAAATAATTAAAAAAAAGTATACAGAAATTTAAACTTTAAACAAAGAAAAAAAAATTTTTTTTAAATAAATTTACAGTCGTGGAAAAAAGTATGGAAGCGCTAGAAATTTTTTTCTTAATTCTTAATTTTTCATTCAAAAAATACGTTCTATATAGCAATCGAAAGCTCTATTCGTATCTCAGTTGACATGTTTCTGCATTTTTCATGAAAATGAAAATTGGCCGAGATAATCCGGATCTACCGGATATACCAAATCCCACTTTTTCGGAAAAATTTTTCGGAACAAATTTAACAAACCCAAATGATAAAGCATATTTTTCTGAGTATTTTCCACAAAACCGCTTAAAAATATCTTTTTCCGGAGCAGAGATATGATTTTTTGAAAATCGCATTTTTCCCTTAAAAATTGAAAATTTTGCAAAAATTGACGAAAAATGCGATTTTCAAAAAATCATATCTCTGCTCCGGAAAAAGATATTTCTAAGCGGTTTTGTGGTAAATGCTCACAAAAATATACTTTATCATTTGTATTTTTTAAATTTGTTCCGAAAAATTTTTCCGAAAAAGTGGGATTTGGTATATCCGGTAGATCCGGATTATCTCGGCCAATTTTCATTTTCATGAAAAATGCAGAAACATGTCAACTGAGATACGAATAGAGCTTTCGATTGGTATATAGAACGTATTTTTTGAATGAAAAATTAAAAATTAAAAGAAAATTTTCTAGCGCTTCCATACTTTTTTCCACGACTGTATCAAAAAAAACGTCAAATTAAAGCAAAAATTTTGGTAAAAGTTTCGGTTTTGTTGTCTAAAATTGGAAGAAAAAAATCACTCCCTTTTTCCTATTTTTTCATTTCTTATAAAATTCCCCTCCATTTGCTACATGATTCAAATTATCTACATGATCCTATGTCGTGTATCACCAGCTTCAACAATTGGTATCTATGCCAGAGGTTGTTCGGAATTCCAATTCCCGAAAAAAATTTTGATTTCCGAGTTCCGACTTGTGAGCCTGTTCCGATTTCCTGTCCTCCGAGTTCCGACACCTCTGACTGTTCCGACCCACCTTTGATTTATGCCAACGTTGGGTGGCACCCACCTCCTCTTTGTGATAGGTTACCTTATTCTCTATAAAATTTCATAGGGAATAGAAGGCTTTAATGAAACACACGCAAAACACTGGAACATTATTTCCAAAATACAAAAACGGTTACTTATCGCTTTTTAAATAAATTGAAATAAAAAAAGGGGGACATACAAAACTGACTTTTACCCAAATATTTTAATAAAATGCAAAATAAATAAATTAAACCTCATACATAGCAATTAAGTCTATAAATAAATTTATCTCAATTAATTCGTTTAATTTCAGCATAACTTATCACGCGAGCAATTTCCACATTTTCTTCAATATAAACTGAAAATTTAATTTTTGGATTGTGTTTATTGACAAGTTGGAAATGTTCTTCTTTGTAAAGTTCGATATTTTCTTCTCTTCCATTTAAAATTCGAGGTCCAAACATTTTTTCAAATTTAATTTTTTTCACTGTTTTAGTAATATCTTTTGATGTTTCAAGGTGCTAAAAGTAAAATAAATTTCTAATGAAAATTTTAATGCTTAATTTTCAAAAATTCCTTTCCGATTAAGTCCCCGAAAAACGTGGCTACAGCTAAACTGACAATTTTTATTGAAAACAAACTGAAAATTTTTCCCAGCCCAATAAGCGACATGTACCAGCCCTTTCTTAAACCTCCTGAGTGACCAGCATTTTCTAGATAAAAATTACACTTATTGCCAATTTTTGGCTTTCTTCCCTTGAACACTATTTCGAAAAGTTATAGAGTAACAAAAATATAAAAAATGTCCAAACCTTTATAATTAAATTGTAAAAATTAGCGTGAAGTAATGTAAAAGTAAGGCATGAAAATTTATTTCCTCCTTGTGTCAAAATTTTAAATAAAACGGCCAAACTTTCTTTTTCGCAGGCAAACCTATCAAAGTTTAATTGATTAGAAAACAAATGATTCCAAATAAAGTTTGAAGAATCATTATTCCAAATATAATCAAGTTTTGCGGTCTGAGAATGTATTTGTAAAGGAAAATTTGTTGTTGAATCATCAAAAAGTAATTGAATCATTTGTGGATTAATTAAAATCGTTTCAATTTCAAAATATTCAAAAACACAATTAAAAAGTAGTTTGAATAAATAACGAGCAATAGCCATTAACTCAAGATTTTTTGGAAGTTTTGACAATTTTATATAATATAATGCTAAAAATAATACTTTCAATAATTAAAAAATTATTTTTAGGTAAGGCTTGAAGTAGAGACTGGACTAAGAGAGTCGTACGAAAAAACATACAAGATATCTCTAAATTTTTTTCGAGATTTTCAAGACAATTAATTTACATTAGGGAGCCATAGAAAATCAAGGAGGGACTAAACAGCTATCCACGATATCCTCTCAATCCCACAGTATCCTATTAATCCCTCAAACCCTCCTAATCCAATATCGCCGAGTAAAAACTTCTTTTGGACAAAATTAGATTTCTAATTTTCAAACAGCTTCTTTAATTTGAACTCAAATTTTTATAAATAGAAAAATCAAAAAATTTCCCCACTTATTCCAAAAAACTAATTACAATACCAAAAAATAGGTTAACCTTTTTTTCCTCTATAATTTTGGTGCAATTCACAAACAATCGCGTTTATGCATGTAGACTGAATTGTTGCTAAAAACATTGGAACCGACTCTTCTATTCCACGTATCCACTAAAATTTAGGTTTATCTTAAAATATAAAAAATTAAGAAAAACCTTTTCCTCAAGTTGTTTATTTAATTTAAAATCATAAAGATGAGGTTGTATTTCAACGAATTTCCGTTTAGTTGTTTCAAAGTCAAAAATGGGACGCTAAAAATGATAATTATTGTTAGAATCGAGTATTGTGACTAATACTAGGGGTCAAGGGCATAGCAAGGGGGTTTTCAGAGCTCTTTCGAATAACACCCATGCCCAAATCGGTCCAAAAAACCTCAATTAGAATTAATTTATAAAACACATACAAATATAAGCTTCGAAAATTTCTTCCTCGCCAATTCCTTCCCATATTTATCAACAATAGTTTTGAAATAAAAACTTGTTTGTTGGAAAGACAATAATTGATCAAAGTCAAGAAATTTGAAAACATCAAGTAGATTTTCTTGAGGAAGGCTTATTTTTACACCCTTTTTAGGTTTGATTTCAACAGGCAATTGACCTCTTCCAATTGGAACCAAACGATACAATTGACCGTCCTAAAAGATTATTTTTAAATCTAAACATAAAATTAAAAAAGAAACCTTTTTATAATATTTAATTCCTTTGAATTCAATTATTTCTCCATTCTCGCTCATTCTTGTAAAATAATTTGACTGAAATATTTGGTAAATTTTACCTGTAAATTTAAGAGAAAATGTCTGAAAATAATTTTAAAAAATTAAAATAAATCATTAAATATATACAAAAGAAATCATAACTTCTAATTAAATTAATTAAAAATTAAATTTAATTTTATAATGAAAGGAAAAAATTTTTTTTATAAAAATTTTTTAAAGCTTGTAAAATGCTTTGAAATATAAAATCTAAATTTAAAATATACAAAATAACTAGATTATACGAAAATTAAAGTTAAAGAGATCAGAACGACAATTTTTGGTTGAGTTATTCCAGATGTTGATTAAAGCTTATACCCCAGTAGTTCTACAAGTCGAGAAAATTTGTTTGCAACTTTTTTTTCAAAAATTACATATCCTAATAAAAATTGTGTCTTTACCTTCCTCCAAATGCAAAGTCTCTCCAACAAGACTAATCTGGATTCGAACGCACCCCGGGTAAATCCTAACATAGATGGGGCATTAAACGTTCGGATCTTTTTTTCCTTAAGTAATAGAATACTTACATTAGTCAAAAGGTTTAAAACAAGCACAAACAAAAGTGCCATCATCCAAAATAAGTTAGATTACTTCCTATTCATTTATACCTTGTGCAAGTGTATAACGATAAAGCGAAAGAATTTTGTTGAAAAATCCCTGTCCAAACAAAGATTTCATCCCCGTGCTCCCAATGAAATCCCGTGACCTCAAGTATCCCCGAATCCCGTGACCCCGGGTAAACCCTAACAACACTAGATAAGATTTTAAACGTTCTGATCTCTTTCCTTATATAAAATAAACCTATAATCAAAAAATTCGTTTTAAAAATGAGATTTTCGTCCAGCAAAAACAGGAATTAAGTAAAAAAATCATCCTTCTTACAAGCAATTAAGCCCAGATCTAAAAAATAATTTGAGTACAAAAATTTCTAAACTCAAAAAGAAACCTTAAGGAAAGAATCCCATGAAGCAGTGCATATAGCTGTTCCATCTGGAGATGTTCTCAAACAAGAAATACGATTTTCATGTCCATACAAAACATGGGCTCGAACACATTTGAGTGTATCCCAAACAGAAATTCGATAATCACCATAGCCAGCAAATAATAAGCGACCTTTATTTTTGAATTTTTTCATTAAATTGGGATTTTACAAAATTACCGCTAACAGAAAAGTCAACACCATTTACCTAAAAAATTTTAAATTAAAAAAATTTTGAAGAAAAAATTTTTTTAAAAAACAGACCGGGAAGAAAATTGATTCTTTTTGGTAAACAGCAACTTGACGATCAGCACGAATGTCGTAGAGACGGCACTAAAAAAATTTGTGGAATGACAACCTTTTAATAAAATTTTAAAAAATTAGCCTAGGCATAAGAAGTAATCTTCGTATAAAAAATGTCAAGAAACTGTGAAGTTTGGTTAAGTGGGAAAATTTTATGTTTGTAGTGCATGAAGGGTCGTAGGTTCGAACCCGTTCAGGTAAAATTTGATTTTTAAAAATGATTATGACTTGTGAAGTGGGTCTACATTGCCAATATTACTGCCAAAGAACCATTAAATTTAGTTAAGTGGAAAAAGTTCAAGTTTGTGAAGAGTAAGGTCAAGGGTTCGAGCCCGTTCAGGGAAAACCCCATAATTCCTCAAAAAATATTCTTCAAAAAAATTTTTTTATACCGAAGCATCATCAGATCCAGTAGCAAAAGCGTCTCCATTTGGATGAAATCGAATAGTATTAATATCTTCTTCGTGCCCATCAAAGCTTTGAACACACTGTCCTGAGCGGATATCCCATACGAGTGCGTGTTTGTCAGCGCCCTTAATTTTTAAAATCTAAAAAATAAAAATTTTAAAAATACCCCAGAAATAAAAATATTTCCCATATCAGATTTGGCAATGTCAACGGCAAAAACTTAAAAAAAATTTTTAACCAAAAAATTTAATTAAAAAATACCATCGCCTAAATGACCATGGAAATTTTGAATCATTTGACCACTTTCAACGTCCCACTAAAAAAATAAATTTTTAAGAGAAAAAATATATTTTTTAAATAAACCATAGCACAAGTTGAGTCACCGCTACCAGTCAATAACTTTAAAAAAAAAGAATTTTTTTAATTATTAAAAGGATAATCCAGATGGGTTGTCTATTGCTAGTTAGACGGTTACAAGTCAGATTCCCCAAACAACGAGTCAAATTCCCCTCGGTGAGTACCTATACGCAATAAGCCTAGCTATTAGCAATAACTGAGAAGAGGCTGGTGTCTTCAAATAAAATTTTAAAAAATTCAAAAAAATGTCTGCCGTTAAAAAATTCAAAAATCTGGTTAAGTGGGAAACCTTTAGGTTTGTGGAGGCGGAGGTCCTGGGTTTGAACCCGCTTCAGGTAAAACCTCAATTTTTTTATAAAATAATCTCAAAAACCATCAAAAACAATAAATTCTCAAGAAAGGACCAAGAAAAAAATTTAAAAATAACCAAATTATCCGAACGAATAAAAGTACAGCAGCTCATATAAGAAGTATGAGTAGCCACAGATCGCTTCTTTTGGATTATATCCTCGTCAAAGTTGAGAGGTATGACAGAACATTTATTGTCCAAACCGCCACAGGCAATCATTTGCATACTTGGGGCAAAAGCGCAAGCCATGACCTATATAAAAAATTTTTTCTAAGGGGCAAAACACCGTCAGACCAAAATACCGTCCGGACAAGAGAATAGAAAAACTATTTTAACAAATATTAAATTCGACTTATGTCAACATTATGTCATCCCAACATTTTTTTAGACTTACTGGCTATTAGCTCTTGGTTACTAATTTACTCCAATGCCTACAAAATTTTATTTTAAAAACTATTCGCATTAAGCGAACTGGAAGGTAATTTGATAAGACGGCGTTTTGCCCCTTCATAACTAAAAATTCATACCCATGTAGTAGGCATAGTGATGGCATGTTCTTTATTAGTTGTAAATCCATCCCATACCTTTTTAATGTCAAAATAAAAAAATCCTCGAAAAATCAAAGCTTACAATGACTTTGCCATCTTGCGAAGAACTGACAATGTGTCTTTTATCCTGTGCCCAATCCATGCATAAAACTTTACTAGCATGTCCACGGAGTACACGTCGACATCTCATTCCACCAAGTTCCAATTTTGCCAATTTTGCGGCTGCTGTTTGGACTGAAAAAGTGGAGGGTAGATAAAGATTAAAAAACTGGGCCCGAACTTTGGCCTTGGGTAAATGCCTAGAGTCCAGGAAAAGCTCAAACTTAGCCCCTGTCCGGCAGGATCAGGGGCTAAGTTCGACCTAAAATAAGTCTGGGCTTGAGTTATTGATACGGCCCGAAATCCAAAAATGCCGAAAGACCAAGCAGGACAAACTAGCTTTAACCTAAACCCTCAAACAACAGAAAATAATAACAAACTTGGCACATCATTCAATTTTTGCCTTTCCTGGTCCAATTTTTGCCGGAGGTCTTCTGCTTCACGGACAAGCACTTCAATTTGATCGCCACTTCTATCGAAGCTTTGATTAAATAAAATATTGAAAAAATACCTTGAAGAGACATCATCAACCATTATTCCCTTTATAATAAATTTAAATAAATTTGTTAAAGCTTCTTAGAAATCTAAACAAAATTGCTTGTAAATTAGTACGAAAGTGAGGAAAAAACAAAAAAAACAGTCCAAGTCAACTCCCAAATAAATCCCCAGAATTATTGAAAAAAGATTAACAGCTCTCTCATATAATGCCAATTCCACATTTTGCCAATAAGGGCAAGAATATACATCTTGCCACATAGTCTAGTTGACAAAATGTACGATTTTACCCTTATTGGCAAAATGTCGATAGGCAGAATGTGATCACAAAATTAATAAACGCTAAATTAAAACAAATTTGCCTTCCTGACAAAATTAAATTTTGGTCAAATGAATTTTACCACTTTGAAAAACACTTCGCCAAAAATTAATTTTAACTGCCAAACGAAATAAAAATATAAACTTGATTTAAGCTTGAATTAAATTCTGGAAGGCTTTAGCTTCTTTTAAGCTTTCTAACAAAATTACTAACACCCCGGCAATGTCTAAAACCGAACCCAAAAATGCCGAACGAGTAACTACGTTGAAGAAAATACTTTGTGCTGGGAAAGGTTTTTTTAATTTTTTTTTAAATTTTGAAAAATTTTTTTCAGGTGAATTACCCAATTATTGTAAGGATACTAAAGCAATTTTTCATTATGAAGTCTTTTTGCCTCCTAAAACGAATAAGTTGGATAAGGATGAGATTGAAGATGCTGAACAGGCCAGGCTGGCCATATTTCCTCAGGACAGGTTTGAAATTTAGAAATTCGATTTTTGGCATTTTGACATCTTTTAGGGATTTTTTTTACATTTTTCTGGGTTTTTCGACATTTTGAAATTTTTTAATAGTTGACATTTTGAAATTTTACCATTTTGACATATTTTTGATTTTTCGACATTTTGACATATTTTTGATTTTTCGACATTTTGACATAACCCTACTAAAAATTTTAAAATTTTTTTAGATCCCTTTATGAATGTATTGATAGCACAAAGAAAGACTGGCCGAATGGTTACGGAAAACCTTTGGAGCTTATTTTTGGGAAGAAATTTCAACTGCCTTTGTTTGAAAAATGTTTGAGGACAATGCTGGTTGATGAGGTTTAAAAAATTTTTTAATTTTAAAAAAATTTAAGCAAAAATTTTTTTCAGATAAGCCAATTTGATGTTTACGATCCAAACGAACTTATCACCTTTCCAATGGTTTCAAAAAAGTTGAGGGATATTGGGCATGCAGAAAAGGTTTTTATTTTGAATTTTTAGGTCGAGTTTCCGGCACGTAAAAATTAAATGAAATTTCTTACGGACGATTTTTGCGGATTTTCCTATCCTTCTCTTAATTTTTTTCTTTAATATTTTCCAAAACGAAAAATTTTTCCAATTGATTTCTAAAATTTTCCAAAAAATTTCCAATCCGCAAAAATCGTCCGCAAATAAACATTTTTTTTAATTTTTCAAAAAAACTTTTAGGACCCAATATTCGCCAAAAAATACGAACATTCCCAAAAACATCAATGTGCTGCAACTGTTACAGAATTGGGTTATCCAGAATTGGACAAACTTTTGAAGGAAGGGCCTAGGCCTACTCGAGTTATTTTGCATTTACTTCAAGTTTTGAAGCCTGACCAGTGAATTATTTCAGACTTTAACTTTGAGGGGTAATTTCTTTTATTTTTTAGATATAAAGCAGACAATTGGCAGCTGGACGAAGTTCAACGTTCTAAACAAATTGATCAACTTAGAATTGAAGGGAATCTACTATTTTCTGAGGTTTTAAAAAATTTTTATTTTAGTCCTTTATGGCCCTAAAATTTCTGTAAATTTTGTCCGCAAAAAAATAAATCTATGGGTAAGTAGGTTATCGGTTCCACACCAGTCTTTCCGGTTAATTGAACATGGGCCTAGAGTAGAAATCGAGATTTTTGAAAAGCCTGGGCCTGTTCCGGGGTTCCAAGTTATTGGACTGGTCCTGTAGTCCAGGAAAAACCCAGGAAGGTCAAAAAATGCCTGGGCCTCGACTCTGGGTACAGGAAAAGCCCAGGACTTGGTCCAGACTCAGCTCGATCTCTGGTCTGGAGCGGGTTTGGTATTTTCCTGGACCCAATTCAGTAACACAAAACTTCAGATTTTGGTTTGGTATTGCAGAAAAAATTTTTAGAGGCATAAAATGAGCATGTTCTTCTAGATTTAAAATTGCGGACAAACCTTTGTGGACTTTTTTTAACATAAGGGAGAACTCGAAAAATTTTCCAAAAATTTTTACTTTTTCAGAAAGACTACCAAAACGCCTCATTAAAATACCGAGAAGCAATAACCTTATTAGACCAACTTTTGCTTAATGAAAAGCCTGGAGATCCAGAATGGCTGGAATTGGACCAAAGAAATATTTTTTTGTTTTTAAATCTTGCTCAATGTTTTTTGAATTTGGGACAGTTTTATGAGGCTATAAATTGTGCAAATGAAGTGTTGAATAGGGATCCAAAGAATGTTAAAGCTTTGTTTAGAAGAGCTAAAGCAAAGATGCAAATTTGGGATTTGGAGGAGGTTTGTTGAGTGTTTTTTGATTTTTATAATTTGGAGTAGGAGTGTACCCCGGACTCACAATCAGTTCAACCCAGGCAAGACCCGCTAAAATCTAACCCAGACTCCGTCTAACTCGGACCTCAACCCCAAAAACCCTGACATTTTCTCAAGTCAGTAGGCTGCCTTAATGTCGCTAGTGACTTGGAGAGGGGGATTTGGAGGAGGTCTGCTTTTATTTTTTGATTTTATAATTTGGAGTAGGAGAGGATCCCGACCTCTCTATGATCCCATATCATGACCTTGAAGGTCCTAATCCAGACCCAGAAGAACCGCGACCTCCTAAAATCGTTACTGAATTGGGTTATACATTTATGCCCAAATGTCCGCAAATTCTATCCGCAAGATTTTGCAGATATCTTTGAAGCGTCCGATGTTCATGCTGTGGAAAAATTGTGGATGGGAGATGGAATTGAACCATCACGGAAAGAGCCCAGACCGAAGCACAACCGACTGTGCCACCATCCAACCCAATGTTGGGTTATTTATTTTCATTTATATATTCTTTCTGCAAGTGCGGACACAACACTCCTTCCGCCTTGCGAAATCAAGCGTCCTCGCTTGTTGCTTGTCTTCAATAACTATCATCTGTTTCGATTTTTGGAGAGCACACACAGAAACCCATTTTGTGGCATTTGCTGCGCTTCATGCGCCTTACGCATTTTTATATTATATTAGCCTCGCAACACCGGCTAGCCTATCACAACTCAGGCATTTAATTTCTCACAGGGTCTTCTCCTTTTTCTCTCCACAGTGACAGAATGTCAGATCATTACAGCATGTAAGGTTCGCTGAAATTTCCTCAGGCTAAGCCTGGCCTGTCCGACTGCGCCATTTGTCATGTCCGATTGTTCGTACTGTGGAAAAATTGTGGATGGGAGATGGAATTGAACCATCAAGGAATGAGCCCAAACCGAAAGCACAACCGACTGTGCCACCATCCAACCCAATGTTGGGTTATTTATTTTCATTTATATATTCTTTCTGCAAGTGCGGACACAACAATCTTTATTGTCCGCAAAAACTTCTTTGGACTCGCAATCTGGACCAGATCCAATTTTTTTATTATAATAAAACCTTTTATTATCGGAGAGGGGTTTTCACCCCTTCTAGTTGGACCGGCAACATTGCCTTCTAAAAAATTTTTATTTTTCTAGGCAGAATCAGATTTACACCTTCTAAAGTCTCTGGGAGCAGATGTATCTTTAATTAATTCCAACCTGAAGCAATTGGAACAAAAACGGAAAGAAAAAGAATGTGAACAATCAAAGGCCTATAAAGCTATGTTTAAAGGAGCTTTAAATTTGGAAGAAGAAAAATGAGAGTGAGGTTAATTTCTTGTAAAATTTTTTGGGAGAAGTTTGAGGGGAGCTTAAAAAATTTTTTTCTGAAAATTTTTACCTACCCTTCAAAAAAATTTTTTTGAGGGGTAAGAAATTTTTTTTAAAAACTTCAAAAAAATTCGAAATTTAAAAAAAATTTTGGGGGTTCAAAAATTTTTTTTAAATTTTTTGGGGTTCAAAAATTTTTGGGGGTTCAAAAAAATTTTTTAAATTAAAAAAATTTTTCAGGGTTCCAAAAAAATTTTTTTGGCTAACCAACATAAATATTTAGATATATAAACTCTTCCTAAAAAGTTGAATAATTTTTTTCTAACATTTTTTATATACCCCCTCTTTCTGCAAATAACCAAAACTGTAATAATTTTTTAAATTGTTTAACTGTAATATTGTGATCTCTCTTTTATTTTTAAATAATTTTTAGAAAATAAATTTAATTAATTAAAGCTTACTACTACCATTTTCCTTTCCTAATTTTTAATTACGTCAGCTGTCCCTATCTTTTCTTTTTAAAAATAAATCTCTGATCAATTCTTATTTTATAAATTTTTGCAAAAATAAAAAATAAATTTTTATATTTTCCCCCTAATTTTATTTATGCAATCAACATCAACAAACAGTACACTCGAAATTAAAAACAACAAAAATAATAATTGTCTAGATAATGAACAAACATTTGATAATAATGAAATAGGTTAGCGGAAAAGTGTCGATAAAACGCTCCCAAAAATTTACCCAAGTGAAACCTTGACATTTTGGAATTTTAACCAAAAATGGTCTTTTTACCCAAATGAGAGGCGACATTTTGAAATTTCTAGCTTCAAAATTTTAAATACTTTTTTTGTTGAAAAATAGTTACCCAAGTGAAACCTTGACATTTTGGAATTTTACCCAAATGAAATTTGACATTTTGAAATTTTTGCGTTAGTTGACATTTTGAAATTTTTGCGTTAGTTGACATTTTGAAATTTTACCCAAATGAGTTTTGACATTTTTAAATTTTCATTAGTTGACATTATTAAATTTTTGCGTTAGTTGACATTTTGAAATGTTCTCATTTTTAATTAAAAAATAGGTTTACCCAAGTGAATCTTGACATTTTGTCATTTTACCCAAAAAAACGTTGAAATTTTGAAATTTTTACATTAGTTACAATTTTGAAATACTCGCAATTTTTAAATTTCGAAAATATTAATTAAAGAAAAAAAATATTTTTTAATTGTTTGATAAAATTGAGACAATCAAAAAATAAAAAAATTAAAGACAAAAACAAAAAGCTAACAAAATAACTAGTAGCTAGCTAATTCCTTTTCAAGTGTTTATCTTCGGCCACAATAAAAACAATTGTGTATTTTTAATTAAATGCGCAAATCGCTCAAAAATAAATCTAATATAAAAATTTATTTGTTTGTATAATTTATTTTATTGTTGAATTTTTGACTTAAAAATTTCCGAAAAAATTGGTTAAAAATTTAGTCAAATAATTTTTTAAATTAAAAGCTTCCGGTGAAGATGTGCCTTTTCCCGTTAAAATTTATTTAAAAGCAAATATTATTTTTTAAAGCCACCACTCATTGTTCTCCCCACATTGTTACACTCGCTAATCGGAAAAAGTGCGAGATTGCGGGAGCGGTATCCCGCAAAATTAGGCGCCGGTCTCTACTTGTTGCTGTTTTTAATTTTACTTGGGACAATTTCAAAATGCCAACTTTTGAAAATGCCATAACTTCGAAATGCCAATAAAACCCAAAAATTAAGGATCATTAATTATTTTCAAAATGCCATTCTCAAAACGTCAATTTGGGAAAAATTTACAAAATTCCAAATTGAACCCAATGACTTAATTGCCCTTAATTAAATTTAAAAAAATTTTTTAAAATTTTAAAAATAGGTCTATCAACAAATTTAATATCTTCTAATAATATGGCAATTTTAATCCACCCAAAAAAGAATTCCAACGAGGATATTATTCCCTCTTCAACATATCGCTGGTTTCTCTCCTACCGTATGATGACTGCAAGCATGTTATGCCTTTGCTTTGCTAGGCAAATTTAATTTTTAAAATTAAAAAAAAATTTTTTTAGTGTTCATATGATGAATGCAAATTTAGGAATGGCTATGTAAATTTAGAAAAAAATTTTTTCCTAATTTATAAAAATTGAAAGGGTTTGTATGGTAGACGATGATTACTCCCCTTCAATTAAAAATGAGAGTGATAACGCTTTGGAATACGAATTGAAAAATTTTACAAGTGTATTTGGTGCTGCTCCGAGAGTACATTGGTCATCGGAAGTAAGTTCAGAAACGTCCGACCCCCAAAAATATTTAAAAATGTCCAACCCCTAAAAACATTTAAAATGTCCAGAATCCAAAAATATTTCGAAATGTCCAAACCCAAAGAATATGTCAAAATGTTCAGAACCCAAAAATACCTCAAAACGTCCAAACCCGGAAATAGTTCAAAACGTCCATAAGCCAAAAATCTTTAAAAATGTCCAACCTCCAAGTATATCTCAAAACACCCTTTAACAGGATCAAGGCTGGATATTTGCAGCTTTCAATGCGGGTCTTCTCTGTATGTTATTTACCGGATTCCTAGCAGACAAATTCAACGCAAAATGTTTGTATACTTAATTTTCCAAAAATTAAATCCTCGAAAAATTTAAGATATGATTATTGTTAGTGTATTGCTTGCATCTATGGCTAATATTGCTATTCCTTTAACTGCTACTTTTAAGTTGGTTTTCCCCTATAAAATCCTCCCCCTTCCCTTAAAATCCTTTTTCCCCCTTCAAGTGTTGGTTATGCAATAGCTGCTCGTTTTATGGTGGGCCTAGCTGAAGCACTCTTACAACCAGCTATTAACTCGCTCGTTACACGATGGTTCCCAGCATCTGAACGGTCATATGCTTTGGGGCTAGCTACTGGAGGGAGGCAATTTGGTTGGAAACTGTTCCCCTTTTTAATTAAATGACCACAAATCCAAATTAAGGCACTCTACTAATTATCCCTACAGCAGGCGCATTATGCGCTCAAAACATTTTTCTTGGCGGTTGGCCATCTATATTCTATGTTTCTGCTTTTTCGGGGCTTCTATTTGTTTTGATTTATATTTTGGTTGGGGCTGATAAGCCTAGCAAACAAAATTGTATTTCTAAAGGAGAATTGACGTGAGTTACAAATTAAATAATCTCCCTCTATTCCCCTCCACAGATTTATAACAGTAGCAAATTCACTGGAACATATGGGACAGAAACGTATAAATCGCAAAGTTCCCTGGAAGTGTATATTAAAATCCCCACCAGTATGGGCAGCGCTAGTTTCTGTTGTTTGTCACGAATTTCCTTTAATGACTATGATAATGTTTTTGCCTGCTTATTTACACGATGTTCACCATTATGATTCTACCCAGAATGGAATTTATAGTGTAAAAATAATTTTTATTGGGAAAAAAATTTCCCAAAATTTTTTCTAGGCTCTCCCAACTTTAGCTCTTTGGATAAGCAAAATTACTTCAAGTTGGCTTAACACGTGGCTACAGGAAAATACAAAATGGGGCGTCTCTTATATTTCTAGGGTTCTTAATGCAATTGGTAATTAAATTTAAAAATTCGAAAAAAAATTTCAAAATGGTAAAAATTTAAAAATGGTAAAAATCCCAAAATGGTAAAAATGCCAAAATTTCAAGACACCCAAAATTCAAAATACCCTATCATAAAACGCCATAAACTTTTTAAGGCTCAATTGGATTGTCACTCTTCATGTTAGGAGCAACCTTCTTAGACTCATCCAGAGCATCATTAGCAGTCGTTCTCCTATGTTTTTCAATGTTTTTTACAGGATTGCATACGCCTGGATGTCAAGCGGCTTTAGTCGCTGTTGCCCCCGCATTTTCTGGTTACCAAAAAATTTTTGAAAAAATAATTTCTGCTTAATTTTAGGCGCTATAACTGGGCTAACTTTCTTTTTTGTTGCAATTAGTGGTAAAATACCAAAAAATTTTCCGATAAAATTTTTTGTATTTTAAGGCATAATAAACCCAGGAATGACAAAATTAATAGTCAGAGATGGTTCTGCTTCAGAATGGAATATTGTTTTTTACATTTCGACTTTTATTGGACTAATTCCTGTGATTGTCTTTAGCTGGTGAGATATTTCGAATTTTGAAATAGGACCCTTTGAAAAAAATCAAAAAATTTTTTAAAGGTGGGGATCAGCCGATATCCAAAACTGGGCTAAAGGACCGTCTTCAACTCCCTCAACAACTTCATGCCCAACATTGGCAACGATTGAGTCAATTTGTGAAGGAAAGAACAATAAGGTAACCCAAAAAGAATCCCAAAAATTGGAAGAAAAATACTAGAAAGGAAACTTTTTAGGTGAAAGATCTCAAATTTGTAATAAACGTTTTTACATAAATTGTAAAAATATATAAAAATAAATTACAAATTGTAAAAAATATAAATAAAACTTTTTTACAAATTGTAATAAGTTTTAAACTTTTTTTACAATTGTAAAATTTAAATAAGACCTTTTTACAATTTGCAACAAGTTTTATTTATTTTCTACAAATTGTAAAGAAGTTTAAAACTTTTTACAATTTGTAGAAAATAAATAAAACCTTTTTTTACAAATTGTAAAAAAAGTTTTATTTAAATTTTACAATTTGTAATAAGTTTTAAAATTATTTTTTAATTTGTAAAAATAATTAAACATTTTCTACAAATTGTAAAATTAATTAAAAACTATGTTTTACAATTTGTAAAAAATTAAGTAAACAATAAATTAAACCTTCTACATATTGTAAAATAAATAAGCCTAATTTCGTTCACCCACTTAATAAAAAATTGAGCGACATTTGTGGAACGGAACGCTTTCTTCAATTTTTTGAGCATTTGCCCTTCTATTAAATAAAAAAATTTTTAATTAAATTTAATTTAAAAATTAACCTCCACAACCATAACCAAACATCAACATCCACACAAGTAAAATTATTTAATTTTTCGAATGTTTCTGGATTTATTGAATTTTTTCTAGTTTCACAAATATTTTTAATCTCGTTGAGAATAAGCTGAAAAAATATTATTCTTGTAAAAAAATTTAAAGCACTAGACAGGTCCAAGGAAAGGTCTGGGCGAGGAAAAAAATTTGGCCGGAGTCCGCGTAGAGTTTTCAATTTTTAAGGTTCGGGGGTCTCACAACGAAAGTCTGGGGTAACCCAACCATCCCAAGGTATTTTATTTCCCATCCCGCTAGACAGGACCATGAGCCTTTCCCCAAAGGCCATGAGCCTTTCCCCAATTTCAAAAAATTAAAATTTGGTCGGAGTTTGGGCCAAAAATTTTTTATAAAAAATTAACTCAATCCACATCCGTTAGGCAGGACCCATTTCCCAATTAAAAAATTAATAAAAAAATTCAAACCTCACACGCCTCAATAGAAAACCCTCTAATTTGTACTTCCTCTTCCCCTCCACATTTTAACAATTTATTATTTTTTAAATTTTCCAAAAGACCATTTCCATATTCCAAAACATTTAAATAAGCAAGTGCTTGGGGTACTCTATAATCCGCAAACATTGTTAATTTATTTATATCGTTAAAATTTGCATTAGAATCCTTCCCATGTAAACAAGAGTAAACATCGGCAACCAAAATTTGAGCTCGTTTAAGGAAAGAAACTGAAATAGAAATTAATGAAAAAATGGACATTATGAAGGTTAGGCATTCTGAAGTTTTTTTTGGAAATTGGACCTATAAAAGTTCAAGATTTTGAAAGTTTGGAAAAAATACGCTCTGAAATTTTTAGAAAATTTGACATTATAAAGCTTTGACCTTATGACATTGGAATTTTTACGAGATGTCAAAGTCATGTGACAGGGGTGTGCCGAAAGTGATTTTAAAAAGCGAAAGGCGAAACTCGCACACCCCTGTCATGTGACGTTTTGAAAAATTTATGAGAACTGGACATTTTTAACTTCTTTGGGTAATTGGACATTTTTAATACTTTTTTTAGGAAAAAATGGGATATTTTAACATAAGCATTAACCTTTACGTCCACGATATTCAGCAAAATCTCGAAAATTGGGAAAATTCTCAATTATTAATTGAAGTAAATTTAAAGCACTATTTGAACATTTTAAAAGACAATTGTAAAAAGAGCCTCCAAATTTCTAAAAATTAAAAAAAATAATTTTTTGATATTTTAATTTACCTCATTAAGTATTTTCCCATTTTCTCGAATCATTTCAATTCTTTTATTTAAAAGGGGAATTGAAACATCTTAAAATTAAATGTTAAAAGATGATTAAAGAGTGATATTTTAAAAGATTGAAATTTTGAAATATTTTGGAAACTTGAATTGGGCATTTCTTAAAAATTAACGGGAAGGTGGACATTATGGTAAACTGAAATTCTTGAATTTTTTAAATTCTTAAAAATTTTACACTTTGAAATATTTTATAAAATAAAAACCCCAAAACCTCTATCTCCTTGAAAAATTCCCTTCACAATTTTCTCATCAATATTAGCCATATAATCTGCAGAAGTGAGCGGAATTCCATTTTCAAGGGCGCGGTTAATTGCCACACAAACACCAAAATAGCCACTAAAAATTTTTTAAAATTTTTTTTTATAAAATTTTAAAAAACCTCTGAGTTGTTCCATTATGGGTAATCTTTTAAAAAATAATTTTCAAAAACTAAAATTATAAAGGAAACCTCCCAATGGTTAATTTCTTCATTAGGCCAAAACGAAAAATTAATTGTGTCCATAAAGAAGATCCTAGGAAAAAAATTAGAATATAGTCGGACATAATTATAGGATACCCAAAAACCTCGATACATATTTTAAAATTTGGTTGCCTTTGAGTGAGGGAATTAATTAAATTTTCTAAAAAGTTCCAGCATATACTCTAAATTAAATATACGGGAGCAGGCCAACCTACCTCGAGCCCAACCTACTGCCAAGGCTATAAATTCCTTAAAAATTGTCGAATCCGGGCCACCCTGGTATGGTTCGATGTGCCTCAACAAACTAAAACGAACTATACCAGTGCATTCCGGATTTGACAATTCTTGAACGAAGTTATAGCCTCGGCGACAGGTTAAAAGTAAGGTCTGACTAAAAATTTTTTAAAATTTGAAAAATTCCAAACCAATCAACAGCAGCTTTGTCAGCACTTTTCGGGTGAAATTCACACTCATCAAAATTTAATTGCCCAATTTCTGTTAAAGTCGAATTACAAATAATTTCTGCCACTTCGACAACTGCCTCATTATTTATTTTAATTAAATTTGTTTCTGCGTTGTTTACAATAAATTTGGCTGAATCTCTAGGATTTAAAACATCTGAAAATTAAAAAATTTTTTTAATAAAAATTTAGATATTTTTCGAACCTTCAAACACAAAATTGGTAAAAATGGAATTCATGACACTAAAATGAGAGAAAAAAATATTTTTCTAACTATTTTTGCAACAGCAATTTACAAAGGGACACGCCCTCCTTGTCGCGGGCCACCTTGTCGCGACCACCTTGTCGCAGGCCACCTTGTCGCAGGCCCACCTTGTCGCAGGCCCACCTTGTCGCAAAGGTTGAAAATTTTTTATGCTGATATGGAGGGTAGGAAAAAGGCCTTCTGGGCACGATCGGGGTTTTAAGGAGTAATTTGGATCGGTTTTACTCTGTTAAAACTCCTGTAGACTTTAACCGGATAAGAGAAAGTAATAAAAGGAAAAAAACACTCCTGGAAATTAACTAAAAAATTAAAAAAAAACCTAGAAAACAAAATAGAAATTCTAAACCTTCCATATTTCCAATCGTTGTAGCCGTGGGATGAAGTACGGCACGTGGCGAGTGAAGTTTAGGCCAGCCTTGAAATAAAAACCAAAGGAAAGCCTGCGACAAAGTGGCCTGCGACAAGGTGGGCCTGCGACAAGGTGGGCCTGCGACAAGGTGGTCGCGACAAGGTGGTCGCGACAAGGTGGCCCGCGACAAGGTGGGCCGTACCCTTTACAAAATACAAAATGCCAAAAAATATTTTTTTGTCGAAAATTATTTTTTAAAAGCATGACACTAGAGTCTTAGTGCAATTTTAGTCAGTGCATTTTTCGGGGCCCGGAAACCGGATCTTGAATCTCACACTCATGCCGGACCAGATCTGGCCGGAGTCCATTGCGGCGCCAGTCCTTAATTAATGTAAATACTAGGCCATCTTCTGGATTCCATTTTTATTCTTAAAATTTCTATACCGTAGTCGGTTTCCTATAGATACACTGAACACATCGAGGTGTGCCTGACAAGATTAATGGAGGGAGGTTTTTAGATTTATTTGGATATTAATTGGAGCTGTAGTTTAGCGCTCTTATGGTTCTTCAATTTTGGGGACTTATAACTCGCTCCAAAGACACTTCCTCACTTAGATGTGTAGTGGTATCACTCGACCTCAGACCTACGAATTGAATGATATATGAATCTACTAGAGACTTCTAAGACCGAAAATTTTCCAAGACTCAAGACCTAAGACCAAGACTAGACCTAAGACCAAGACTTGACACTAAGACTCAAAACCAAAAGTCTTGGAAGTCTCTAGAATCTACCCATTTTGTGGTGGGTCCTTGAAAAACTATAGCCTAACTTGGAAGTGAATTTTGGTAATGAATTAATTGAAGAATAAAGCAATTCACCTAATCATTTTTACTTAATTTTTGAGATTTAATTTCTTCCATCCAACGCTAAATTTAATTTTAAAAAACTCAATTGCGTACAAACATATTTAAATTTTAGAGATGAAAATCAAATGAATTCCACGTTAGTAGCCAACGACAAAGTCGGAATCCAACGAATTGGTAAGTTAGCTAATTCCACGTTTAAAAAACTTCTAGCAATCAATTGACGCAAATAAATTAAAAAAATTTTTTTAAGTATAATAGGCTTAACTTCCAAGAATAGCAACAAATTTATTCAAATTTAAAACCAATGAGGAGGCCTTTGCGTTTAATTTATTTGAACAGCCTTGACAAGAGTTATAACGCGATGGAATCCTCACTTTCTTACAAGCCTTTATAAGCCGCTTCAACGAGTGGGAGAATATCAGTAATCCCATATTACTTGTTAAATCTTCCTCTCCTCTCCCAATAACTGTTAATACCTTCCTCTCTCTACCAAGAAAACTTTTTTTAAATGAAATTATTAATTTCTGTCTTCATTGGCTTTTTGGCCATTTCTATATCCTTACAAGGTGGGTGTTTAAAATATATCGTAACTTAAACCCAGAATTTTGAAAATAAAATAGACTAATATTTTTCTAATTTCAGATGATGTAGCAACACCAGCTGCGGAGTTTCCTGATTTCTGTAGCAATCCAAGTCTTAACAAGAACGCAAAAGTAAAAGCTTGCTGTATGGCAGTTACAGAGGCAGCAAATGCTGGAACATATAAAGGTGCGGATGGACCAGTACCGGATAAATGTACTCTAAGAAGTTGTGGACGTGTTTGCAATCGCTTTTTCAACCAAAAAGGAAATGATGTGACAGAGATGCCGGGAAGTACAACAGCCGAGTTTCCTGATTTCTGTAGCAATCCAGATCTTAACAAGAACGCAAAAGTAAAAGCTTGCTGTGAAGCAGTTACAGAGGCAGCAAATGCTGGATCATATGGTGGACGCGATGGCCCAGTACCGGATGAATGTACTTTAAGAAGTTGTGGACGTGTTTGCAATCGCTTTTTCAACCAAAAAGGAAATGATGTGACAGAGATGCCAGAAAGCACAACAACCGAAAGTGAGTCTTCAGAAGAATGTGAATGTGGAGATTCAGAGGATGAAACTACAACAGAAGCTCCACCAACTCCACGAAACCCATACCCATCTGGACCAGAACCATCCACACCAGGAGGACAAGTAGCATCGCATAAGCCTCCAGCAGCACCTTCTACTCCACAGCCTGGATATCCCCAACCTCCAGCAGCTCCATCAACAAAACCTCCACGAAACCCATACCCATCTGGACCAGAACCTACTCCAAAACAACCTGGATATCCCCAATCACCAACTCCACGAAACCCATACCCATCTGGACCAGAACCATCTACACCAGGAGGACAAGTAGCATCGCATAAGCCTCCAGCAGCACCTTCTACTCCACAGCCTGGATATCCTCAACCACCAGCAGCTGCATCAACCAAACCTCCACGAAACCCATACCCATCTGGACCAGAACCTACTCCAAAACAACCTGGATATCCCCAAGCACCAGCATCTACTCCAAAACAACCTGGATATCCCCAAGCACCAGCATCTACTCCAAAACAACCTGGATATCCCCAAGCACCAGCATCACCAACTCCACGAAACCCATACCCATCTGGACCAGAACCATCTACACCAGGAGGACAAGTAGCATCGCATAAGCCTCCAGCAGCACCTTCTACTCCACAGCCTGGATATCCTCAACCACCAGCAGCTGCATCAACCAAACCTCCACGAAACCCGTACCCATCTGGACCAGAACCTACTCCAAAACAACCTGGATATCCCCAAGCACCAGCATCTACTCCAAAACAACCTGGATATCCCCAAGCACCAGCATCACCAACCCCACGAAACCCATACCCATCTGGACCAGAACCATCTACACCAGGAGGACAAGTAGCATCGCATAAGCCTCCAGCAGCACCTTCTACTCCACAGCCTGGATATCCCCAACCTCCAGCAGCTCCATCAACAAAACCTCCACGAAACCCATACCCATCTGGACCAGAACCTACTCCAAAACAACCTGGATATCCCCAAGCACCAGCATCTACTGCAAAACAACCTGGATATCCCCAAGCACCAACTTCTACTCCAAAACAACCTGGATATCCCCAAGCACCAACTTCTACTCCAAAACAACCTGGATATCCCCAAGCACCAGCATCACCAACTCCACGAAACCCTTACCCATCTGGACCAGAACCATCTACACCAGGAGGACAAGTAGCATCGCATAAGCCTCCAGCAGCAACTTCTACTCCACAGCCTGGATATCCTCAACCACCAGCAGCTCCATCAACCAAACCTCCACGAAACCCATACCCATCTGGACCAGAACCTACTCCAAAACAACCTGGATATCCCCAAGCACCAGCATCTACTCCACAGCCTGGATATCCCCAACCACCAGCAGCTCCATCAACCAAACCTCCACGAAACCCATACCCATCTGGACCAGAACCATCTACACCAGGAGGACAAGTAGCATCGCATAAGCCTCCAGCAGCACCTTCTACTCCACAGCCTGGATATCCTCAACCACCAGCAGCTGCATCAACCAAACCTCCACGAAACCCTTACCCATCTGGACCAGAACCTACTCCAAAACAACCTGGATATCCCCAAGCACCAGCTTCTACTCCAAAACAACCTGGATATCCCCAAGCACCAGCTTCTACTCCAAAACAACCTGGATATCCCCAAGCACCAGCTTCTACTCCAAAACAACCTGGATATCCCCAAGCACCAGCATCACCAACTCCACGAAACCCTTACCCATCTGGACCAGAACCATCTACACCAGGAGGAAAAGTAGCATCGCATAAGCCTCCAGCAGCACCTTCTACTCCACAGCCTGGATATCCTCAACCACCAGCAGCTCCATCAACCAAACCTCCACGAAACCCATACCCATCTGGACCAGAACCATCTACACCAGGAGGACAAGTAGCATCGCATAAGCCTCCAGCAGCACCTTCTACTCCACAGCCTGGATATCCTCAACCACCAGCAGCTGCATCAACCAAACCTCCACGAAACCCTTACCCATCTGGACCAGAACCTACTCCAAAACAACCTGGATATCCCCAAGCACCAGCATCTACTCCGCAGCCTGGATATCCCCAACCCCCAGCAGCTCCATCAACCAAACCTCCACGAAACCCTTACCCATCTGGACCAGAACCTACTCCAAAACAACCTGGATATCCCCAAGCACCAGCATCTACTCCGCAGCCTGGATATCCCCAACCCCCAGCAGCTCCATCAACCAAACCTCCACGAAACCCATACCCATCTGGACCAGAAGATCTACCCACTACAAAAAAGCCAGTCAATATAACAACAACCTTGACTCCAAGACGTAATCGTTATCCAGTTGGACCACCGGAATAAGATGAATATGGTAAAGGAAGCTTAAGAGAACAAAAGAATGAAGTAAAAAAGAAAAAAATGAAACTATGGGATGAAAATTTTTTGGGATAATTCATATGATAATTAAATTGACTATTTAATAAATTTTTCATAAATTGGCATTTAATTCGAAATAAATATTTTGGGTTTATAATTTTATTTTTTACCTCTCTTCTTCCCCTTTATTCTCCCTTTCCCTGTTAATTTCACGTATCATTTCCCCTTCAGCTTTAAGCTCGGCCATTGTCTGCCGTTTGCGTTGACTTGACTTTTTCGTTTTTTCTTCAAGTTGAGATATTATACGGTTAAATTGAACAGAATAACTATTCTCTCCATTCAAGTGTTTATCTACTTCAATCTATTAATTTAAAAATTTTTTTTTGGAAAAGTAGGGATAGGACACCTTTAGCCGTTCATAAGCAATTTTAATATTTTCTCTCAATATTCTAGATTGGTGTACCTTAAATTTTATTAAATTAGAATTGTTTTCCTTTCAAAAATCCGGGAAAAATCCACTGAAATCTCTCTTACTCCCCTAACATCCGTCATTTTTCCTTCCATATTTTTGAAAAAGCCTGTGGTGCATTCATTCACTCACCTCCCCCAATCCCAAATATTTCGGCATCTCCTTAAAATAACCTTAATCCCTCTATTCCCAAACCTCACAAATTCTCTGATATCCCTCCTAATTTTCGAATCACCAAATACCCTCGTCACCCCTTCTGGTCATTCTATGTCCCTTTATGGAGATTGAACCGGTGCTTAGAGGGATTGAACCGTGCCGACTGAAACGAGCCTGGACTGAAATTAACTTTTCCGTTTTGGACATTAGATCCCCATAAATTTATTTGAAAGGTCTTTAGAGTCCGAGACCTCAAAATTTGCTAGAACTGGGACTTTTTAAAAAAGTTTATATCTACCTTAACAAAGCAACCAGTCGGTTTATGTTTTAACAAAACAGCATTACTAGAAGAATTGACACAGGAACCGCCTGGGCCCCATCCTCTAATATATTGTTCTTCACAGTCTTTGGGCAATATTTCTGGAAATTTGTAGTTTTTTAATAATCTTTTGGCCGTTGAATGTGATGAAAAGCGAATAGAAGATAAAGAGAGGGCATGAGCATAAAAATTATTTAAGTGAAGCATAATTGACTGAAAAAAGGAAAGAATGAAAATATACCCTAAGATGAAAAATAATCCCGACAGGCGAGAAATTTACTCAAAATAGCTTAAAGAAAATAAAGACTGCAATGGATTTATCAGTTTTATATCTTTTAGAAAAAAAAATAAAAAATCATAAGAATAAATTAATAATAATATTTAACGTTCAATATTCATCCAAGTCACAATCTTCAGAAAAACATAATCTCCACAGTAAAATAACTCATAATTAGAGACCGGACCGCAGCTAGATTTGGAACAAAAATCTGGGGTACTCAGCTCGATATGCTTTGAAATATTTTAAAGATGATCCAGCTATCAACACTTAGAATGCTTAGTATGGGGTTAACCGAAAATAAGGAGAAAAGAAGTGGTTAAGCACCTAAATGTTGCTAAACTCTCCCAGTACAGTCTCTACTTATAAGTTATTGTAATCGTAATCAATCATAAGTATAATCGTACGTATAAGTAAAATCGTTAGAATTAAAAGTACAAGGAAAATCATCAGAAGTAAAAGTAAAATCATCAGCACTAAAAGTACAAGGAAAATCATCAGCATTAAAATCATCATAACCATCTGATAAAAAATAATTTTTATAATAGAAAAGAGGGTAATAGTTTGGTTTATAACCCCGCCCCCCCCCCATTTTTACCCATTTAATTTAAGGTATCTTTTTCTTTTTATACCTAAACCAAACTATTAGCAAAAAATGTACTTTTTATAAAACTTACAATTATAATATGGATTTTCACAGAAAATTTGAAATAAACACTCATGCTGTCTCCCAATTGAATCACTAAATTTTATATTGCGCGCAATGTATGAAGAATACTCGTCAGATAATTTATCAATAACAAATTCATCTCCCAATGTGAAAATTGTGTGTTCATTCGAAATCGACTGATTTTAAATAGAATATTATTATCATATATCATAAAATCGGAAATGGGTCATTTTGGCGAGAGTTTATAAAATAATTAACAGCTTATCCACAACGATAAAATTTTGCACTCTAGTATCCCTATCTAAATTCTCCTAAAATTTCAGAATTTTTTAAGCCAGAATTTCAGAAACTGGACAAAAATGTTGATTTTCAGAAAAAAATCCCGAATTTTTTGAGTGTTATCAACTATAACTTTAGAAATATTTGATGAAAAATTCTGAAATTTCTGGAGGAGGTAGTCAAGAATGTTAGAATTAGTTGAGAAAATTTTCACGAATTTAGGTTTCTCCCAAGTACCGAATCTCGCGCCAAAACGACCCAAACCCCGTAAAATCAGGTTAAAGTAATGCAGAAAACCTTCGCAATATTTACCTCGAATTCCTCTCTAATTGAAAATTTTGCAGTAAATTCAATTCGTATCTTCAAATGTTCACTACCACGATGCAGGAGTTTGAGATCTTCTATAATTGGAACAATAATGACCTCCAATTTAGTAAGGTAGTCGTTAGAAGAATTTTCCACTTCTTCTAGGTAAAAGTTAATGTAGTTAGTGAACTCAAATTCCATATATTCAAGATTTGGGCAGCAGAGAAGCAGAAAATCTTTATAATTTTTGAAATGGTAGAGAAAATTGTTCATCGATTCCATCTCAAGCCTACACATTGTTACAATCTTCTTTGTACGCTCATTAACAATTGGAGGTCTAAAAATAATTAGAAAGTCGACCGAGTATAAATTTATTATAAAAAATTACTCATTGGACGAACTGCATACAAAAATAAGATTTTTTCGAATGTCAAATTCAATATTCTCCGCGTTAATAGAAAGTAAAGTAGTTAGGTGCTTTTCTGTTAAATAAATTTAATTAAATTGAAAAAAGAAAATTTGAAAAAAAAACTAACGAAAAGTCACTGCATACTCAGAAACTTCCAAATTTGAGATTTTTATTAAGCTTGAAGTGGATGGAGTATGTACAGCTAAATAAGGAAGTAAATATTTTAAAATTTTGGTAATTTTCTAGTTTACTGATCCCTAGAATAAATTATTGGGAAATGATTTTAAATATTTTTTGGGTTTGCCAGTAGAGTTGAGAATAGTCCCGGAACTTAATAATTCTAATATTACTATTCAAATTAACTCTGGGTCCTCTTGAAACCTAAAAATATCTAAAAGGCATTTTTTGAGTTTTTTCTAGGGAAAAAATAATTGCGAAAATCGATCAGAAAACCAAAAAACTATCCAAATTTTAATAAAAAAATTTTTTAACCTTTCATATTTACCAAACATTCAAATGTTTCATCGGGAAAGTCATATAAACACTCATTTATTTGAATGTTTGAAATACGTAGAAAGCCAGCACGGTGAAGATCCAAAAACAATTGCTTAGAAACAGAGTATGGTCCAGTAAAATTATTCTAAAAAGTTTGTACTTTTTCTTTATCCCTGCAGACTTGCGGACTTTTTTTGCGGACATTTAGCAAATGACCACTACTTCCAATGCCCACTACTTAAGCATGTTTTTTCAAAAAAGTCTCTTTCACCATTCATTTCCCCCACATAAACTCTATAAAATAACACTCAATGATAGCATGTTAATTGCGTCCGCAAAACTGCAGAAAAGTCCGCAAAATTCTGCAGGAATTATACAGAAAGTAAAAAAATACATTCTTTTTCTTGACATCCCATGGCAAAACTTTGTCTTTATAAAGATCAATTCTAAATTCGCCACAAGTAAAAAATTCAAGCACCTTTATCTTGGTAAAATTGGAAAGAAAAGCCTGCATGTTTTTTGCACTGTGATACTAAAAATAAAGGTAATTCCAAGGCTGGCCCCCCCTTTTTCCTTTCTATTTTTTCGATTTTTTAAACTTTTTATGGTAAATTATATATCGTTCGAGAGAGCTCTTCAAGCTGAGTCGAACGGTACTAAATTCATCGAAATCCGACTTAAATAAACACAGTTATGACCATTTGTTTTAATCCCTTTCGACATCACAAAAAGAGCATGTCCATCGAGGATTTAGCTTCATAATTCTGCTCAAAATCTCCAAATCGAACCGATCATAGTACCATTCTACTCAGCTCGAACAGCTCTTTCGAATGATATATTGTAAATTATATGTCAAGCAAAAAAGCTCAAAATGGCCAGGCGAACAGAAAAAAAAGGGGGGGGGGGACCAGCCTTGGAATTACCAAAATAAATATTAATAGATATGTGAATATAAATTAAATAAAAACCATGAAAAGTGTATAACCAGTCAATAAACGCAAATCCATTTGCTTCGAGTCTGGTCGTCGATCTTTTCGATACATTTCTTCATCGAGTGGTTTTTTAAAGAGTAGCTTTTCAGATATAATTTGTAAAACATCGTTGGATAATTGTGGCATTGACGACATTACACTAAAAAAGTGATAAGCTAAATTTAATGAACAACGAATAGGAGGTGAAAGGAGAAATACATATAAACCGGCACGGAAAATAATCCATAAGTTGGGGTGAGACTGAAACGTCCCCTTAGAAAAAAAAACAAAACGCCAATTATTAAAAAAATATAAATGGACAAATCGTCACACACTTAAAATACTAGAACGACATAACGCCAGAAGCACCAAAAGAGACAAAACGCCGATTTTAAATTTGCAACCTTCAAATAAATATTTTTTGTTGCCTAGACAACTGGAATTGCTTCTTAAAAACTTGTTTGCCTATTTTTACTCAAAATAAAATTTAAAAAAATATTTAAATTAATCAAATACATCCATCAAAATGAAAGTAAATTAAAAATTAAATTAAAAAATAATTAAAAAAAAATTTTTTAAAGTTACTCTTTCGTATCCACAATCCTCAATTATACGGTAATGGACCTTTAATTTCTGAATGGCGTCCGGGTGGAAATAATATTGCGGTGGCTGGACCTAGCGGTGTTGTGCGTGTGTTTAATCGTTACAATGAAGTTACTGAAGAATTTAATATAAACGAGTAGGTTAAGACTGAATATAGGCTTTCCGGAAAGAGTTATTGTATACCTATATATTTTTCCGGAACGTTTTATATTCAATAGTATTTTATGCAATGTTGTATATTTTCCGGAAAGTCAATACATAATATTTTTATATCTTTCCGGAAAGTGGATGAATATTCCGGAAAATTATTATTGGAGTATATTTTCCGGAAAATATGTATTGGAAATGTTCCGGAATGTTTTATATTTTACTGAAGGTGTATTTTCCGGAAAGTCAATACATAATATTTTAATATTTTTCCGGAAAGTTGATGAATACATAATTGAAGTATATTCCGGAAAATTATTGTTGGGGTATATTTTCCGGAAAATATTACATGTTCCGGAATGTTCTATATTCTACTAAAAGTGTATTGGAAAATTCCGGAAAGGTTTATATTCCCATTTATAATTTCCGGAAGTTAAATTCCCTTTCCGGTTTATTAATAAATTCTGATTTTACAGCGAAGTAAGCGCTCTATGCTGGGATTCTCAAGGCGACTTGCTCGCTATTATAAATGCGCGAACTCCAGCTTTGGTAGTCTATGAAAGCTCCAGTGGACAAATTCTTACAGTGGACATTTCTACCGGGGCTAAGGCTGTGCCCACCGTACTCAGGCATTAAAATAAATTTTTTTTATTTTTAAAATTAGTTTTTAGTTGGAATCCACATAGAGCACTTTTACTAATTTGTGATAATCGCGGAAATTTTGTTTTGTTTGATTATTTGCTTTCTAGGTGAAGACATTTTTTGATGTTTTTTTCAATTTTTAAAATTTTCCTGAACAGAAAAGTCCCAATTATGGGAAAACATCAACGCTCTATCCGCACCTGTGCTTGGAATAAACAAGGAACACTGTTCGCCTTGGGCTCTGATGATACTCAAATAACTATAAATAATGCTGAAGGGGAAACGACTAGTACATTTTCTTGCAATGGGGAGATTATTGAAATTAAATTTGCCCATTTTCGGAATATTGGCTCTGAGCGGTCTGAGGACTATGTAAGGAGGATTTTTTGTGAAAAAAAATTTTTCAAAATTTCCAAAAAATTTTTAAAAATTTTCCTCAGATCAGCGCCATAATTGCCCACAAAAATTTAATGATTGTTCGTCTATCAGAACCAGAACACCCCACAAATCTTCAATTTCAAGAAAGATATGGTAATTTAATCAGCACTATCTGGTTCGGAAATGGCAATTTATTGGTTGGATTTGATGCTGGTTTTATTGTTTGCCTTTCTGCGGAACGTTCAAGTGATTCAATTTCTCAAGAATTATTTTCTATGCAAGAATACAAAAATGGACTTTCGCATTTATGCGTTAATGAGACAATGTTTAGACTCTTTTCGATAGGCGATAATTTGTCTGTTTAATTTTTAGTATTTTTAATTCTGATTTTTATTTAGAATGAAGAGTAGAGATTTGGGAAACTTGTGGGTATTTTAGTATTATTATATACATAATTCTGATTTTATTTAATTCTGATTTTTTGTATTTTATTTGTGTTTTGTAATTCTGATGTGTTTTTTTTTTAATTCTGATATTATAATTCTGATTATGTTTTGTTTTCAAATTCTGGTTTTCTTTATTCTGGTCTTGTGTTTTCCTATAAATTCTGATTTTTCCTTTAATTCTGGTTTTGTATTTTTCCTTTAGATTCTGATATTTAATTCTGATTTGTTTTTGTTTTATTTGGTGTTTTACAAATTCTGATTTTCAATAATTCTGGTTATTTTTGTGTTTCATTTGTGTTTTCCAATTCTGATTTTGTGTTTTCTTTTAATTCTGATATTATAATTGTTTGTGTTTTATTTACAATTTCTGATTTCTAATAATTTTAATATTTAAAGAGGGGAAATAATAGACATTGTTGACGTTGATTCTGATGGCAGTGGTCTTCTACGAGTTTGTTGTTCCGAAGACGGCTCAATGACAGCAGTAACTTCCCGTTCTGGCGCCCTTTGTGTTTATTGTTTGTAAATTGTATTTTTACATTTTACAATTTTTGTTTTTACAGTAACTCGTCTTCCAATGGTGGCTTCAGCTTCTCCCAGTTTTATAGCTGTGTTAGCCTCCCTTTCAGAAATTTCTATTTATCAGGACGGAAATATTGTATTTTTTTGTGTTTTTTAATTATTAAATTTTTGTATTTTACCAGTCACCTGCACAAAGCTTAAATATTAAAGTTGAGCCTTCTATAATTGCTGCAGGGGTAAGTTTACAAAGCTTTTTACAATTTGTAAAATTTTTACAATTTGTAAAATTCCTTTTAAAGTCAAAACACATTGCAATTGTACTCAACAACAAAGCCTGGTTTTATGAAATACGCCGGAACACAAACATTTTTCTTTATGAACATGACTATATTACTGTAATTTGAGAGATTATCTAATTTTATACTATTACTCATTTTAGACCATTGTCAAAATGAAATTGAGTCGAGATTTTGTTATGGCAAGGCTGGATAAACGTGTGCACTTACACAAGGCAAATAAAGATCAGAAGATCTCACTTAAAAGAGACACCTCTATTTAATAGACACCTCATTATAAGAGACCTCTATTTAAGATACATCTTATTATAGAGACCTCCATTTAGCATACCCTCTATTTAGGGTACACCTCATTATAAGAGACTATTTAAATTACACCTCACTCTAAGATACACCTCTATCTAACATACCACTCACACCTCTATTTAACATACACCTTACTATAAGGATTATATGCAAGGGTGTGCCTTACAATAAAATCCTAAAATAACACTCAAAAAATCCTCTCAGATTCTCCGTGGAGGAGCAACAACAACAACTCCTTCCAATGTCAACACCTCATCATCCACTACCACATCCACAATTTCAAATGATATATTTTTCCCTGATTGTAATGAAAATTCTGCTCCAGACGATTCTATTTTGGATTCTGATTTGGCAGAAAAATTTTTTATTTATTCAACCAAAAGCCATTTAATTTATTATTATTCTTTGGCATATGGACGTTTTGTTTCTGATTTTAGACATTCCGTGGCTATATGTTCATTGTTTTGTGAACCTGATGGAATTAGATGTCTTTTTCTAGGTACTTTTGACATTAGGACATATTTTTGATTTGGAAAAATTCCGTCATATCACCCGGAAACCGATTCGGACAAATGATATGTCATTCGAAAGATCTCGCCGAGCTGAGTCGAAAGGTACCAAAATTTGCTGGGGGACTCACTTATGGGCCGAGATATAGGTCCTCGAAAATCGAAAAACCATAGGGGGGAGTAAGCATAGGGGGGAGTAGGGGGAGTAAGCAATTTTGGGGTGAAAAATTCGATTTTTCTAATGATAGCTCATTCGAAAGAGCTCCTCGAGCTGAGTCGAATGACAACAAAATCAGCTCGAAATCTTGATTATGAGCCGAGATAAACAATTTCAAAATGGTCAACGTAAATCTATGGGGCGTCGGCGAGGCGCTTGTGCAAAACCCCGCGCTTCGCGCAAGGTTTTGCGGCACGCGCCTCGCGGGGAGTCTACGGGCGCTGGGTCCGGGCTCGTAACATAAACCTATTCCTATCACCCTTGCTCTAGACGTATTTGGGGCCTCCATAGCAGCAAAAATCTCCACAGATGCCATAGGTAAGGAGCTAAAATAAAAGATCATAACTTTGTCAAATCAAGTCGGATTTCGTTGATTTTGGTGTTATTCGACTCAGCTCAAGGAGCTCTTTCGAATGAGCTATCACAAAAAAATCGAATTTTTCACCCCAAAATTTAGCTTACTCCCCCCTATGGTTTTTCGATTTTCGAGGACCAATATCTCGGCCCATAGGTGAGTCCCCCAGCTAATTTTGGTGCCGTTCGACTCAGCTCGGCGAGATCTTTCGAATGACATATCATTTGTCCGAATCGGTTTCCGGGTGATATGACGGAATTTTACCTTTGATTTTTTGGCATAATGAAATTGACATTTTGACATTTTTATGCTTTTTCGACATTTTGACATATGACTTTTTGACATTACGACATTTTTTTCGATTTTTTGACATTTTGAAATATTTTTGATTATTTGGCATAATGAAATTGACATTTTGACATTTTTATGATTTTTCGACATTTTGACATATTTATGACTTTTTGACATTTTTTATTTTTTGACATTTTAAAATTAGATGAACTTCACGACATTTACATTTACTCGCCATCCGATGGCAGATTGTGCAAAATATTGCTTCAAGGGCCCTTTGAAGGAGGACACCAAGTTTGCATCTAAAAACTATTCAAAAATTCAAAACAATTTTAAGCACATTGGCTGCCTTTGGGAGACCTTTACGGTCGACAAAGACACCTTTTTAGTCCATGGAAAGCACCACATTTATGTTTTTATGTTGGCCAAGGATGTCCATCAAGGCATCTTTTTGTTAGAATTTTAATAGAAAATTTCTAATTTTTAAAGAGTTAACGGCCAACTTTATTAGTCAAGTAAACATACCTCAGGGGAATGTTCCTTTACTGCTTTCTAAAGGAATTGTTTATTGTCATACTTTTAATGGAAGGTTAAATACGGTTTTGTTGAGGTCGCATAAGACGGAGACTGTGGTAGATTTATTTTTAGAAATTAAAATTTTACCCTCTATTTTGAGTTCACTGGGAAAGCTCCACAGGAGGTAGGTTAATAAAGGGATGTGTGTGAGGGTTCTTTGACTTAAAATAATTATAGCTTCGAGAAATGTTGAAACAATCTCTTCTACTCAAACGGTGGCGAAATGCTTGGAAGATATGCGAAAGTAAAAATATTGAGGTCGGGGCTGTGCGCCATGGCGTTTTGCGCGTCACGCAAAAATTTTGGCGCACAGCCTTGATTTTGGACCAGACCTGGTCACGGATACTGATTTTGGTGTCCGTATCTGGATATTTATGGCGGATACCGACGGATATCCGCAGGCATCTTGATATTATCTGTATCCATATCCGTATTCATGATCAGGTCTGGGACAGTTAACAACTGGAACAGTTGTTGGGGACATTTAAAAACTTGTAATTTAAGGCTTAAAAGAACCAAACAGTTGGAAAGAGTTTGCAAATGCTACAATGAAGGATTGTAATATTGAATTATGTAAATAATTCTTCTGTAGCTACAGTAACCCAAAAATTTTGCAATTTTCAGCCGTTCGAATTTTTCGACATTTGGGAGACGTCGCAATGGTTTGGGCATTGGAAGAGCTTTTAATTATCGGTTGGGTCTTTAACAAATTTTCCTCAAAAAATCCCCCTTTTAAAATCAAAGAAGACCAACAAGTCCTTAGCGGCCACATAGCTTCTTTACTTGGAGATTTTGATTTGGCGGATAAACTGTTTTGCGATTCGAGTGAGCCTAAGCTTGCGTTGGAGGCATATTTTTGGGATATAGTGTAGTTCACCGGAGGTAAAAGTTCGGGACGAGACATATGTCATTCGATTCGTCTCGGCGAGCTGAGTCGAACGGTACCACTCCCAATTTCAGGAAATGATTCTGGACCGAGTTATAGGTCCCGAAAAATCGAAAAACCAAAGGGGGGACCAAGCACTTTTTTGGGGTGAAAAATTCGAAAAGGCAAATTATACCTCATTCGAAAGAGCTCCTCGAGCTGAGTCGAATGACACCAAAATCAACAAAATCCGACTTGATTGGACTGAGATATAGACCCCTAAAAACCGAAGATCCAAAGGGGCGATTTTTGGAATAAAAAATTTTTTATACAAACAATAACTCATTCGAAAGAGCTCGACGAGCTGAGTCGAATGATACCAAAATCACCTTGATTGAACAAGATTAAACAAAGTTATAACACAAAAAACCTAAACCTATGGAGCGTCGGCGAGGCGCTTGTGCAAAACCCCGCGCTTCGCGCGGGGTTTTGCGGCACGCGCCTCGCGGGGAGTCTACGGGCGCTGGGTTTGGGCTCGTAACATGATCCTATTCCCATTTTCCTTGCTCTGGACGTATTTGGGGCCTCCGTAGCAGCAAAAATCCACAGATGCTATAGGTAAGGAGCTAAAACAAACGGTCATAACTTTGTCAAATCAAGTCGGATTTTGTTGATTTTGGTGTCATTCGACTCAGCTCGAGAAGCTCTTTCGAATGAGGTATAATTTGCCTTTTCGAATTTTTCACCCCAAAAAAGTGCTTGGTCCCCTCTTTGGTTTTTCGATTTTTCGGGACCTATAACTCGGTCCAGAATCATTTCCTGAAATTGGGAGTGGTACTGTTCGACTCAGCTCGCCGAGACGAATCGAATGACATATGTCACGTCCCGAACTTTTACCTCCGGTGAACTACACTACAGCCTATTTTTGTTTGAATAAATTTGAATATTTTTTGTTAGATGCGCCGTGATATTCAACATTGGGAACGTGCTCTAGAGTTGGCTGCACAAATCGCGCCGGATGAGTTACCGTATATTGCTAAGGAGGTGAATTTTAAATATTTCAAAATGTCAAAATTTAAAAATGTCAAAATGCCAAAAAATTGAAAAGTTTCAAAATGTCAAAATTCGAAATGTCAAAAAAATTTAAAATAATTTTACTATAAAATACAGTATGCCATACAACTCGAATTTATGGGTCAACATGAACAATCTATTCGTTACTATGAACAAGCCATAATTCCAATAAGAGAAGAGGATTATGAAATTAACGAAGAATTGGATGAACACAGTTGGGTGTGTAAATCTGGGTGAATTTTTGAATTTTAATAATTATAAAATAATTTAAACAAGGCTGGCAAGAATGGCTTTACACACTGGAGACCTTAAAAGGGGTGTTGAAATTGCTCTACAATTGCCTAGTAGATTGGCTAAACGAGATTGTGGGATAGTGTTAGAAGAGCTTAGGGTGAGTTGACCGTTTTGGTAATGGACATTGTGAAAATTTACCATTTTGAAATTTTTCTGAAATTTTACCATTTTGAAGTCTGATGCGCCAAAAAACTCGGACATTTGGCCACCTGAAGTAAAATCGGACATTTGGTCACGAAAGCTAAAAACGGACGTTTTGTCACGAAAGCGGAAAACGGACATTTGGTCACGAAAGCGAAAATCGGACATTTGGTCACGAAGGCTAAAAACGGACATTTAATCATTTAGGTGAATATAGGACAATTGATCACATAAAGTAAATTACACATTACCGTCTTTTGCTTTACCATTCCGAGATATTTAAAAATTATTTTTTTAGCAATATGACGAGGCTGGGGCAGTTTATGAAGCTGGTCAATTCTACGATAGAGCAGCTGCTGCCTATCTAAAGGGCAGAAATTTGTAAACTTGGAATTAAAAATTTAGAAAAATTAGAAAATCCACTAGATTAAAAGTCCACAAATTAATGGAACAAGTACGTTCTCCAAAATTATTGTGTCAATATGGAAAAATGTTGGAAAAGGAAAAAAATTTTGAAAGGGCTTATAAGGTAAATAAATGAATTTTAGAATTATTTTATTTGGAAGGCATATGAGAGGGCTCAAGATGCAGAAAATCAAATAAGAGTGCTCTTGCGTCATTTGAATAAATCGGAGGACGTAAACTTTTAATTTAAAAAATTTTTCTCTTAAAATTTTTTTAAAAGGCCGTTAGACTGGCAAGAGAAAGCAAAAGCATTGAAGGCTCTAAATTAGTGGCAAAGTATGGGGAAGAGAATTTATTTTAATTTTTAAAAATTTTAAAGTTATTTCTCTGATTTTGGGCAATTCGACACTGCAATTCAATTTTTAATTATTTCTCTTTGTTATCAGGTTGATAAAAAATTAAAATTAAAAAATTTTCCTTGATAAAAAGTCTGACCCACTTGGCCAAGTCTGACCCACAAAATCTGACATTTGACCTAAAAGAGTAAAATCGGAAATTTGGCCACGTAATGTAAAATCGTACATTTAATCGAAAAGCGTAAAATTGGACATTTGGTCGCCGTATGCGAAAATCGGACATTTGGACACATGGACTAAATAACATTAATTATTAAATTATTTCTTAATCTTTTAAAGGAAGCTTTTGATTTGGCAAAAAGTTCTGGAAATATTCAAATATATTCTTCTGCATTAGAATCTTCTGTTGACTCTCAAGACCAAAACAAAATTAATTTAAATAATGACAATTCCCAGCAACAAAAGGAGGCGGCTTTTACTCAATTAGCCGAATATTTTAGAAATGAGGGAAACGTTTTGGAGGCTGGGAAATTTTCTGGATTTTCTAAACATTATAGAACGGTAGACTTTAAAATGAGTATGTCTCGTTTGAGTATGTCTCGTTTGGTCACATAGGCGAAGAATGGTCATTTGGTCTTAGTGATGTAATTAGCCATTTGATCGCATAAGCGAAAAATGGCCATTTCGTCACAAAGGATAAAAATGGCCATTTCGTCACAAAGGCTAAAAATGGACATTTTGTCACAAAGGCTAAAAATGGCCATTTCGTCATATAGGCAAAAATCGGATATAGTGTAGTGTACCGGTGGTAAAAGTTCGGGACGTGACATATGTCATTCGATTCGTCTCGACGAGCTGAGTCGAACGGTACCACTCCCTACTTTAGGAAATAATTCTGGACCGAGTTATAGGTCCCGAAAAATCGAAAAACCAAAGGGGGGACCAAGCACTTTTTTGGGGTGAAAAATTCGAAAATGCAAATTATACCTCATTCGAAAGAGCTCGTCGAGCTGAGTCGAATGACACCAAAATCAGCATGATTGAACAAGTTTGAGTCGAGATACAGGGCTCAAAATGGTCAAAAACCATAGGGGGGATTTTATGGTCAAAAATTCGATTCCACAAATGTTAGCTCATTCGAAAGAGCTCGACAAGCTGAATCGAATGACACCAAAACCATCTTGATTGCACAAGTTTTGACAAAGTTACGATACAAAAAACAAAAAACCTAAACCTATGGAGCGTCGGCGAGGCGCTTGTGCAAAACCCCGCGCTTCGCGCGGGGTTTTGCGGCACGCGCCTCGCGGGGAGTCTACGGGCGGTTGGTCTGGGCTCGTAACATAAACCTATTCCTATCTCCCTTGCTCTAGACGTATTTGGGGCCTCCGTAGCAGCAAAAATCTCCACAAATGACATAGGTAAGGAGCTAAAACAAACGGTCATAACTTTGTCAAATCAAGTCGGATTTTGTTGATTTTGGTGTCATTCGACTCAGCTCGACGAGCTCTTTCGAATGAGGTATAATTTGCATTTTCGAATTTTTCACCCCAAAAAAGTGCTTGGTCCCCCCTTTGGTTTTTCGATTTTTCGGGACCTATAACTCGGTCCAGAATTATTTCCTAAAGTAGGGAGTGGTACCGTTCGACTCAGCTCGTCGAGACGAATCGAATGACACATGTCACGTCCCGAACTTTTACCACCGGTACACTACACTACAGCCCAAAAATCTACCAATTCGTCACCTAGGCGGAATAAATAAATCTCGTCACTTAATAAAAATTAAGGCACTTTCTCTTCTAACAAGCGAGCTCATCAGTCCAACTGTAGAAGAAACGGCACTTCAACTAGCTGTAGAATTTATAGCAGAATCAAAAGACAAAGAACTAATAAATGAACTAATATCTTATTTAATGGGGGAAAGAGAGGGGGGAGATGGAATCCCTAAAGACCCAAAATATTTATTCCAATTATACGTCAAATTGTCGATGCACGAGGAAGGGGCTAAAACAGCCTTGATTATAGCACAAGAACAACAATTTAAAGGGTTTTATAAGACTGCACATGACCTTTTGTTTGGTAAGTGGATAGTTGACATTTTGAAATTTTTGGGGTAGTTGACATTTTGAAATTTTTTAGACTAGTTGACATTTTGAAAATTTTTGGCTAGTTGACATTTTGAAATTTTTTGGGCTAGTTGACAATTTGAAATTTTTTAGACTAGTTGACATTTTGAAAATTTTTGGGGGAGTTGACATTTTGAAATTCTAGACTAGTTGACATTTTGAAAATTTGATTAATTTTTTTTTTCAATTTTAAAGAAATGTACCAAACTCTCAAACGTGAAAAAATTAAAATTCCTTCTGAAATGGAAAATGCTTTAATGCTTCTACATAGCTACAATATTGTTAAGGGCCTTTTGAAACGTGGGGATAATTATACTGCGGCTAAATTGCTATGCCGAGTTTCTGAAAATATTGGACAGTTTCCAGCTCGTATGTTTATTGGGGCAAAAGAATAATTGGCATTTTGATTTGTTGGACTAGTCGACATTTTGACATTTTTTGGACTAGTCGACATTTTGAAATTTTTTGGACTAGTCGACATTTTGAAATTTTTTGGACTAGTCGACATTTTGACATTTTTTGGACTAGTCGACATTTTGAAATTTTTTAGGCTAGTTGACATTTTGAAATTTTTTAGGCTAGTTGACATTTTGAAATTTTTTGGGCTAGTTGACATTTTGAAATTTTTTGGACTAGTTGACATTTTGACATTTTTTGGGGGTAGTTGACATTTTGACATTTTTTGGGGGTAGTTGACATTTTGACATTTTTTGGGTGTAGTTGACATTTTGACATTTTTTGGGGGTAGTTGACATTTTGAAATTTTTTGGACTAGTTGACATTTTGAAATTTTTTGGACTAGTTGACATTTTGAAATTTTTTGGACTAGTTGACATTTTGAAATTCTCAATTTTAGATGCAGCACAAATACTCACGTCATGCGTGATTACCTGCACAAAGGGTAGAACGGATTTTTAAATTATATAAAGTTCAACTTAAGCCGGTCTGAAAGCCTCAGCCTTCAAAACAGCCTCTCAATTATTCCAACCAATTTATAGACAAAAAATTGACGAAAAATATAAAAAGAAAATTGAATTGGTTGTTAGGTTGTTAAGAATATTTTTTGAAGAAATATTTTTTTAAAGAAAATTTGGGCAGAATGCTGAAGACCCAAATGAACGTCTCCAGCCGTGCCCTTACTGTGGGACGCCTGTAAATGAATTTAATTTGAGTTGTAGTAACTGTCAGGCAAATATTCCTTATTGTATTTTGACGGTGAGAAGTTGTGTTAGTGAGAATATAAATCAGAATTTTGAATCAGAAATTGAATTTAAAAAATCAGAATTAAATCAGAATTTTTTTCATTAAGATCAGAATTTTGCTTCTCTGATTAAAGTCAGAATTTCTGATTTCCTGAAAAAAAAAAAACAGAATTTTCTAGTTTTCAGATAAAAACCAGAAATTCTGATTAAAAATCAGAATTTCTGGTTTTCTGATAAAACCCAGAATTTCTGGTTTTCCTATAAAAATCAGAATTTCTGGTTTCATGATAAAAATCAGAATTTTCTGGTTTCTGATAAAAACCAGAATTTATGATTTAATATTGTCGTTATTTAAATTCCTTTTAGGGTAAACATATTATCCGTGAGGATTTTGCTCGTTGTCCAAAATGCAATTTCCCTGGGCATTTGTCAGAATTTTACAAGTACTTAATTAATTAATCCATTAATTTGCTCTATTTTAATATTTTTTAGATTAACGGATTTACATTGCCCAATGTGTTATGAACAAATTAATAGAGATCAAATTCAACCAGAAAATTTTGCTGATTTTATATTAGAAAATTCACAATTTTAAAAATTAAATTTTTACTTATAATTGCTTTAATAAAGTTGATTTTCAAACGTCTATTTGGAATAAACCAGCTAAATAGGGGATAGGATGCCATAATAGGCTAGATTTTAGTTCGTTAAGTTCCAATTGATAAAATCCAGATTATTAAGAAATCCTATCCCCTATCTAGTTTGAGTTATTGGAAATAGTTAAACGAATTTTATAAGTTAAGTTTCAATTGATAAATTCGAATCAGCATTAAATAATGTATCTAAATTACCACGACGAACTGTACCCAATAGATATACCGTAAGATATTTTAGGATTTTTAATATTGGGGTATTTTTTTTTTGACTGACAATCTTCAAATTGGATTTTCTCGATGAAGATAACTGCGACTGGAGGATTCGATATACCATTCGAATCAGCATTAAATAATGTATCTAAATTACCACGACGAACTGTACCCAATAGATATACCGTAAGATATTTTAGGATTTTTAATATTGGGGTATTTTTTTTTTTGACTGACAATCTTCAAATTGGATTTTCTCGATGAAGATAACTGCGACTGGAGGATTCGATATACCATTCGAATCAGCATTAAATAATGTATCTAAATTACCACGACGAACTGTACCCAATAGATTACTGTATATTAATTGGGTATAGTTCGTCTTGGTATATTAGATACTATATTTAATGATGATTCGAATGGTATATCGTAACCCAATTCGCGATGATTACTTCACTGGGCAAATTTACTTTAAAAATATCAGTCAAAAAAAAATAACTCAAAATTATTAATCCATAAATAACTTACTGTATATTAATTGGGTATAGTTCGTCTTGGTATATTAGATACTATATTTAATGATGATTCGAATGGTATATCGTAACCCAATTCGCGATGATTACTTCACTGGGCAAATTTACTTTAAAAATATCAGTCAAAAAAAAATAACTCAAAATTATTAATCCATAAATAACTTACTGTATATTAATTGGGTATAGTTCGTCTTGGTATATTAGATACTATATTTAATGATGATTCGAATGGTATATCGTAACCCAATTCGCGATGATTACTTCACTGGGCAAATCCACTTTGAAAATATCAGTCAAAAAAAATAACTCAAAATTATTAATCCATAAATAACTTACTGTATATTAATTGGGTATAGTTCGTCTTGGTATATTAGATACTATATTTAATGGTGATTCGAATGGTATATCGTAACCCAATTCGCGATGATTACTTCATTGGGCAAATCCACTTTGAATATATCATTAAAAAAATAACCCAAAATTATTTATCCATAAATAACTTACTGTATATTAATAGGGTATAGTTCTTCTTGGTATATTAGATACTATATTTAATGGAAATTCGAATGGTATATCGTAACCCAATTCGCGATGATTCCTTCATTGGGCAAATCCACTTTGAAAATATCAGTCAAAAAAAAATAACCCAAAATTATTAATCCATAAATAACTTACTGTATATTAATAGGGTATAGTTCGTCTTGGTATATTAGATACTATATTTAATGAAGATTCGAATGGTATATCGTAACCCAATTCGTGATGATTACTTCATTGGGCAAATCCACTTTGAAAATATCATTAAAAAAATAACCCAAAATTATTAATCCATAAATAACTTACTGTATATTAATAGGGTATAGTTCGTCTTGGTATATTAGATACTATATTTAATGGAGATTCGAATGGTATATCGTAACCCAATTCGTGATGATTACTTCATTGGGCAAATCCACTTTGAAAATATCATTAAAAAAATAACCCAAAATTATTAATCCATAAATAACTTACTGTATATTAATAGGGTATAGTTCGTCTTGGTATATTAGATACTATATTTAATGGAGATTCGAATGGTATATCGTAACCCAATTCGTGATGATTACTTCATTGGGCAAATCCACTTTGAAAATATCATTAAAAAAATAACCCAAAATTATTAATCCATAAATAACTTACTGTATATTAATAGGGTATAGTTCGTCTTGGTATATTAGATACTATATTTAATGGAGATTCGAATGGTATATCGTAACCCAATTCGTGATGATTACTTCATTGGGCAAATCCACTTTGAAAATATCAGTCAAAAAAAATAACCCAAAATTATTAATCCATAAATAACTTACTGTATATTAATAGGGTATAGTTCGTCTTGGTATATTAGATACTATATTTAATGCAGATTCGAATGGTATATCGTAACCCAATTCGTGATGATTACTTCATTGGGCAAATCCACTTTGAAAATATCATTAAAAAAATAACCCAAAATTATTAATCCATAAATAACTTACTGTATATTAATAGGGTATAGTTCGACTTGGTATATTAGATACTATATTTAATGGAGATTCGAATGGTATATCGTAACCCAATTCGCGATGATTACTTCATCGGGCAAATCCACTTTGAATATATCAGTCAAAAAAAAATAACCCAAAATTATTAATCCATAAATAACTTACTGTATATTAATTGGGTATAGTTTTTCTACGTATATTAGATACTATATTTAATGATGATTCGAATGGTATATCGTAACCCAATTCGCGATGATTACTTCACTGGGCAAATCCACTTTAAAAATATGAGTCAAAAAAAATAACTCAAAATTATTAATCCATAAATAACTTACTGTATATTTATTGGGTATAGTTCGTCTTGGTATATTAGATACTATATTTAATGATGATTCGAATGGTATATCGTAACCCAATTCGCGATGATTACTTCACTGGGCAAATCCACTTTAAATATATCAGTCAAAAAAAAATAACTCAAAATTATTAATCCATAAATAACTTACTTTATATTAATTGGGTATAGTTCGTCTTGGTATATTAGATACTATATTTAATGATGATTCGAATGGTATATCGTAACCCAATTCGCGATGATTACTTCACTGGGCAAATCCACTTTAAAAATATGAGTCAAAAAAAAATAACTCAAAATTATCAATCCATAAATAACTTACTGTATATTAATTGGGTATAGTTCGTCTTGGTATATTAGATACTATATTTAATGATGATTCGAATGGTATATCGTAACCCAATTCGCGATGATTACTTCACTGGGCAAATCCACTTTAAATATATCAGTCAAAAAAAATAACTCAAAATTATTAATCCATAAATAACTTACTGTATATTAATTGGGTATAGTTCGTCTTGGTATATTAGATACTATATTTAATGATGATTCGAATGGTATATCGTAACCCAATTCGCGATGATTACTTCACTGGGCAAATCCACTTTAAATATATCAGTCAAAAAAAATAACTCAAAATTATTAATCCATAAATAACTTACTGTATATTAATTGGGTATAGTTCGTCTTGGTATATTAGATACTATATTTAATGATGATTCGAATGGTATATCGTAACCCAATTCGCGATGATTACTTCACTGGGCAAATCCACTTTAAATATATCAGTCAAAAAAAATAACTCAAAATTATTAATCCATAAATAACTTACTGTATATTAATTGGGTATAGTTCGTCTTGGTATATTAGATACTATATTTAATGATGATTCGAATGGTATATCGTAACCCAATTCGCGATGATTACTTCACTGGGCAAATCCACTTTAAAAATATCAGTCAAAAAAAAAATAACTCAAAATTATTAATCCATAAATAACTTACTGTATATTAATTGGGTATAGTTTTTCTACGTATATTAGATACTATATTTAATGATGATTCGAATGGTATTTCGTAACCCAATTCGCGATGATTACTTCACTGGGCAAATCCACTTTAAATATATCAGTCAAAAAAAATAACTCAAAATTATTAATCCATAAATAACTTACTGTATATTAATTGGGTATAGTTCGTCTTGGTATATTAGATACTATATTTAATGATGATTCGAATGGTATATCGTAACCCAATTCGCGATGATTACTTCACTGGGCAAATCCACTTTAAAAATATCAGTCAAAAAAAAAATAACTCAAAATTATTAATACATAAATAACTTACTGTATATTAAATGGGTATAGTTCGTCTTGGTATATTAGATACTATATTTAATGTGATTCGAATGGTATTTCGTAACCCAATTCGCGATGATTACTTCACTGGGCAAATCCACTTTAAATATATCAGTCAAAAAAAATAACTCAAAATTATTAATCCATAAATAACTTACTTATATATAATAGGGTATAGTTTTTCTTGGTATATTAGATACTATATTTAATGGAGATTCGAATGGTATATCGTAACCCAATTCGCGATGATTACTTCATCGGGCAAATCCACTTTGAAAATATCAGTCAAAAAAAATAACTCAAAATTATTAATCCATAAATAACTTACTTATATTAATAGGGTATAGTTCGTCTTGGTATTTTAGATACT